CATTTCCGAAACAAGCACTGTACTCTATCTGGGTGACCTTGGAGCTTCTCCACACTGTTGAGACTTTGAGGGAGCTTCCTACACCATCGACCGTGAGGCGAAATGGCTGAGAGAGCTTGTGTTGGGGGTTAAGCTCAGTGTCCAGGTATGTGCTGTGTGCTACTCCAACGTATAGAGGAAAGCGGCAATTATTGTGCAAAATGATATTGCCACGCCCTTGGTTAGCTAAGCAGATGGGCGGCGCTAACCAGACGAACAGGCCGAGTGCCCATCGTACGGTACTTTCCACCCGCATGGTACAGAAGGAACATGTCCTCGCAGTCCATCATTGAGAGGCATATAAATACAATTCTCGCTGGTGCACCGGATGAGATGTTTCAACGTTGACACAACAGCCAGTGCACAAATAGATAGGAATGGCTCTAGGCGGAAAATATCATGAATGCGTCCTATGGTATATGTGTATATCATATTTGAGGGGTAGCCCATCTCTATACGGGACCATCAACCAACGGGAGACCATCCTTGACGGCGTTTATCAACCCAGTGGGCAAACCGCGAGTCTTCATCATGCATAATCTGTCCATGATTATTCTATTCTAGTCTTCCCAACAGGGCTTGCGCTGTTAAAGTTGAATAGAGAAGAAATATTGACTATAAAGTAACAGCCCCATCCTGTCCATTTCTCCCAGATCATCTCATAATGGACGCTTCAACTCAGCCATCCGTGGATGAATGTGAGCGTGAAGGCATGTTGCAGCCAGGACAACCAGGTCCAGGCGAGGTTGAGATTCCCAAGGTTCTCCAGACCTCTTCGGTAAGACCCCCCTCCCCGGTATCTAGAGAATCTCGCTGACGGCAGCAGTCCCACGTCCGTGACGTAGACGCAGAAGAGGAGAAACGAAAGTTAGCTGTGGAACCGTTCCGTGCGGTCCTTGAGGCCTTAGCACAGATGGAGCACGATGACCCTAAAGCGGCGGCTCAGGGTGCTCGTTTGTTGAGCCTCTTCCGCCGTCTGTGGGAGTCGTCAGTTTCCAAACAGATCGACAGTCAGCGTCTTGAAGTGGGTAATCAACAGTTGCGAGCCATGAGTTCGCAGCTGCAGCTCGAGGGAAACCAATTGAAGAACACCCACGATGACCAGCTTTATCATTTTCATGCCTTAGAGCAGAAGCTGATGGATGCTCGGCGGGGGATGTTTCGCTTACTCAACGAGTGGAGCAGCACCTCCAGCGGGGGCTTGAATGTCTCGCCTGAAGATTCACAAGGAGGGAATAATGACACGGAGAGATTGCCATAGTAGAAGGGTCGGGAACTGGCTCGTCAGCACTCTTGAGGATCCACATAGAGGCAAGCCTGAGAAAGCTGTACATGGGTATTCGCTAGGCATACTCTTATGATATGTATGAAATATGTTATAGTATAGCTGTGGGATGACTCGTGAAAGCAACACACTCTCTCTGTGACTATATATTTTACTATGACCCACGGTTCAAATTTCAGAAAGAACATTTCTCAAGGCGTACGGCTAGATCTCCGCAATCACTTCTTTGTAGATTACAGTACCTCTTAGTCGCCCGCATCACCCACCCCACGATGACAATTTCCTTGAAGCGGACCCATTTACAGAGTAATATGACCTGTGAGAAAGCAAGTGTCCTTTGCCGTATTCATTGCGTATGCGGCAGCTCTCATGCACACGTACTCCACGATCTGAGGCGCGCTCTTGCATCCATAGAGCTACAATTGGCCACTTTACCCTGAAGAAGCAGCATAAGTGAAGAGAGCAGAACAATTGGAATCTGCAGCTACTACAGTCAGCACGGGTTCAAGTATAAGGAGACTCGTATGGCTTACCTCTAGCAATAATAACCAGCGGTCCAAGACAACACCAATGACGGCGACGACTAAAAGAAGAAGTGATAGAATCGAAAGCACAATCGCGATGTAGCTTACTTGGACTCGAGCTGGATACCCCCGCAGGGTTCGCCCTCGTAGCCACCAGTAGAAACCAGACATGGCAAGATAATCGAAACAGAGCAGAGAGGCCACTCCAAACCACATGGAGGGGTCCTTAAAAGTACCTACCATCATGGCTGCAATCTTACTCAAAGTAGAGCATGCGACAAAACACAGCAACCCGATTGTAAAAGGATGAGGAGCGCTATCCAATCCGATCAGCTGGAGACTGATTCGGCAATACTGATGCGTTCGTGTTAGCTCTGATCTACCAGCACAACGTTGCTTCGCATTACCCAAGGAATCGGTATGAGCACCGAAATGATTCCTCTTAAAAGAGCGACACCAACACTGTAGTCATTGGCATTGCTGCAGGTCAAAGCCAAGCTTACAATAGAACAGCCAAAAAGTATGATCCATTGCGCTAGATCCACGATTTGTAGTCGATATTCAGGGTGTCGGGCATGCAAAATTGCAATCCGTATGCCATTTACGACCGATAAGATTGTTGTCAAAACGGAGTACTGGATAGCTTCGGACCACATGGTGATGCCGAGAAAGAAATGTAGGGCTGCCTAGGAGACACTTGCGATCGTTATAAATTAAACAACCGCCCATACTGTACTGGGAACGGTTATTTTTGGACCTGGGAGCATCAAAGGTGATTCCTGGAAAACGAGAACTTGGGCTCTGGGAGCCTATAGAGCTCTGGGAACACTACCTACGCTCCCAGGGCCTAGCCGCGAGTACCCAGGAGCGAGAGGGCCCTTCCCAGGAGCATGGATTCTTTCCCCAGGTGAAAAAAGGCTGTATATGGCTTCGAAGCTTTGTCACCTGAAAAGTATGATATATACCGTGGTGAGCGGAGTAATTGGGATGAAATATTACAGAGATATCTCCTTCAACGGCCGCCAAACATCCCCCAATTCCCGCTGTCAACTCATCAAACCCACTGAGGTCTCTCTTGAAACGTGATCGCAAAGCAAGCGCAAAATGGATGCCGTCAGTCTTGAAATCAATGACGGCCCCGGGTCTGACATTCAGTCTGTATCTATGGACATGTCTGAGCGTCAGTTGATTGTTTTATACATCCAAAACCCCTTGAATGCACTTGTTACGCTTTCCCGACATATTCTGATTTGTGATGGTACGTTGAGGGCCAATGTGAATTGATCCATACTGATGGGTATAAAGGGTCATGGGAATTGAGTGCATCGCGCGTTGACGATAACCCATTATGTGTGCAAAAAATGATCCAGGGAAGCCATTTATACATTGGAGACTTCGGAGAATGGCATCGTGTGATATTCAACGTGAAGCACGCCGACACGGGTGTGGCATTACAAATTACAGCATGGTTGAAACAGGAAATGAGCAGCGACTCATTGGGTCAGTGATTTTCAAGGTCGTATAATGAACAGGAGCAGTGTTGGACGCTAGTCTTGTATGCAGAATGACGGAGATATTGTTAAGCAAAGCCACTGGGTTTCAACCTCCCCTAACTGGATGTCTCAATATCAAAAGCTGTATAGGGTGTCCTGAAGTCCCGAAATTAATGCAACTAAAGACGTAGATGAAGCTTTATCTGGGGCTCCGTGACTACAGTAGCTCACGAGGACGGTATAGAGCTATGACTGGCGCCGAGTACAGGCTTTATCGGACGAGTAGAATGACATGAGAACCCAATCATACAGTGTGACAGAATAGAGGACTAATCCTCAACAGCCTTCTACGACTTTTGGTACAGTGCTATTATGCACCGTACGAGGCAGAGTGTGACTTATTTTTCCCAGTGGAGTTGTTTCAATGCAATCATCCTCCCAAAATAAGGATCTTGGCCTTCTTGACGAGAGAGATCATCTCGGCAGAAACTGCCTTTCATCCGTGCTAAAGGCCGCTCGGCCAACTACAGAGCCAACTCAACCAGTATGCGGCCCGAAACTAAGGGTGACGCTTATAAAATTACGGATCCTGGGGGCCGGTTGGATTGTCTCCAGGAACACAGGATCGTCCCCCAGGAACGCTGCCAGGCGCTCCCCGAAGCGTCTGAGATCCTGGAACTCAATGCCGACGCCCCTGGGAACGCATAGTCTACTCCCAGGATCCCTTCATTGACTCCTAGAACGCCACGTTTCTTAGAGAGAGATGTTTACATCTGCTGACGTTTATCGTGTATCCCACCTCAGGAGCATATAAACTGTGCGAGTATCTCAGAAAGCCCATTCTGATTCATGACTTCAACTCTCAAGCGTATCAGCTTCAATATTACGATATGCCTCCACAAAGAACAGCGAAAGCGCGGTTTTTGACCGCTGTCTCTCCTCCAGCCGCTCGATTAGCCCCGCTCCCAAACAATCATCCACGGTTTCCGTGGGAGACAAAGAACCACTATTCATCAGAGCAGCGCACGAAGCGCGTTGATGGACGGCTAGAGGCGATAATTCTTCAAATCTCCGGGGAATTCCATAGGCTATCCAGTGCATATCAAAATCTGCTCAATACGAATTATCAACTGCAGGTTGAGATACAAAATGGAAAAGATGAACAGGCCAAACTTGAAGCCCACATGAGATACCAGAACCGTTGCCTTGAACAGGAGAAGCAACGGGCTTGGCATCTTGAAGAACGGGTTAATAAATTGGAGGTGGAGCTGGCATCTCAGAACGTGGGAGCACTTTCAACCGACCTAAGTGGGCCTGTTTGTGGAGACGAGAGGGCGCGATCCTCGCCCGCAACGGTGGAATGAAAATGAAGAACGCAGTCGGGCGTTTAATCTTCTGCGGCCGTTTAACTAGCTACCGTTGTCTCGCTTTATTTGACCACCGTCCTCGCCTTTTGCCCTTGTCTTTCTCGCCTTATCTATCTGTTAAGATCGGCAATCCGCACGGCAAAATAGATTGTTTGATCTAGATGCATACGAATCCTTGATTAATGAGAACAATGAAGATGGTAACCATTAACAACCCTCAGTGGACCCTCTACGCCTTCATATAGTCCAGTAGCCACATTCCCACCCGCGAGGTCCGGGATGGCAGTTCAGGATGCACAAGACTGCATCCAGGCTCCTCGCTTGGCTCTCCAATCTCTCGGCTCCTGAACTTTACAGCATCAGTGCCGCTTGCGTGCTCATCCTCTGGTTAATCTACTGGCTCGGCAGAGATGTCGGTCGGTGGGGATGGAGGCGCTGCCATGGCGCGCTCTGGCTGGCTTCCACGTCGCAACAGCCCAGCGCGTGGCGACGCTTGCTGTTTGTCTCTTTACCTCGAACCTTGCAGTGGATTGACATATCAACATATCTACAGGCACTGACGGTGGCGTTGCTACTCGCTGCCAATCTCGTTGGGATCGGCTTCCGAACACATTCCTGGCCAGAAGCGCAGAAACGGGCGGGGGCGTTGGCAGTCGTCCACTTTCTCCCCTTGTGCACCGGCATAACATTTGGCCTCCCAGCAGATCTCCTGCACATGAACCGTCAGACTTTCGCGTGGCTGCATCGGTGGTTTGGCCGCCTTTGCACCCTCCAGTCGCTGCTACATGGCTCCGCGATAGTGTCTATCGCCCAAACGTCCACTCTGGCCACATTCGGGTACATAGTCCCACTCGTCGTATGTGAGCTACATAGCTGCAGCTAAAACCCCTGATGATCGGATTGTGGGTGATTGAGCTGACATTTTCCAGGCAGGGTGTTCTCTTTTTCTCGTCATGCTGATGACCCTTCACGCGATCCGGCAGCGCCATCCGCAAGTCGTGATGAAATGTCATTATGCACTAGCAGTCATGGCCATTGGCGCCCTTGTTTATCATCTCGCCGAACGGCACTCGCTATATCGCTGGTACTTACTGGGAGCGATATGTTTGTGGCTCCTTGCCAGCTTCACGGTTTGTCTGCTGACCGTGTTGGCCTATAAGCCGTGGCAAAAATCTACCTACGAAATCACCATGAACGCACCAAATCGGCTTTTGTGGCTTGATATCACGGTCCCTGCCGGATGGAAGATGCGACCGGGGCAGTACGTGCAAGTGTGGCTGCCCCGTTCGGGTACGCGCGCTCGCCTGCAGCTGCTCCTCTTCTACGTGGCCGTCTGGGAAGAGGACGAGATTGACAGCCGAGGGCGCATCCACATGGTGGCTCAACCTCGGTCCGGCCTCACTACCAAGCTCTACCAGACAGCTTTGCACCGGGCGGTGCTGGCCAGGAACATGGCAGAACAAGCGAATAGTGATCGAAAAGTCCTTGATCCGCAAAGTCTGGACCCAACCCTGAGACAGCCTGCCGTCGTCCTTGGGCCGTACGGGTGCGCCGATGACTTCTCCCGCTTCGGCACCGTCCTATTCATCGTCGAGGAAGTGGGATTCTTCCGAGTCCTTTCATATATTGGAATGCTCGTAGAGGCTAGCCGTAAGCGCCAGGCGATGGTGCGGAAACTCGAGATCATTTGGCAGGGCGGGGTCTTCGGTATGATGTCCTCACCCCGGCCTAGTCTATAATTTGGAAGGCTTGACCAAACAGGAGGTTGATCATTTTCTCGCAGACTATCCGCGGTGGCTGGTCCTCTGGTTCCAACGAATGTTTGATCTTGACAAAGAAGGATTTAATGTAAGTACCCCAGCGGTGCAGATTGCGTGCTGTGCGTTTTCGGTGCTGACGGTAGCCAGATACTCAAAATTCACATCTACTGCTCACAAACGAGCTCAGATGGCAGCCCGGAGCGCTCTGTCAACACTGGCAATCGCGTTTGCTATTATGAAGGATCAGCAGACGTGAGGAAAGAAGTGTCACGATATGTCCAGGATCAGACTGGGGATATGGCTGTGGCAGGTGCGTCTCTACTGGTATTTCTGTTTTCGTGGATAATCGTCCGCTTTGAGTATCTACTTACTTGAGCACAAAGTATGCGCAGGACCGTTGATCTCCAACACTGTTCGGCAGATTATTCAACCTCACGCTAGCCATCGCCTCCAATTGGTCGGTCTTGATCTGGGGCCTTGCCACCGATGGCCGCGGAAGAACTATCCGGAGAATGGTACAAGGGCCCCACTCCCTACGCGGGTCTCCGAGCCTCAAGAACTTAGGATGAGATTGACTCGACCAGCTCATCAAATCGAGCTTCCGCCTACGGCTTTGCAAACTTACCCACGGCGGCATGTGCATGGATCTTCAGAAAACGGCATAGGTCACCAATTAAGTAACCATGATAAGTGGGTGGCACACAAATTGGCCGAGGGACAGAGGTCTGTATAGAGAGAGAGAGAGAGAGAGAGAGAGAGAGGCTGAGAGAGAGAGGCTCGTGTTCGTACAGCACACAGCTTACGAGTCATTAATGAAATCAATCAGTGTAAATTTGGCCATGCACCAGATAAAATAGGTCAGCAATTGTCTCATTAAATACTGTCTGCTCTACACTATCCCTTGTAAAACTTTGGCCGTGTATCCCCGACATGATCTGCTGCCTCGTTCGCCGGAAGTTCGTACAGTACGGGCAGGCCCCCACAAGATATCTCACATCTGGCCGACTTGACTATCGCGCAGTTCGTCCGACGTCGCGAGCAAATGCCAACTCGAGGAAATTCAACTGGGTCCTTGTAGTGTTTGATATGGTACGAGGCTGATCGGTGGCCATGACACCGTTCGCATTGAAGCTCGAGAATCGGCAGCTTCACTTGTCGCGCATGACCAGTTGCCTCTGCTGCTTGATTGCCCAAGTGCCTTTCGCCTCTCACTGAGTGATTGTCGCTACCACTCATGGTGAAGGACTCTATGAAAAATCTGGCTCTGCTCGCCGCTCGTGAGAAAGTAAGACAAATAACCAGCAGAACGGAATCTAGCCATACCTCGCGTTCACCCACAACCCAGTTCCATGAAACCAATGCATGTTCGCACCGTGACAATGTCCAAGATAATTGAGAAAAAAGAGTAACCTAGGACACCAGCCATAATGGAAGGGCCCGACTGCGGCCAATACCTTTTGTAGACACACAATCATAAAAATTGCACTCGTAAGAAATCGTGTTTAGTCAGATGTCGCATCGTGTATGTAGATACATTGCGGCTTGAGCGATGAACAACGCCCATGTGAACATGAGAGTCGCCCATTTAGCACCTGTGCGATAGCAACGCACCATGGCTGTTATGGCTATATGGCCGTCTGTTCACTTTGCCAACGGTCAAGCAGGGTCCTGCTCCATCACTTAACCGTTGGGAATAAACTTTCTCGGCCTGAACGGTTGCCGTCTGACGAATTACATTTCAACATTCACTTCAAATTTACAACGTATGATGCTAAGACATCAGCTTTGCCGCAAACCCTCATCTCCCGAAGTATCGGATGGGGTGTCTACCCTCAACGTTTATACAGAATGACGCTGGCTCAAACAAATTATATCCACCCCACCATTCCGGACCAGTCAGATATAATCATGAAACTCCAACAGCTTATTTCCATCATAGTGAAGTTTACGCTGGTGACAGAGTCAATCGGGACTAAAAATGTTTGTGGTGCTGATCAGCGCTCTGATTGTTATGGTTGTCACGCCCGGCCTGGCCGCCGCATCACGTGCGTCGCCGCGGAACATTCCCACGGCTAACGTAGGTTGCCCATTTTTATCTTTTAACCAGTAGCCATGTTAATGGTATCTAGGTGTTGTCCACACCCTTGACGCTCTTCGCTTGGGATGAGCCAAACTGCCGTGGAAACAAGGCCTATACCGAATTCAATTGGACCTCGTTCAATCACACAAGTTTTGACAGTAACATGTCAACTTTTCTTGTGTCTCGCAGCTTTCGACTTAATCGTACATTGGAAGAACAAGAGCAGCTGGATATTTCGGTGACCAATGATAACTCCACGTGGTATCCGGACAAAGATCTAGGGTCACACAACAGCTCGTCTTGTACTTCTTTCTTGCAGAGTTACTATGCGATCAACGGGAGTCCTGCGTGTCATAATACCCCGCCGTTTACATGTTACCGGCTGTGGAACAACCCCGGCTTAGTGACAGATTGAAGTTTCCGTCTTCTATAACTTTGATTCTCTATGGATTTACATCGTTAGATCAGACTATCTGGAGCCTTGAGTTTGGACATCAATTGAAGTGACCTCTATAGAAACCATCGTCCAAGGATATGATCAGTTTTGAGTGAAACAACCACGTAGAAATTACCATGGAAGAAACAGTCGTTGAAATGAGTAAATGAATGCCGCTTTTACCCGGCATTGACCTCTATCGAATATACAAGGGTATTTGACTCGTCCGATGATCGTGGTGATAATGCAGTGGGATGGCACAGGTTGAAATGGCAGTCTCTGCTAAAGGGGCGAGCAAAAAATCAACTTTTGTAAAATCCTCGTTCCAGTACCTCCGTATGGACAGTCATATTTTAAAATTGCCTGCTATATTCTGGATAAAAAAGACCGGATCAAGCGCCGTCACAGACCCGGTCGGGCGGACGCATGGACTCGCGACTTCCTGCGGAGGATCCCGCATTGTGTCGCTTAGCGGCCACATGCATAACTGGAAGTGCGAGCCTGTCAAGGCTCCTCGGCTGTCCTGTCGCGATATGATGTCACGTATCTGCCCCCGAACCCGAGCCAGATTTCCTAGGATAGACTCAACACGAGGCAGAAAGAACGGGTATTCCTCCGCGATTTCGCCGGTCCGTGTTATTAACCTGCAGAATCGAAACTCTACCCACTGGATCTGCTCAAAAAGTAGAAATGCAGACATGAAGAGGAAAATGTCGTCGGCGGAGGTGTGGGGGGGACAGAGGGTCTGGTCTAGTCCACCCACAGCCGTGCGGGCTATCATGACTCGGATAAAAAATGTATTCGATAGGCGATGGAGTGAAGAGTTTCTGAGCCCCGTAGAGAGGTGCATCAAGGGGTTCCATCGGGAATAGATGGTCATAATCGGAGGCAAAAAATGCAGGGGACGACGGTACATCCGAAAGATCTTCCCATAGCTGCTCCAGATCCAGATCTAGGTCTAGATCTAGAGGTGAGACTGCAAACGATGGTGTGAGCACAAGCACTGAGACAGAGCGGTCGCCAGACTTACCGCTTCGTGGAGCATCCATAGTTTCTGGGTACAGGCGCTTTTGGATCCGCTAGAGACAAGTGCCTATTTATGCCCACCTTAGAACATGCGGTCCATTTGAGAATATTAATGTATTTCGTAGACTACTGCTGACATCTGCATAAACAACTCCATGTTGAGTGAGGCTATCTAACTAGCGATCGCGTAAATGAAAAAACCCGAGCGAAGCCGCCACATCGACACATCAACAGGAGCTGATCGGCCGTCCTTTTGGGAAAACGGTTACACCGTTTGTTCCGCGCGTCTGGGTGCGTGTTGGGCGGAGAGGGCTTGAGTTCCATGGGGTGTGTCACGTGACGTGCCGCCCGGCAGAACGTGCAAATGGGCGGTAAGCCTTCCTGACTAATCCAACTGTCGTTGTCAAGTGGTGAGGTCAACTGCATCGAGTCAATACTGGCTCGCACACCATCCTCGTGGGTACGTCGAGATAACTCACTCATTTGATTTGAGAACCTATCACTACTCTGCAGGATCTCGAAAACTCCCTGTTGGATTGAGTCGAGGGTCTGACGTCGATCCCAGAGCAACAGGGCTTGATTAGTGCAGGCTTCGTGAAGTCGCCCGTTCTCGCGCGCCAGCCAGTCATTCGAGCTCTGCAGAAGCCGACGCTCTTCTTCCAAACGTATCATCGCAGCAGACCTGGTGACGTAGCACTCCCACAAACACAAATAGAGATCGAGGAGCTCAATTGCCGTTCTCGCAAGGGAAGCGTTCTTGTGCACCATGAGGCGCAGCTCACCGGTAAGACTGGTTGTCGCCCCTCCGGCTATCTAATACTCCTATCAGCGAGGAACGGATATTGAGTGCTGGATTTGATCACCCTTTCACTACTCGCTGTCTTCTCGTCAGACGCGCCAATGTCTTGATCGGTGCCAATGATCCCGCTAGACGACATCTTCGACGACTGTCGCTTTCTTTTCGCAGGGCGTGCTGAAGGAGATTGAGAACTTGTTGGATTCATTGAAATAGCTGCGTGCTTTCAGGCGGGTATAGGTATATGAGAGACTCTATCTAATGGCCAAGAAAGTAGTCTTGTCGCGACTTCTTATACGGTAGCCATCACTCTAAGCGTGTTGAAGTAACCTGTAACATCCCTCAGAAATATATCAGACAGCTCGATTTCCACACGTAGTATCGTCGAGCGTTGGAATTATCTCTATCAATCTAGGGTCCGTATGGGACCTCGAGCTTATCGGTTATTGCTCATCAATCTGCGGGCGGTGGAGTTACTTTTAGAATTAGCACCCTGTGACAACAGTCTCCTATGGAAAATCACCTTAACTAAGAATGAAGGGAAATTATTGAAGTCACCTATGTCAAGCTCATTCGAACAGTGATGTGGGGGAGATTTTCGACATCGTCTTGACTAGTAATCCTTTCCTTGCCCCGTTACAGTACCAACACCTCACCGCAGATTATTTATTGAACAGAAATTATGTGTCTAGGGTGTACAGTAATCCTGGCAACTCCATCAGTATTCTCTTCTAGTCCGGTCCAGTCTGCATCGAACCAGCTCAGCGGTAGGAGGCGCGACCGAAAAAGGGTTGAGTAAAGCTCGTAGGGATTACGGGGGCCAAGGCTTTGAAACCAGCCATTCAAGGAATTATGCAAATGAAAAAGAAAATGAAAAAAAGGGCCAGCGAGGAGCTGGGCAAGGAGATCACGGGTCAGACTTGATCGATGTCCGCGAATTTAAGGCATAATAGAGTTTATGACGAAATAATGGGCGTGTAATAGCACAATTTTCGGAGACTACTGGATGCACTCTAACTGATACTCGCTCTGCAGGACTGCCACCTGAGGTTCCCTGAAAGTAATCTGCGGAGTTAGCGCTACGTGCTTCACATTACAGTGGATTTCGTAAAGCACAAGTGGGACCTCTCCTGCTCCATTTCCTTCTAGCTGCGGGCTTTGACGACCAAAGCACGGAAAATAGTGGAGTTCGCCGCTGGGTACATTTCGAAGGCGCTCCGTCTGAACTGAAGACGTTTGTCACAGCGGGGTTCATCAACGTACATAAAATGATATGATTTGAAGTCCGACAGGTTCTGGATCCGATTTTCGGGAACATAGTAGTGAGAGTGCGGAGTTTTAATTTACTGTACAGTAGCTGATCCCGAAAACTACTCTATTAAGTTATATTTCTCTAATCGCATGCTATTGTTAATTTTCAACTATATCCACCGCGGTGCCGAGTCCCACAACCTGGAAACCTTCCATTTGCTTTTCCAATTGCGCTCTGCCTGAGCCTCCTGAATACGAGAGTTTTCCAAAGCAACCCGTAACGTATCAAGAGTCAGCTTCAAATTTGCGTTTCCCAGCTCGGGGTCAAAGTGGCTTTGAAGTGATAGATCTTGGGTGGGCTCGACGGCAGATACTTCGAATACAGTGGTCGCTAATCGGCGAAAATTATCGAAGCAAGAGCTGTAGAACTGGTTTTCGTCTTCCTGATGTTCTCGCTGAGCAATCTTCTGATTCTTTAACTCCAAAAGAGATAGTTTTTTTTGATTTTTTAAGATGCTCAAACGTGCCCGGGTTGTCTCCAATGCCATAGTAGACCCACGAGCTAACGCAATCTGGTGATCTAATGAATTGATATCTGGTAGATCTCGTCTAAGAGGACTCGGCACTGGTGTATGACTCCAAGATAGGAAGCTCTTTGGAGTTTCTGGTGTCCGACTGTAAATACTAGAGGCATCATCCAAGGTATCCTCATTTTCATAGTCTAGAGGCATTTCAAAAGATACCTTCTTTGAATTAGGATTCGGCTTCGGCAACACATTTATATCGTAGAGTATTTCAAGAGTATCACTGACAGGACGTACTATCCACAGATAATCTGAAGAAGCTGCCTAGGGTCTGGGCACGTTGAGAAACGATTAGCGTGCCTGATCTACAGCGTCATATTCTTGGAAGATGGGCGATCATGAAGATGCCACAAACGTTTATCTTAACATGAAATAGTCTGGAATAGTGGACCATAATGCTCCAGTTCACTTTGTTGCAAGTCTTTGAAATTTGTAACCGATGTGGTTCAGGGCAACAGGCCTGAGTATGAGTAACCGTTATTCCGGCACCCAACCAAGCAGCAAAAATTAACGGGCGCCACCAGATAAATGAAGTTTTATCGGGCTCGTAGATCGCCAGCCGAATTTAGGCCATTCAAGAAGGTCTACGTAGATTTATAGTCCCAGTGGATACTATATTGCGCTATGTCTATGCCCCTGCCTTTGAATCACTACCCCCTGCTTACCTAAATAGCCACCCACACGAAAAAACATCGTGACACCCCAACATGGCGTTAAGAAATATCACCAAAGAAAATTTTGTGTTCGATTTTGACAATATACTGCAGACATTTAATCCCGAGAAGAAATGGAATTTATCAGAAGCGCATCCTAGCATGAATAATGACTTGCGTCTCTCTGCCAAACGACAAACACTAGCTATCCGGTCAAGAAAAATCATCAAAGGGGATCGAAGATCTTTGGGTCTTCCGCAGATCTGCGAGTCTCCAACTAACTCCACAGACATGATAGTAAGGCAAGAATCTCCTTGGGACACTTACCGTCGCATTGGTGTTCTTGAAATTGGGGGACAAGTCATTATTGCGGTGGATCTTTCTCGTTCTTCTCGAATGAGGACATTCCGTGAATATGCAAGGGCGGATACCGAACAACTGCTACATTATTTTCGCAACTCCGACAATCCGAATATTCTTTGCGCTCAAGAGTGTTATCTTGATCAATCATCGATGTATGCTCTTGTTGATCATCTCCCATTGACATTAAACGATCTTGTTCGCTGTCGAAGTCTCTACCCTACTGAGGCAGAGCTAGCCTCAATTATATCACAGGTCTGTTTTTCGTCCACGATAATCGTTCCAATTAGCTAAAATTGACCCAAAGCTCCTAAATGGGCTTTGCTATCTTAAAGCCATCGGTTTAACTCACCGCTTTCTTACGTGTGGAGAAATACTTCTCGGGTATGATGGAACTATTAAAGTTGGTTCGTAGTTTGAGATCACTCAGAGAAGTTACTACTCACGATTACTGCAGGTTGTCCGGAACTATGCGAGGCATGTGACCCTCGCCAATCAGATCTTACTTACTCCAATCTATTGCCATCGATTGTGATGTGTCTGATGCAGAAATATGAAAAGAAAAATGGAACAATAGGGGTCGATGATGTGGAACTTTGGCCGGTTGGCTCCAATGCATTTGAATTCTTGTCTGCTGCATCCTCGACTATCTCGGTGGATGAATTAAAAATCGTATAGTTGCAAGCCACATTCTCTACGCTTTATCTTCATAGCTAACTGGTCAACAGCAGCCCTTACTCACCGACAATTGTGGTTCTGCAGATGAACTTACGACCCTTGTACGAAATATTCTGATTATCGTGAATATGCGTTGACCAGTAACGTGGAGTCAAATAGGTCCGTGGAAGGTGGGTTATGGGTGGTGGGTAGTTGCCATTACACACCCACTCGAACACTGCATGCGGTTTTTATGCATTTAAAGATGATAATGGTTTCATTTACCCAGCCAGGCCAGATTTGTACCTGACCTAACAGGCTGTGGTGTATATTTCAACTTTGCAAACGGGATGCAAGATTCTGCAACTATGTATTCGGATAGTTAGTTGACTAGTTAGTTACTGTATGCCATTTACTAAGCAACTTTGATGCCTCGCCGAGGGTTGTTGTGGCTTGATAACCTTTGTCTTTTCAGTACCTTCATGTTGTTCGGCTTTAGAAAGAATTCGAAAACAGAATATCTTTCCCAGAGCCAACAAGAACGCCAAGTCCAGATCGTCAGGTTTCAGAGTCTATAATAGCCAGTAATACCGCGCCACAACTAAAGGAAAGGGGCTTTGTCTAGCCTGATTGGGCTTAGCTGAGTAAATTGTGGTGTATGGCTATTTTTGCTTTCGGGAGAATAATTGGCAATTTACCAGACATATTTTAAATATACTTTGAAAAAAAGTTGTAAAAATATTGAGAGGCGACAAATGGGTGTTTATCGAGTATATAGTTTTCTTATAATGACCCATTTTTAGGCGTTCCTTGTAGATCTGAATGTGGTTTGCTGACACCTCAACCCTATGGTTGCATGTTACTTAATATTCACCACACGAAAAAATTTATGACCTAGGGAATACAGTAGATGATCATACAAGTTTAAATTGTTGTACGGTCTTTGCAACATATTTTCAAGTAACAATTTATGGAGGTGATGAAATCAAGAAATATATGCTATCTCCCCCAAAGGACCTTGACAAAATCTCTTTCGCAGTATAATATCCTGTTCATTTAGGCGTATGAGACACCGTTAACTTCGGTGTGTTAGCGGTGACTTATAGAAAAACTCTCTTAGCGCTAAAAGTGCTGGACGTAAGTAGCGCAAATGGGCTGATCCAAGGGCTTGGAAAAACCGAGTAACATTTCTGACCCGAGAAGAGGATCACAACCGTCGTCGTTTCAATTCCAGGGCTGGCTCCATGAAATGAACACGCTTCCTGGTCCTTTGACAGCAATAGCAAAATCTTTTCGGCGGCCAGGAAACTTCCGAGTGATCAGAGCGACCGAAATAAGCGAAAGCCTGTTGCGCCTGAAGGATCCCGTACACCGACTTCGGGAAGCCTCCAATTTTGTGGTATATTTGATCGTTGGCAATTCCAAGGGTAATCTCTTCATCCAGGCTCGCAACGGAGAAAGATACTTTTTTCCGATAGTACCCACATAGATCACAGCCGTCGTCATCTTGCAAAGAGCCGAGCTGATGACCACGACTGGTCTGGAATTTGCCACCTGGAATCTCGGTGGAGACACAACTGAGTATGTCCCTAGCTTTGGGCCTCGAACAAAATATTGATCCTCTGCAAGTGAAAAAACCTTGATTTCGAGTAGGGGACTCATCCAGCTCAAAAAAGAAAAACCCAGTCACCAGTACTGCCCTCACTAAGTCATCCGGTACGGAAAAATTCATATTCGACATCTTGTCTACCTTTCCCACATCGTCCAACTGGGGTAATGTTTCAGATAATTCATGATTGAGTCGAAATATGTTGGCAGATGTATGATTGGGAAGATAGTTCAATGTTTCACGAAAGCTTTGCTCTCCATCCAAGCATGGGGAAGATAAGGTCGCTCGAATGATGCGAGGAAGTGCGCTGTTCCGCCAGGAGCGGCGAGAAGGCTGTTCAGGCTCAGAATTCTCAGAATTGCATGTAGAGAATCCTGTTCCAACTGATATCACTAAAGAATACTTCGCATTTGTCGGCCAGATAATCTCTGACTCTTTCAGAGCAATTGCAAGGGGATTGTTGGCTCGCAGACCACCGTCTTGAAAGCTTCCAAATCCTGGAAGAGTTTTGGTTTGGAAAAAGCTTCCTTGTTAGCTCATTGACAATCATGGACCTAGGCTTAACTTACAACGGAGCAGCAACACTACACTGGGCGCTGTAGATGAAGAGGCGTCATTAGCATACCCTGTATCTGGGGCCTTTTAAGATGCGCCCATATTCACAGAGACTCGCAGAACTCACGCTTCCCACAAGAACGGGTTTTGCTCATCATTATGTGAAACCAAAAACTGATATGCTGCGTTTGGATTTCGATGGCCTATTCCATGGTAATTTGCCAACACGCACGCTTTTCCATCCGAAGACCGACTTGTTATAACGGCGACTCGACAACCACCACCACGGTTCGTCGGCGCATCAAACATTCGTCGTTGGTGTCCTAGTATCATCTTGAGGTTATATTCCAAGATCCTGGAACTGTAATGACAGTCATTCATGAATGAAAGTGCTCGGTCAATCAATCTGAAGCCACGATGCAATGAAAACTTTTCTCGGTATGGTGGAGCTTGAAAGATTGCTTGTGCAATAGCGGGGAATTTAGTAAAACCGTCCTCGGCGGATGTGTCGTTGAATATCATGTCCAATTCTTCAAGAGCACCTTGGTTAATATCACATCAGCATCTGATTCAAGAAATGATAGTTGCGAGCTATGCACCCACCAACACTCGTTCCCGTACATTGGTCCGGGATATCTCCAATTCGTAGAGGTCCGAGTCGTCTTTCCAGAGCCCGTAAAAGGCCCAGTTGAATTATACCACGAACCCCTCCACCATCCAAACTAAGAATGAGAGGCCCCTTGGTTGGTGGCAATCGTCGAATTCTGACCTGAAAATGTACTCCGCAAAAAGGGCAAGAGGTAAGATCAGTGTGGTACTCGGCACCGGAATTTGCCGTGCCGAATAACACAACACAATCATCACACAAGGAATGCCTACAAGGCATCATATGCTCAGGAGGCCGACACATGCAAGAAAGACATGTTGTCATTGAGCCCAAGTTACCCCATTGATCAAAGGAATGTGCCATGGATTCACGCCGGACTTGCGAGGACATCCTCTTTAAATTTAATAGAGCGAAAGCTTCGAGAAAATGAGCCAACAACTTCTCTAAATGGAGCTCATAACCACCATTCTTTACCGCTTGCAAGATCATATCCCGGTAAAGCGAAACGAATACTATTTCTGGATTGAACACTGTTGTCGTTAGTCTTTGTCCTCACATAAGATGCAGATAATGGTCTCAATTTACTGTGCATTCCAGGTGGATACGCATTCATTAGAAGTGCTGAAGCGAGAAATCTGCAAACATCGTCACTTGAAAAATTCGGGTTCACTGTATTCTGCAAAAAGTCTAATACAAAAGGTGCCATCTCTGAGGAATCCGGGAAGTTTTGTCGGGCCACAAGAAGGCAATCAAACTCTGAACGGATTGGTTTCTCAATTTTCACCAGGAGATTCCAGTCCCAAAAGGCCTTCAGATGCAAAGCGGAGAAAGACAAGTGCATCCGTTTCTTTTCGTTGAACGAGCACTGTATTTCATTTAGAATCAAAGCGCGCAAAGGCTCAAATGCCACCGATGGACTCATTTCGGCCCGACCGCTGAGATTCAAAATAAACAAATTCGATGGTACGTGATCATTGTTGGCTAGTTCCGTAGCCGCTTCAAAAATCGAGGGGCTTGATTGAGCTGTGACGACAATAATCATGCGCATCGTTTCTGGAACCTCTTGTCCACCTACTACTAATTTTTCTCTTGGATTTTGAAAGAGCATTTTTAAATTCTCAATTTCAGAAAGTGAATCCACAAAGGTACAAAAGATATCCGTCCACGGAAAGAGGAGCTTCCTGATCACTGCACGTTCAAGGTCCTCAAATTCATGTGGCAAAGCATGATGGATAGGCCAGCGTCGAGAGTTCGTAATAGATTGCCCACAAACAGACGTAGCCCCAAGCCCAGTCCGGTTACCAAGGTTACTTTCGGCAAATATGATAGGGCTTTCGGTACGGACAGTTGCTGGGCTAACATGGAGCCGGACCAGTCCGGCTGGTCCTTTTCGCGTCACATTATTTTGAGTAAACAGTGCTCGGAGGGCTTTCATCCGGTGGCCGTTACCGGCAAAGTAAATGAAAGAGGGGAATTGCGACTCAGGGTGGCTCATATCCTGAAGAATCTCTTGCAATCTACCAGTGTCAATCAAAGACCATCCTTTGACATCCGGGACGAGGTCAAGCCATGCTGCCATGATACATTCAATCAATGTGGCCGAAAATTACGGGTAGGTGACCCATTTATGAAGCATCAGGTGCGGCAACTCCACTGATATTGTCTTTATGCTTGTATATGCTAGTTGACGTTTAATTACTATTGCTGAAAGAGAATTGACCTTCCCAGTAGGTTTACAATTTTGAAAAGTTTAAATGGTTAGGCTGTACTTTGAAGAGTGAGAGGGGTAGAAAAGTGAAACATGTTTAGCCAATGAATCTGTGGCGTTTAAGATCTTGTGTATTAATTGATGCTGTTGTAATTTTCTCAGCGCCTACTGTAGCCGTGAGGCTTGCACCCTATCGCTTGATCTGAGTTGAAGACTCTTTTCGGAAGTTCTGCGATGCAACCACTATTGCATCGCTGTTTATGTTTTGAGTTTTTTGAAATTTTGATTTTTGATTGCCTCTCTGGAAGGGTCACAGTCGAGTGCAAAATATGTCTGTCACCGATTTATTACCCTTTTTGTGAGCTAAGTTAGTTTTGAACGTTGACCTGCAAGTTACCTGGGAATGCTTTTCTTGATTGTCCAACAATCCAATGTAACCGAAACTGTTTAGCGATAGAGCGACATTAAGATTATCTCATTGTTTGCCAAGATACAATGATCTCAACATGATGTACATCTCCGCAATCACCCCAATCTATTAACGGAGTGGCCGAATGAGTTTTCGACCAGTGTTGCAACAGAGGATTTCAAAACAGTTGATCCCCTGGACATGTGTGGTCTTTTCCAAGAGGCCCACGTGGGTATCTATTCCGTATCGCTAATTTTCAGATTCTTCTCCAATTAATCACACGGCGTTACGCTTCACTGAAGGTACTTAATCTAACCAATACTAGCTTGGAGAGTGTGGTTTTTTTTTTGGCTTTCTTTATATTAACAAATATAAAATGACACGCAGCAAGATTCACGTGAAACAAGAGCAGCTTCGGAAACGCCGCAAGAATCTCCTACGCCGCCACAATGACTTCTGGCGTCTATACTCAATTAAGAGTTGGGTGGTCATGGAAATGCCGAATGGCCGAGTCTACTCATATCGCTCCCACCCAGAACTTCCTCCGCCATCTGTAGACTATTCGGTAAGGTGCCCTCTTGGTGATTTAATCAAGATTTTGTACTGATATTTCAAGACAAACCAATCCCAGCCTACGAATCATAAGACCCCAGCAGACTATGATCAGTCGATGCAACTTAGTATGCCAAAAACATCTACCATTTCTCCACCGGATCGTCGAAGAAAGTTATGGGAATTTCTCGCGCAGTGCCTGCAAAATATCTCCAACACAAGGTCTTAAGATAATTCCGAACAAGGTGCGGAGATGAAGAAGGCTCTGAGCGAGGCTCTTAAGACACAAGATGCTATCCAGCGTCTCACCGACACTGAGAAAGAGCTTTGCTATATTTATCCGTTTATCTATAATGGTACTGTACAAGAACACTTGATGGTCAATGTACTCTAGCACAAGGAGGCATTTTCATTGGCTACATCTTTCACCGCCCCAAGCTGTTGCGAAGAAGATAGCTGAGCGGCGGTTCTAGGCGTTTTTGGTGTGAATTTGCTAGATCTGCTGTTTGGCCGGCTGCTTGGTGGTGACGGAGTACGTAGAGAGATATTAAGCATAGTAAGCACTCTCTCGGGGTCTAATGGTACTAGACCACTAGCTGCGAAGCTATTTTTAATAGTGGGATTGGTCGATTGGAACGCTTTGAGCCGCGTGCGCTGGTAATCCACTAAGAAATCATGCTTGTCAATATGGTTATATCCTCTGCGCGCAAGATCGCTAACGAAACGCCCGTACGCCCTTTTTAATGGAGCAAAACAACCAACATCTAGTGGCTGTAGTAGATGTGACGAATGCGCAGGCATAAAAAGTGGGATAATATCGTTTTCTGTACAGATTCGATCGAATTGGGGTGTAAGATCGCTACCATGGCCATCAAGAATCAATAGCCGAAACCGACCTCGTACGCGCGAATTCGTGTGTGGGATAAAGTGCTTCTCTAGCCAGCGTAGGCCAATCTCATCGGTAGTCCAGCCATTATTTGAGACCTCGATTCGCCAGTCTTTCGGTAGGTTTTCGTTAAACCATCCTGCAATAACCACTTTGCCTTTGAAGATTATGCATGGAGGTAGTGAATAGCCATCTGCGCAGATTGCTTCGATCGCGGTAACCCATTCGCGATTTCCTCGCTGGAGAAGAGATCTCCGACCGTAGTATTCAGCGCGGGTAACTACCTTCTGCGAAGATATAAGACCCATTGCGAAGCCCGTTTCATCAAAGTTGTAGATGTTGTAATGCAAAAGGAAGCTTGATTCATCTCATTTCAGAGGGACACAGAGAGGCCATATATACAGCATGAAGTCCAAGTTGATTGGAAATCAACTTGGAACTTCGTATAGATAGTACAGGAATTATTTCCGATGCTGCGGCTTCATTCCTGAGCAGCTACAGCCTCATATCACAACAGTAGATATCCTCCGATTGTATACCGTTTTCGTTAATAACGCTTTGTACGGTCGCAAACCACTGCTGAATCGATTTCGTATCTTTCTTTAGGGCTCTTTAGTAATAGCATCTTCGAGAGAAGCGAGATCGAAGCTCATCGCGGCGTTTAATAAAGGATGAGGGCCAGTTCTTGCCAACGGTAGGCGGAGGGTAGTTGCTCGCGCAGCTAGTAGGATATTAGCCATAACTCCCACAGTAGCCGGCCTAGGCGTTGCTCCACGTGATTCCATAGAGAGTATTCATTCAGCAAGCGAATCCTTCTAATTGGGTCAATTTATGGCTATTTGCGCGAGAATCGACGCGGTAAACCACCCCTCTAGCGCGGTCATAAAGTTGACTTCGGTATTGCGTATAGCTCTGCTGCCGCGCGGATAGATTTGATTCGGCCATCTTTTGAATCGAAAAGGTCTAAAAGGATCTTGCCCTCTTGATTGGCAGATTTCTGCGAAGATTCAGTGCGAATTGGTGGCATGGTGGGTGGTTGAATTAGACGGTTTAGTAGGAAGACGCGAATTTGGATGGGGTGTCTGGCTCGCCCGGGTGTCCGACTCACCCGGGAATTACGTTACTTCAGGTTTGACGGTTAATGCTGAATTCCTCAGAAGTATTGAACATTAAGATGTCAAGCAAAGCAGATCGTGATTAAATCCCATAGGAGATATCATGGCAGGTGGTGGTACGGTAGCGCCAGAGACCTCTCTTCAACAAGACGTAAACTATAGTAATTCCTCGGCGAATGATCTAGATACTTGTTTCTCGTCGTATGTAAAATGAATCACGAATATTTTGAAAACCTGGAGACTTCAAGATCCTGAGGGATTCCCTGTATCCTAGACTCCCCATCAAGACAGCCCTCATGATTGAACACACCCATGTTCTTTGATTTGCGAAAACAAGAATAGCACAGACGTTGCAGATACAGAATGCAAACAATTCCTAAGGTAGCACCAGAGATAGTTCCAAATATTAACTGCCATCCTCGAGCTGACAATATTCTGGATGCCTGAGTGTTTTCCATTGTCCAGTCCTGTGCTGGCAGTGTCGGATATCCCTCGGTGGTTTGTGAGGTTATGTTAAGCCCTGTCGTGGTGACTTGGCTTTGTATTGAGGGGCTAGTTGATTGTGTAATAGGTGTCCACGCCAAGTTCGCAGGTTCTGTCCTGCTTTGGATGTGACTGCGACTAACTCTGCCCATGCTATCATCGTACTCCATCTCTCGTGTTACAGCTCCACTCGGATGAGGCCAATCATTATTTGTCGGAAGAAAAGTGAACAGTAAAGATCTCTGTTGCTCCTTTGTTATGCTTTTGCTCCACTTCAACTCAGGCATAGCAGGTTTGAAATATATTTGGGACTCAGAGACACTCGCTGGATTCAATTCTGTCACTACCTTTGAATCAAGATTTTGGGTACTCTTAAGAGCTGAATCATCGATTCTTCCGATCTCGGCACCCTGCGTGTGGGTGTTGAATAAAGGTGTATGATCAGTGAGTTCAGTACTTGTACCAGTTTCCAAAGTGCCGATCAAATTGGATGTGCTTTCCATTAGATCTAAAATTGAAGTTGCAACTTCAAATGCCCCTCTTGTGCATGCAGCACTGTCACAGCTGGACCTTTGCTGTGGTTCGAAGGCATTTTTAGTGGTAATAGTTATTGCAACTATACTTGAGTCAGAGGCATCCGATGTCAAGATATCCTTAACCTCTTCTGTAGTAATTCTGGTCGTTGATAAGGTAGTCCAACTTGTGAAGGTTTCATGGGCATGAGAGACTATTCGAGACGGCGCTTTGCTGGACTGTATCTCTACTCTCTGGTTTCTATCCGAGTGTCAGCTTTTGCCAGATCGTTTAAACAGAATTGATGACTAACCCCAAATTTAAGGACGATCGAAGATGGCTTTCAAAAGCTGCAGATCTATGAGCGAGAACTAGCATTGTCTAAATTATGGTTTCGACAACAACAATGTAATTGCAAACTGAGAAAATCGAGTTTGGGCTAACTGCTGATGAGTCATAGATTGAAGGCTTCATGTTAGATTCCCAGCACAATTTCTTGACGAGGGAGTGACTCAAGAATGAGGAGACGCTGTTGGTAAATATATCCTATTCAGGGAGCTGAAGAACATGTATCCCATATTAATCGATCATGACATACTTATTAGCCTCCTTCACGTCGGTGGCAGATCGGAAAAAGCACTAAAGTGAGACCCTACCTAAAATGCTCCAACGATTGACTTCAGCATAAGGTGTTTAAATAATCTTTTTATGCATTGAAATATTGATGGATTAAAGGGTGAACAAGCTGATTGGCAACGTTAACATGACAGCTATTTTCGCACAAAAAATCCTTTACACTGCTGGAGTTCATTTGAGCTCCATATTTACCCTCTATATTTATCTATATATACCTTCATAATACTGTACAGCTTGCTCGTGTAAACACAGAGACATTCACCTCCAAGTGTTAGATGCGGAGCCATTTTTTGGTGGTACGAATTGATTTTTTTCTTGAGGGGGGTGGTGGGACCTTGAAGGCAACTACAACTATTCAAGCTATTAAGAGCGCCCTACCTGTATTGTGACAGACTGCTATAAGTTCATCCCAGACCGCCTGGTAGCTTGCATAGTTTATGTACATGGAAATTGTCTGACTACATCCACCATGTCAGGTGGTATTCACTTAGGGTTTGACACCATTGACAGAGAGATCAGACATCTTCAATCACACGTAACTAAAGAGGAGAGCTCTATGTATACGGTGGATAAATCTGAAAGCGACTCGACGGATACAGAATATGTCAAAATGCTCAAGGGGGAAGCTGAGATGGATATAAAGTACAATCTTGCAGCAAGCTCCGCTAATTGGTCCCTTCTCGCGGGATACCTGGTTGTACCTGGAACATTCACATCATTGCAACATTCAAACAAAGTTGAAAGCGCCTTACAAATGAATAAGGCGGGAAAGGCCATTCTACAGGCAATTCAAAACCCTCCATTGCTCATAATCGCTTGCCTTTTTTTCGCTGGTGGCTCATTTTCATTAATCTGCTTGCTTCGATCTCGAAGAATAAAGCACAATTATCCCTGGTTGATAAACAAAATCTTCATGTGGGTCAGCTTAACTAAGAGAGATAACAGCGCTTACACGATATAGGCCTGCCTCATTTAACGCGGCTGCGGGGTTACTAACTACATTCGTCAATATTTACACTTCCCGCTCAGGTAATTGGTCCGTTATGGCCATTGCCACAACTATTGTTACGGGCCTCACTTTGGTTGTATTTTCCTGTCTACTATACATCTACAAAACAAAATTAAGTAAGGTACAAAAGGAAGATAAAGCTCGCGAAGAGAACTAGTTTATTTCTTTCATTAAATCAACCGTGAGACGCTAACGTACCGACTAACGTTGCATTTTTTACATGTGTGCTTGAAATCGACTTTACCATTTTGTTCGCTTGAATTTCCAGTTTAATCTCCAGACAAGGTGGTGGGACTTACTTGAAAGATGCTAATTTGGTGCCTTTGAGATTGAGACGTCCTTTTTTGGTCTCTGGCAAGTCATAGAAAGCCAGGCTATTCCCTTCTCATTCAGCTGAACGAAGCAGGAGTCCGCTTAGTCTCTGCCGTTTGTTGTAGCTTTTGGTTCGAGTTTAGCCAGAGCGAGGCTGCTCCACGGATATCAAGAAACAACTTCTAGAGATGATTGTGCAAATGTGCTCTTCTCGAATCGCTTCTAGATTGCGGCTCACTGGCAAAAAATGGAAAGACTCCAAAGCGTCCATCAAAGACATTCTGCAAAAAGCAACAGAAGGCACTTGGTAAATACTTCCCCAGAAGCTACTCCAGTTCAACCTAGAAGAAAGCCCGTCGATATTCAAAGCAGAATCCAAAAGCGTGATCCAGGCCGTCAACGAATGGTCCAATTATCTTGTTCGTCTCGTCTCAAAGACATTGTGGAAAAGATGTACCGATTGAGCAACGTACATGCCTTGCAGCAACTTCTCCATCTCATCTCCTCTGGTCCCACAAAGGTGATCAAGCAGGCAGCCTTCGCAGCTAGTCTGCTCAACATTATTTAAAGATTGTCCAGATACAAAGAGGCCGCTCAGGTGCTTCATCGCATTGCTAAGAAGTTTCCTCTTGTCCGAAACATTGAGATTCTACTAGCAACCCTTCCCCAAGAGGCTTTCGATCGACTGAATCACCCGGCATACTCGCCGAGCTATGCTGTCTCGACTGGGAAAGATCAATGGTAGGCAGTATAATATCTCCCAGATCTCCCGATTTATTACAAACGACAAGACCAAGAATCCGGAGGACCATTTCTCTGAGCAAATGATTAGAACTCTCCAAGAAGCCAAGATCTATTAACGTAGATCAGGCTGCGGAATCGGACAGCATCGAGCTGTGCCGTTGGTCGATATAGTCTCCAGGCGCTATGGTTGACATGTGTGCGATACGTCGTGATAGAGGGTTCCTGGATCAGAAGGACATCCAGGTCTTGGCTTTGAGGGTCGTTGATCAGTGCTTCCATTCTCGGCCCTGATTTCATCATGTTCAACTGTAGGATGCGGAGATTTCTTTCTAACATCTGGCAGGGTCCGGGGTCGCCGGCATTGAGCATTGTCGGTCGCCAGTTGGGTGTTCGCGACTACAGTCCAAGCACCGCGCTCTCACTCCTGGTGGGCAGCGCTCACGTTCGTGTTGCCCTGCGCAGTGTCCGCATCGTGGAGTCTCCTTGCACGTCCATGCCAGGTGCCCAAAGCGTTGGCATCGATAGCATCTCTTTTTCGTGATATCGCATCGTTCCACATGGAGGATATAGTGCCCGCTAACAAGAAATCCACTGCTAAGCATGTGTTCTGCCCCTTCGATGGAGTCGAATCAGATCCCCAGCGATGCGAACTTTCCCAAAGCCTTGTCCTTGGAATTCATCCATCCTAGCTCTTCCGTGTGGAAACCGTAATCCGCTAAATCGTTGTCTCTTCACGGGCGGGAGCGAGTGGGTGCGTTGGATGGCACGGATATCGCTGGTCTCGCCGAATGCTTGGCTAGTAGCTTGATTGGGTACGGATCGGCAATGTCAGGCAATAAATTTGAGGAAGGACGTGGAAGGTAATGGAACATATGCAGCTTCGGAATATTATCCAACCGGTCCCGATGAGCATTAACCCCTCATATCACCTCTGACGACGACAACTCGCTGACCATACATCTATTCACGGCGGATGATGATCTTTCTTCCGTTAAAACAGGACACACATGACCATCTCCGTTCCCTAGCAGACTAACGCGAACTAATATCATCAGTTTTTGAGTCTCTTCTAAAGTGGGGTCCAATGGAGAATCTTCCTGAGGTATGATCAAGCATCGTCGTGAAGGTAGTGTAGAGCTTTACTGATAGATGCAGGAAATCATATTCGAAATATTCCAGGCACTTGATTTCGAGACTCTCAAAGAATGCCATCTTGTTTCTCAAAAATGGTATCGGATAGCTACGGGGTTCTTATTCCGTCGAGTTGTGTGTGACGCAAAAAATATGGCGCACTTCAATGAAATTCTTGCAAGCGACAACTTATCCATTTTCATCAGAGTCATATCAATCGAGAATGCGTCAGATAGTACAGGTGATTTGATTTTTACGATGTTCAGTCATCAAACGCTACGCCAGCTGATGAAACTTCCAACTGTTTGTGTATTTCGTCAATATCGTCAACGTGAGTTCATCACCACACTCACTGGTATGGATCCTCAGCATACACTGTCCATTCTCCCGGCCTTCGAAAAAATTCGGCTTATCACCAATGAAGAGCCCTACCTATCAATGCAGGTCTTTAGCAAGCTCCAAAATCTCCACATTGACATGGAGATCATCCGCCTACCAAGTAAAATGATATATCCTGCCTTGGTAGGCCTTCACCTGAGGGGAGCTATCGACTTTGACTGCTTGGAAGGTTTTCTGAAGAATCATCGGCATATCAAGCAATTGCATATAGCGATTGTGGCCACTCTTAGACCAATTGGTTATTCAACAGACCTTCTGGACATGCTAAGGAATATCTTGAGCTGTGGACTGGATGCTGAGCTTTCTGGGTCAATCATGAGACAGGCAGAAATGAATGCCGGCGGGCACGAACGATTATTGTTGAGAGAGATACATGCTCAATTGGAAAATTTGGAGGCTAAAGTGGCGAAAGAGTTGCGCCAGAATATTATCGCAGCTTTCGAGACCCTATTGAAGTATGAACTTAACAAACACCACGTCATCATAGGGGAAACACAGATATCAACTACAAATCCATCCCAGCTCGAGGTAAGCTGTTCGATAGCATGGTTTTGGGAAGACGATCTAGCCATCAAGGGTGCAACTGTGCCAAAAGACTATGCATCAAAACGCGGGCTCCGGATATCTCATGTATATCAAAGGGCTAGTCCAACTTAGGACTGCTAGGTTTTCCATAGAAGTCGGATTAGAAGGAATTTAAGCTAATTTTGGATGGTATGGATGTACCAGTATTAGTCTTCTACAGTAATAGCATAGCCTTTGTCGTGAATGATGCAGATGAAGATGAAGACAAAGGCTGTTTGGATGAAAAGGCAGGACTGTGATAAACGCATGGGATTTAGACGAACAGGATAGTCACCGCTCGGCAAAGCTCCTGTGCAAGCACCGGTTCCACTGTACAAGCGATACCGCATACTGCCAGCGTATGCTCAACACAGTCAGGCGGCCCCACTGATGCTTTTAATGATCCCTGGTAAAGTGTGGATGGCTGTTGCTCAATTTTTTTTGCTATTCCCACTTGCCAACCGCCAATACTATAGTTCTCGATGCGGCTCTCTTGACATCAGGAGAACATTTGTGCTTTGCAATTTGTCGATTTGGGTACCCATCTCGTTGGCAGACTGATGAATCAAATATCGTACGGGGACTCCATCACGCCCCCACCGGGACACGCACCAATAAATTTTGATCCATCTACAACAACACCATCCCAGATCCAGGGATCTGTCACATTTGCTGAAGAGAAGGATAGGGTACTGAGCTTCTCCGGATTAGATTGACCGATTTCTCCCTGTCTGAGCCGTCGGACGAGGAACTGTTGACTGGGGTATCGATCTTCGTGGGAGAAATCACCGAATGCTAGAACCCGAAGATTTGGGAGGCCATTGGGCCCGAAAGCCCACTCGGCAAATTTCAGGAACTCTTCAGCTTCGAAAAGCGAGATATTCTTCATTGTGGGCTCTGATAGAGTGTAATGCCTAGGTGGCAAAGCAAAACATATTTCGTCAACACAAGCTGAGTATTCGCCGTCATCTTTAACAACCGGCACAGAAATGCCTTTATAGTGGCTGTTGTTAAGGAGGGCCTCGATATCTTGTCGGATATTGCGGTGAATATTCTCAGGCCCGCTAAACCGTAAGTGTAAAATCTGCAGCTGCATCTTCCTGGCCTCGGGCCAGAGGAATTGCCGCTAATCTCGTCAGCTTCCTATTGATCACGATAACGTAAGTCTTACCGCTGAGGCTGGGCTTGCACAAAGTGCCAAGCTCGTGATGTGACTTAAGTTCACAACGTCGGACAGACATGGGATCCAATGTGGCATAACGTCTCGATCATCTTCGAATAGCCCATCATCGTCAATGTGTTCAAGTTCTCTCTCATGATAAACGAGACTTTTCAACGTATTCCGGTGGTGACTGATTGCATCTTGAATGGTAACTTCCCCAGTGGGAAAATTGGTCAGTTTCAAGTACAAAGATTTGAGGCCTCGAAAAGAGAGGAGGAACGCAGCTAGTGCGTGAAAATTTCGATATTCACTGGGTTCTAACAGTAATGGATCAATGCAAGCTTCAAAATGTTCGAGGCGTAGAGGAAATGGAGACTGAGATAACCACCGCAATAAGCGTAGCTGGTTCGTACAGTCTCGCAAAGTCAGCGCGCGCAGGGAGGTAAACATAAAGCCATTCACTGATGGCTCCAACGGTAGAGCGACCTTAGAAAGTGATAAAGCAGACAACGGCAAAATCGGCGTCAGCTGTCCAGTGATTCTATCCTCTGAAAACGTGCCTTCTGGCTGGTGGGATCCAAATGACTCCCAGCGTAGAGCCCGCGAGGCAGAGGATGTGAGGAATCCAATCGAAAGGTCCGTCAGGTGGCCAGAGTTCCGATCGATACATTGCTGCAGGTATTCGACTTCCTTCGGATGTTGGATGCTTTCCCAGGCTAGTGTTGTTAAACTTGAAAGCTCAGGTAGGCCCCCAAGGCTAATACCATTTTGAGGACAGGTACCGTCAGTGACCAGAAACAGTCCCGAGAGCCTATTTTGGTGTTGGCTGAGATAACCCCCCTGTCTAGTATTCCCATTGGAAGACATGTTCCTAGTCGCCACCTATACATCGGTTACTTTCAATGCATAAAGAGTGTCAGGGGTCGAACGCACTGGAAAGTACGCAAACTGTTAGGTTTCAAGCGCGCCAAAACCGTACTGAGCTGCTCCGCGATGTCGTCCAGAAAGTGTTCGTGAGCCGCCGTGTCATCGGATGTGCCAAGCGTAGTAGAAAAGGGGGAGAGCCCCGCAGTACGAAAAATGCTGTAGTACGCACATCTATTAAAACGAGCGAGATGAATGGGTGCGTAGAAATGTATGTGCTTCGTATGCTGCAAATACTTCGCTGCTAGTAGGCGTCCGTGGTGAAGAAAGAAGGAATCAATGTCGAGAACGTTTAATGCCCACTCACTGGTAGAACGGAACGTAACGGCCTGATAAATTAGCTGAATCAATGCTGTATGCAGCCTGGATGATACTTGACTCAGAACACGTAGGGTCGTAGTTGGCAGCTAAGGGTCTTTTAGTACTTCGAGATGAGTAGTGGCAGGGGCCTTACAAAGTCTGCGATCAAGAAAAGTATTTCGCATGGTAGTGTCTCTAGCATGATGCTTGGCGTGTGTTCACCTTAATACCGTGGGTCTACACTCTTAGGTGTCTAGCTGCTATATACCGGCTTTTATAGCATGCACGTGAGTAGAAAGTCCTCATATTAATCCATTTATGCCATGCTGAGAGAAACGGTGAGCGCGTGGGCCCATCACCGGAGTTCAGTTAAACGTTTGGGGGTTGCAAAAAATTTCACTAAATCATTAAGCGGTGCTTAGTTGTCTAACTTATAACCAAAATGAAGATAACGAACCAGTTTGACGCAAAGCTAGAGCATAGGAGCGAGGAAGAGCTGCCCACCAATATGTGCAAGAATGTTAGGTTGTGAAAATCTTGATGTTCAACGTTGAACTACCAAATTTTGGGGGTTGTGGGAACAGGGGATTTCGAACCAGTTTACAGTACAGTACAGTTGACGGCTTTACTCTTTTGTTTTCCTGGCCCCACTGCCAAGGCCCTAGCAAATCTAGTACCTCTATTACGGGGGCGCTCGAAATCAAGCCCATGAAATTAACGGCGAGCCGTCTGTTCAATTGAGATCCATATACTGACAGTATTGAGAGCTTACAGGGCCGCTCGAAATCAGTTTCACCTTCTTTATTCCCTTCGATTCTTTCTCAAACTCTACTCTGAAACACGCTAGTCTATTTTAATCTAGCGTATCGTAACATCGTGAAACGTACTTTTACACAAAGTCAAATCATTGTTTCTCTTGTAACATTCCTGAAATACAATACATTCCATTAAAGTCTCGAGGGAGGTCTCGGATCATTGATAGGACGCTTTCTTTCCACGAGAAATAGGTAGGAGCAAAATACGCTGGAGTTGCGTGGTCACCACCCATTATGAGAACAGACAGGGATGTAACGAAAATATCTGCTTTTGGGGATACATCAGGAGTATGAGGTTGGGGCCTTGGTCAGCTTGATCAGTCACCTGATCGTGGAGCACAATGGTTGTTCTGCTGGCCTGAGCGTTGGTCTTATTCAAACACTACCATGGCATCTGCGATTTCATTCGGCGAGTCAAACTCTGGCTCGCAAGCTGGGATCATCAATGGCAACGTCACTACATCCTGTTAAGTTTGCGGCTAGTAACTCTAATGGGGTCGTGGCTAATTGGCGTGATTGCTTCAGTACAATCAGAATCGTCCTTGAACCAGGCGTGCTTGCGGGATCTACGAATGACTAACCCTCTCGATGACAAAGACCGTATTAAAAAAATCAACCGACCAGGTTGTGGGCGGGGAGGTTGTTGAGACGTTATTGAGCAGCCGTGCGACCGCCTCGTCCCCGTGCTGGTCGGCGGCATTCTAGATCGTTAACATATGACGTTAACCACGTAACCATACTTTCGAACCGTCTACGTCGTCTGCAAAATTATTGTGCCAGTCTAGCCTCCGTCTCACGTTAAAAGCGTATGTAGATCATCATCACTACGCAAGGTTGCACACATATGCAAAAACGGACCACTTCCTGATCCATACTCTGGACTCATATGATTCCTACGATAGAGTATAATTAGCTCGTGTCCGCTTACTCTTAAGATCTACCTTTAAGTTGCACCGTTATACGCGGTCTTTCGATATATCCTATATCCTACGGTCAACAGCAAAGCTACTCCTCGCACAGCATATCTTTGCCGTCGTCAAAATACAGTGACCATTTCAGACTCGCTAGGCAACATTTTGAATAAAATCGGGAACGTTTAGAAGAAGCAATTCTATTCGGCAGCCAACGCAATTATCCGGCCCTAGGAAGTGAAGTGCCTTGTAATCATCGTTCTTACTTCTCCCCTCTAGCTTTCTTCTGCCATAATATGGACCTCATACAGCTTGAGGATGTGGTTGCGGTATTGGGAAGGACACTTGCGGAAGACGATCCTTCTCGACTAGGATCAGAGCATGACCTAGCAGTCGCTTATCGGACGAACGGCCAAATTCAGGAGGCAGTGCTGCTGCTTGAGCATGTGGTTACGGTGCGAGAAAGGACACTTGCGGAAGATGACCCTCTTCTTCTCGGATCGCAGCTTGACCTCTCAGTCACTTATCAATCCGATGGCCAGATTAAGGAGGCAGTTCAGCTACTCCAGCATATCGTTGAGGTGAAGGAAAAGGCACTGGCTGTAGACGATCCTTCTCTACTCCAATCCAAGCATATGCTCGCAGTCGCATATCAAACCGATGGCCAGACAAAGAAGGCTGTTGAACTCCTTGAGTATGTGATCTCTGTCGGTGGAAGGAAACGTGGTGAAGACCACCCTGCTCTACTGGTATCAAAGCAGGACCTTGTAGTCGCATATCAAGATAATGGTCAGATTAAGGAGGCAGTGCAGCTGCTTGAGCATCTGGTTGCGGTGCGAGAAAGGACACTTGCTGAAGATCCTTTTCTGCTAGAATCACAGCATGACCTAGCAGTCGCTTATCGGACGAACGGCCAGATTAAGGAGGCAATGCAGCTGCTCCAGCATGTGGTTATGGTGCAAGAAAGGACACTTGCTGAAAACGATCCTTCTCAACTAGGGTCTCAGCGTGAACTTGCAGCCACATATCGGGCTGATGGTCAGATTAAGAAGGCAATACAACTGCTTGAGCATGTGGTCGCGGTGCGAGAAAGGACACTTGCGGAAGACGACCCTCTTCTTCTCGGATCGCAGCTTGACCTCTCAGTCGCTTATCAAACCGATGGCCAGAATCAGGAGGCAGTTCAGCTACTCCAGCATATCGTTGAGGTGAAGGAAAAAGCACTTACTGAAGACGATCCTTCTCTACTCCAATCCAAGCATACGCTTGCGATCGCATATCAAAACGATCGCCAGACAAAGAAGGCGGTTGAGCTCCTTGACCATGTAGTTGCGGTGCGTGAAAAGACGCTGGCTGAAGACGACCCAGCTCTACTGAGATTACAACACGACCTCGCCGTGACATATCACAGCGACGGCCAGACTAAGAAGGCGATCGAGCTCCTTGAGCATGTGGTTGCTGTGGGAAGAACACTTCCCGATGATCATCCGGTTCGATTGGCATCGCACCGTATTCTTGCACCGTTGCTGATGGCTTTTCTTCATCAAGATCGGGGACATGAGATCCAGATTACCGAAGATGTTATCAGGATGGCTGCAGAGAATAAGGAACATGGGGAACGGCTGATGACCCTCCTCATTTTTTACCGAGGGGCGGAGATAAAGATCACTGAAGGAATTCTCAAAGCCGCCGCGGAGAATAAGGAATGTGGGGATCGGATAATGGCCCTCCTCCTTGACAAACGAGGAGACGAGATCACGATCACCGAAGAAGTACTCAAGGCGGCCGCATTCAATGAGTTTAGAGGAGAATGTTTGATGGGCCTCCTTCTCAACGAACGGAGAACCAAGATCAGAATCACTGAAGAAGTAATCAAGGCAGCGGCAGGGAACGAGAGGAGTGGACAAAGTGTGATGACTCTCGTTCTTGATAGACTGGAAGAGACCAAGGACGCTGAGACCAACATTATACATACCTGGACACGGGACCTTCAGACCATCGGATACAGTCTCGAAGAGGTTGCGTCCCTTCTACTACAAGAAGCACGGGACTCCCCTTGGATATATTTTGAGCCCAACGACTTCCCTCGTACTCAACCGCAGCCTGGTCTACACATTTTTCAATGTTCCCATCATTGTTGCTCGTATCGCCAATCGGGGCATGCTCGGAACATGAAGACTTGGCCCCCAGAACATCACTCAAGGACCCGCGGCCATGAGGACATAATTGAAATGATTGAAGAGTTATGTGGTTTAGCGGGCGTAAGCCCCAGATCTCGAAATATGACTGATTGGGTCGGATCCGCCGAGTTCACCGAAGAAAATCAAATGGTAGCAGTGTCATATACACTACCGACTGATCAAAGCCATGTCTTCGATTTAAAGAGCTTCAAATCTCGTATATCTCGTGCTCTGGAATACTTTCGCTCTGCCGCTGGCATAGTACAGTCGCATGGTCTATGCTGCGACTCCTTTACTGTCCTCACGTCTAAAAATCAAAATCACAAAGAGGCAGCTACTCTTACTGCAGAAGTTACCCCTGTTGATTTTCAACTTGTGCTCAATCTGGCTGAAGCATTGAAATCGCCACCGGAACTACCTACTGTTGACAAACTTCTAGCCGCATCTAGAGCAATTCTGAACATCGTCTGTCCAACACTACCTGAGTTACGGGGAGGCAGTGACATACAATACTGCCTACATCTTTGCGCGTTAACAGTTCAGTTTCTCTGCCTTGGGTTTTTGTCGTATACGCAAGCACATATCGGCCCTCTTCAACCATTCTTCTTGGAGAAGCCCTTAATTCAGGTGAAATTGTTAGGGCTACGAAGGGAAGAAGGCTTTCCTTGTTTGATAGCAAAGCTCGTTGAGCTCACCTGTTTGGGCAAAATGACCCGTCGACCGGTTTTGATTTTCCAAGCCGGTAAGCATATCGCACAACATCAAACATCAGAGCGGCCGCAAGATCGACAAAATATCCAAAAATATGACGTATTCGGCCGTGCTGAATATATAATGGATACATGGGGACCGGGAAATCTCATATTTCCAAGAAAACCGTCAAGGCTCCCAATTGCCATCAAACTTGGAGATGGCTTCCTCTTCGGAATTGAACATGAGAAATGCCATTGGGTCCGGGGAATGAAAGATATGATGAACGCCAGCGCCATGGACCTTCAACGGCCGCTTCTAATCGGCGTCTTGGTTGAAGTGAATAATATGTGTCAACTGGACGAAGCACAGTGCCGGAGAATTTCATCTAGTGCCTTTGAACATCTCGGGACATTCCGCTCCTCATGGAAAAAGGCACACCGGACAGGGGGGATGACCGGTGGTCAGTACGTCTCTGCTCAATATTCGGTAGGTTGGGACAAGAAGGATGGTATTCCGATCAAAGATACAGCGCTCGCAAACCTGGACGAAGACCTCATTCAGTACATGGATGACTACTGGGGCGTCCAAGTGAGTTATTGTACTGGGGTAGCTAGGAGAGTCCTTTTACGGACGCTACTAGCGGACCTTCTGCCAGCATTCTCAAAGGGGTTGGACTCGGAAACGAACTTTCTTGAGTCCAAACTAAGGGACGAAACTTTGGGTCGAAAAGATCTTCAGGACTGGCTCGACGGTCTAGAAACAAATCAAAATGACCTGCGTGAATCTATTTTGAAAATAATCCGAAGAATCCTTGATACTCTTCGACACACTGGTTTGGACCCTACGGGCAGGCACTTTTGTGTTGCTTGGCCTAAAAAAATTGACATATCCCGTTGTTTTAAATTTCCAGTTGAGCGTCAGAGTTCGTGGGCCGAAATCCTTGAAGATTCACCTGATTGTGCAACCTTTGCATACATCACAATGAAATGTCTGGAGACAGATGATATCAAGTGCAGCAAATCTCCAGAGCCTTACCATGAACATATTCGCCTACTTGAAACTGCCGTCACCAGCACTGCACGAGGGACGCTTCCATGTCGGGAGATGGTACAACCGGATGGTATTTACTATTTCTCTACGATGGATAACACTATCTGGGTCAAGGCTGAGAGAAGAAAAGCAGAACGACCAACTAGTCTTGCGAAGTTGACTGTAATTCAGTCAATGCGTCCTTCTCTGAAGCAAAGATTGTACTTGAGCGAGAGGAAAAAACAGCGGGAACGTATCCGGGAGCGTCCTACAGTTGAGGCTCAAGCAGAGAGTGTTTTTGTAATTTCGGTATGAAATAATCTAAAGTTCCAACCTCTGACCTTACATATTCAATTGGACCCAATCCTCGATGTATACTGTACTCTTAACGTTCAGAGATTAACGGACTGGAATGCGAACTTGGCTATATTACCAGAGTGACCAGGTAGGCGCCTTTTGTTTGCCTTATTTGCCGGAATGACATTCAACTTAAGCAGTAGTTTCTAGAACAATTGACCCATACAAGACAATACAAAGGCTATTTTTATATTGTTGTTTACAACGGTATTATAATACAGCCAAGCACAGAGTCAGGGGCAGCCTAACTATATTAGGTTAAGTTTGAAGTAAGATAAAGTTCCAGAACAAATAAAGAGAAAGAAGTAGGTGAAGCTAATTTCGAGCAGTTCTGTATCGTTTTTTCTCTTCAGCGTTCATTATATCCTTCAGTCTCTTTACACCCTCCTGCTGTGCCTTGAAAGCTCTTCTGTTTCCTCATCCTTGATTTTTTTCATGGTATTTTGGTATGCCTTGACCAGGGCTTTTCTTTTCGCTTTCTCTTCATTCCTTAGCCTTTTTGCGGCCTCTTTCTGTGATTTCTCGAGGGTTTTTCGTTTTGCTTTCTCCTCATTTTTGAGCTTCTTTACAGCCTTCCTCTCTGCCTTATTGCAGGCTTTTTTTTCTGCTTTGGCTTCATCCTTGAGTTTCCTTGCCGCCTCCTTCTGTGCCTTATTGCAAGCTTTTCTTTTTGCTTTTGCTTCATTCTTTAGTTTCTTTATGGCCTTCTGATGTGCCTTATCGATGGCTTTTCTTTTTGCTTTTATTTCATCCCCGAGCCTCTTAAAAGTGTCCTGTTCAGTGTTGATGTCTTTAAATGGGATCACATTTGAAGTAGACTCAGCTGTTTGAATGATTCTTTTCTCTCCACTTGTCGCATTATTTGTCCCTCCTATTTTGTCGAAAAGCGAATATAATAAACCAAATAATATGAGTATCGATAATTTGTTCTGAAGAAGCAGAAATATTGATAGTAGTAAAATACTAAACGTGGGTTTGATAAACCCAGCCTAGATTAGTTCATAAGTGATTGTTCGCCAGGGACAGTTAAATATCTCAAATAACGAACCTTTTGTTTTTCAAGATGCTTGGACTGCTCAGACGAAAAGACGTGCCATTCACTGGAAGTCATTAAGCTTCTCAGTTCCGTTATATCGTTGCTGTGTCCTACTTGTCTCCATTTTACGTTGTAGGGTCTCGATCCGAATCGTTCCACCCATTTCTCGCTTTTGTCATTTGGCCAGAGCTCATAATAAAACTCTTCATCTTCGCTTTCCTCAATCATAGGATGGGTTGTAATGATTTTTTGAACGGAATTTTGATTGAGTAAGCCCCGGATTATGGGCTCTTCGATGAGTTGGTAATAGGACAGACCTGACGGATGAAATCGCTTTGGTGGTGGAGGTGAAAGCAGTATAACCTTTTCGCCCTGAGCTATCCGCCAAGCAAATATAGCGGAAGCACCATGAACATATCTACTCCATTGTCGGTTATTCTTTTTCAATTTTAAACAGTCTGGGTGTTTTTCATCCATGAGTGGCCCCATTGCTGTGGTCAACGTTTGAAGTCGATGCCTATCAGCCCATTCTTGGGCCTTTTCGCGAAGCATGCCACTCCAGAGGACTTGGCCATCCGGGATCCAATTTTCTGATTGGAATTGTTTAATAATTTGAGCCGTTTCTTGTACAGATAGGAATCGCCTGAATACTCCGACAAGTGGCGCTGGGGCTGACTGTTGGTTCGAAATGTGTTGAATAGTTTTCTCATAATCCATTTTTGTAGTTGGACAGGCATGAAGGAAACGAAGGGAATAAAGACAAAAGCAACTCTTTTCTTTAATGGCTCCAGAAAAATACCGAAGAAACTGAAGATATTGAAGATATTGCTAGGAGAAGTAGAAAGCTAAAAGCGATAGGAGCCTACAGTATCACTAATACTATATATATACGTGGAACGGACAATTGCCACCTTTGCGAGAATAAATGATGTCATAATTTTTCCCCGCTTTTGTCTTCTAACCTGGCTTTTATTCTAGAAACGTTAAAGACCTGGCAGAAAGTCATACACGATATGGCATCTATTGAGTGGTTCATCTTTAGGTAGAAGAAGTAAATTTGTTTCGAATTTCCAGGACTGAGTTCGGCTAGACAGAGCAATGCTACTATCATTTCCATTGCCTAGATGTGGACGACCTGGAAGTCTATCAAGGTATGAATTATTTCTATGGCCTCTATTGATGAAAATGCTCTGATCAAAATGAAAAGTACCAATGATTGAAAGCGCGCTTATATCAAGATTGGCAGTAATATTACACAATGGATACGTTACCTTACTATTATACGGAAACTCGCTGTCAATTCTGTATACCCCGTCAATCGATGATCTGCGCTAGGACCCAGGGTGGGGCCTGAGAAAACAAAAGCTGTCACCAGGTAGATTTTGGCTATTTGATCCCGCGCCGAGACAGATGCTTTTTTTAAGAGACTCCCATGTGTGTTACAGTACTCAAGGTCGCCAGGTTCTAAATTCTCCTGCGAACAATAATACGGCGGCAAACTTGTTGAAGGGGGTTTATTTTAGTCATGGTGGGGTAGGGAGAGAGAAATTCAGGCGAATCTGTGTTTGGATTCCTCTGTAGGGAAAATGGCATACTGTATCAGTTACTTTTTTTCGTCCTTGGTCTGCACGCATGAGGGTACTGCACTTTGGAGCCTTCCACTCGTTCGTACATTGAGAAGAAGACGTCTCACATCACAGATGTGAAGCACCGTCATAACCGGTTCATCGTCTTACGGTTCTCAGCCCTAGGGTAGCTAGGCCAATGTAGGCTCAGCAAGACAGTCTTTGTAGTCGTACGGAGAAACGAAGAAAGGTCTTTGGGAATTAAGCACGCTTCACTAGCTACTTGATGGCAGAAAAGTGTAAAATAAGATTTAGCAAAAGAGAAGTCGAAAAGCCTAACTAGCCTTGTGCAATACTGCATGAAAATACTTAGGGAACCGTGTAGTTGTTTTAGCTAAGCGACAAGCGCTTCTGTCTCAGATTTCTTCGAGTATTTCAATATGTACACTAACGCGCAAGATTCGAATACTTCCAATTCCATGGCAGGTAAATGGAATCTTACCAAATCGTTCATTTCAAAAGTCCATTCCGATTCGCCAACCAACTGCGAGAGGCGAGGGGCCGTACAATAGTATTATGGGACCAATCAGGTTGTAAAGCCTAGCGCTGTCTCGAAAACAACTCTGGAATAAGTGACCATGTTGTAGGTCACAACCAAGTGCATGATGTAGAGGCTAGGCTTCCAACGATGAACAATCTCCGTTCGTTCTAGTGGCTGGAGCAGGTAAAGCGCCCCGCCAAGAGCATTGTAAATGGCCATTTTGCCATATTGAACTTCGAGCGAAGAAGGAACAAAATGATTTCCAGTGAGGGCGTGGACAAGTGGCACTAGCGAAAGCAAGCCCAGGGAGATGCAACGACAGGGAAATTGGATATTCATGAGGGATGGGTGAGAATCAGAGAGCAGAAGACCAACAATATTCTCAACAGTGGCAAGTGCTAAAGCGGACGAATAGCCGAGCTGAATCCAAAAGCAATTCTCAAAAATCAGTACCACGGCGGGTATGGTACTGGCCCAAATTAACACTAAAAGTCCCGCTGATTCGACTTTTTTCCATCTCAGTGCCTCATTTTCCCGAAAGGCAGAGACTGCACGGCAAATGAGACTAGAAATGTGCCAGAGAGTGACTCCGGCACTGAAAAAAATCACTGATAGGCTGCTTATTATTGCGCCAGGGGATGATGGAAAATAGAAAATAAGGAATTGGAGGGAGAACCAGGAAAAGTAGGAGAGACCAAAAATATTAATGGTTGCAAGGATTGCGCAGTCGCGCAGATTTGGTATATCGAAATAAGGCATTGTGGGCACGAATTAAAATGTGGGCTGCTAATCCAGGGGAAGTCGTAGGTTTTAAATGCTGTGACCATGCAGTGTAGCTCGATATGATACATTTAGTAAACATCACAGTTTTCTGTTGATCTCTTTATCTCTTTGGAGAATAGGACAAACGTTGAGTATTCCTTTAACCGTTGAGGCCTCTTTTCTTCCTCGAACACGGATGTTCAACTTCCGCCTTGCATGGGATGACTTCACTTCTATATTTTACTATGAGAGAAACATAAATTATTTTGCTATTGCAAGTATCTTGCACACTATGTGATAATGGATGAAATTACCCAAATTGTTCGTGAAATCGGATGTCAACAAGCACAGAATGCCTACTATCGCGAATGCTACGCTCTTCTCAAGCGCCTCCAAGAATGTGTTGACCAAATATCGAACGATCTATTACGCCTCTACCATTCCGGCTCACTTTATTCTTTAAATGACGAAATCAGACCAGTCAATTCGATAATGGATGAGCTACGAGTCACTATTCGCGAATTGATCGAAAAGGCCGTTAATGCTCAGGCGTCTTGCGAGATGTACTGCCCAGTGGACCCGTGCTTTTCGGCTCGAGATTCTTTCAAATTCACAGACGGAGACAAGTACGGCTTATAAGGAAAGGGAATTTTAAATACTGTACTGTTGGAGGTTTGTTCAGTCACTCTGTGAGACTGGAGAGCGTAAGCTAAAGATGGATCAGCGTCAGACCCCGGCAACGAACCAGCGGGTCTGACCTGATGGAGAAAGAGAACACACTTGGCGTTGTGACACTCTTGTCTTTTTTGGTCCTCTTTTGACACAAGAAGCCTCCAGTTGGGAACACAGGCCGATGAGGTGGAATTCGAGAGGGAGTCGCAGAGAACAAAACGTGGACTAGGCGAGGCGGACCACATACTCCCCTATCCAGGCTGCTCGCGTGGTAGCCATGAGGGAGAAGGGGGTCAAGATCCTCCCGGTCGGGTCGAAATAGAGTGTTTTTCTCCTGAGCTTTCAGATTTGGAGAAGATCTTTGCAAAAGGTTGGTTATACCAATCTGTCGATGGACGGAAGCTTCATTCGAAATCTACTTCCCTTTTGTTCACAGAATAACTATCTCGGACCCTTTCTCTCGTCTATCTGTTTTTGATATAAGTGGATCTTGCTGTGACTTAATTCCTACAGATTCAATAATTACAGCGTTTGCGTTGGTCCCACTATCTAGATTGATCTCCGTGCAAAGAGGGGAAGCCGATTTCATCATCACTACTGTATTCTCTGGAGAAATTAGGCTTATAGATATTTTTGTAACTCACTCATACATGCGTCGCTGTCAGTTTCTGGTTCGGTACAGCGCTAAGCCGAAGTTGTCCATTGCCAAAGATGACGGGATCCAGCACGTAACTCTTTGCTTTCACTTGGAATAATGCAGTCAATTTCGTCTGAAATTGAAGCGAACATTTGCGGGATATCAAATATGAAAGTCACGCTTGGACTTGGGTAGTTGGAGAAAGGCGCAGTATCATGTCTCAATCTGTGGTCTGTTCACCAGGCTTACTCACCGCCGTTTGACCACCATGCCTGAAGCATCCACACCAGATAAGCTCATTGACCGACGCAGATCAAGCTTCCCAAGATCTGGAAAATCAGATAAATTGACCTTTAATGTAAAATCAGCCGAAGATTCGGTATCCATATTGGCGCACCAGGAGACAAGGCTTATGGAAGGAATTACTTTGCCAATGGAAAACAACATATTTCTTGCTTAGGAAAGTGCTTAAATTTTGCTTGTAGTTTGGTGAGTTGGAGTACAATATGTAGGTCCAACTGACTTCAAGGAGAAATTTACAGAAGCTCTGGAGTTGATCTTTGATTATTTATAAAAAGTGAGGGTGTTTAAGGGAGTTGTGTCAAGGAGATTCGACGGAGGATTGGTGGCTTGCACGGGGCACATCTAGGCTAGGGAATAGATGTCTCGTTCATTGGTGTGATATTTTTTGAACGTGCATACTCTTGCAATACTGATTTTGTCAACTGAAATGTGAGAGACGAAAAAAAGGGAGCCAGTTCCCTCAAGATTTGATTCAGTTTTATTGAAACAACTGCAAATTCTTACAGATCATCATGATCGAAGTGGTGTAAAGTTGGGTTCCATCCAACATAAACGGTGAACCAAATGTGCGCAGCACAGGCGTACGACTCATGGTGCAAACATCTCTTATAACAACAAATTCATATATATTATCATCCTTATGAACGACCATTTTGCCAGAGCTCTTGAATTATGTTTTGAGAATTTGAAAACCATGCCACGTTTGTCCCAAGCTCAAGTGGAAGCGGCCGAGAATGAGCTCTTTACGTATCAAGAAACTCACTTTGAACTATCAGCGCGAGTTGATATTTCCCGTCTTTCTTGGGATCGAAGTTTCAAGCGACAAATGGACGATCGTCAAAATGTGATCAGACTTGAGAAAATCATGGATATCCAAGGGTGCCAGCGCTTGAAGAAGGAGTGTCATGTGCCGGTTCTAGTTCCTGCAGCAGACTGGGGCAATCGTGTCCGTCCGCGGCAATTGGACGGCACTTGTACTTGGTTAGACGTGGATATTGACTATGAACTTCGCGCCCAAGATCATGAGAACCTCATCACAGCTGCCCGCAATAAGCTTAGGTCTCCGCGGAATCAGTGGTGGATTGTCGATGTTTACGTAACGGACCGTCAAGGTGCGTGGCAGTAAGACTAAACACAAGAGACCGAACTTCATTACATCCCAAACTTGTTGTTATACATCTCATCTAACCCCAATGAAGCTACCAATATAGAAAGCAGTGACTTGCTCCAGGACAAATTCATTAGGTCTCTTCGAGAACGCTTCCCTAACGATCATACGCCGGCTGATGGCCTGATTTATCAGCGCATCCGTTATTACGGTCAATTAATCGACCATTTAGTACATCCACTGCCGGAAGATCGCTTGTGGGCTGTAATAGCATCAAATCACTGGTGGGCTATTTTGGAAAAGACAGCTGGGAGCAAAAAAGGGAAGTATCTTAAAGCATTTCTGAAACATCAGAGCCTGCCCCAGGCTTTTGATGATCTATTGCCAATACCAGGCATCTGGGAGGGTATGCGAATCGGGTTACTCCACAAGCTGATTTCGATGCGATGTGACGAGGTACGTGCCATTCCATTCAGGTGTTCAATCTCTAAACTAGCCCAAACCTTGCAGCCTATTATGAACTACTTGCGCCTCGTCGGCACAACTTTCTCGTACTTGATGGGAGGAGACGAGTATTTACCTCTGGTAGATGGTGTGAGCGTTAAGTTACTTCAGTCTCGAGCACCCAAAGTATCAGCAAGAGACTTTGCTTTTCTCAAGACCCGAATGGAAACAGGCGACCTTTTCAAAGAAATCGAGAATGAAGCACGGCGTTGTGAAATATGGAACCGGCTCGAGGGTATTGATTATCCTATTCCGACACTGAAGACATTTTTTAAAGATAGGCTGTACCTCGAAGTTGCGCGATCTGTGATGCAACAGCTTTTCGTTCCTGATCCTGATCGAAAGCTCACAATCGATGAAGCTGTGGGGGAGCATTGGGGTACAGCTGTTCCCATGCCGACCCCTTTCAGGCAGGAAATGATTCGTTCCGACCTCTACGAACTCTGGCGGTTTAGTTTTCAATACGGCTTTGAAATGACTGACCATCGGCGATGCGTGATTCGCCCAAAGCCTGGGAATAATCGTCCTTCCCTGAGCAGTATGACAGAAAGGCCGGGGACAATAAATCGAGCGGTGCTCTGGGGGCACCTTTTTTGGCTTGCCCAACAGAGAAATATCTGGCTTCCTTTGGCTGGTGGCTTTCAAGTACAAGAAGCCGATCTACCTACACCACTACCACATGACTATCCTGAAAATGAGGAAGAAATTCCGGTCACACGGCGATGTGGTAAGCCATTTACGTACTCGGTAGAGGCTGATCGCTATGCCTTGACGCAAGAATCATTGGAGCAGACTTGGACAACCCCTCGGGTTACAGCAGGATTTGTCAGCAGATCTATCTTCTCGGCTTTTTTTGGATATCTCAATCCCAATAGACATAGTACGCAGGATTGCCCTACTGAATCGAACAATGCTGCCAGCGATAATACCCTGCATAGGGAAGACCTCTCATCAGACATATCAGTCGATATGCCTGATGAGATATCTCACAATCCGCCGAATGATCATTCAGAACGCCACTCAGACCCTATGACAGATGTCTACTCAGGACAAGAGTTCAATCCTCTCATGCCCTCACAACAACTGTTGTGGGGGAACCAACAGCCTCTCTTCTTCGCCATGAACGTTTCAATTCCAGGAGAGCCCATTCGAGAGCTGAAGCTGCCAAATGAGCAACAGACTCTGAGCAACTTTTTTGGTGGGCTGGAGCGACATCGGTTTCACATATATATCCCAGGAGAGGACCAGCGGGCTCTTCACGCCGATTGGTGTTACTCAGCTTATGAGCGTAATCCGCACCAACTGTTACATGCTGACTTTCTTCCGGAATGTTCCTTTGAGCAAGTCGACTCTACAGCTTCTGGGTACACGCCGAGAAAAAGGAGACGAACGGACGGTATTGCTGAACTGGAAGCTGTTAAATCTTGGCTCGAGGAGCAACTCGCAGAGCTGCAAGCCTGTAACAATGCGATGCAGGTTCCCTTTCAGTTTTCGCTAGGCGCCGAAAACACATTGGAGGAAATATGACATGTCCTGCATTTACTCGTTGGAAATTCGCTAAAACACCTTCAAATATGCAAATAGCTACGTTTTATCGTGAGGGTTAGAACGCTTAGATAGGATATATACCGAAATGTCGAGACGTTTGATCATGCAAAGTCCCAGCGGGTTGTATCTTTCTTGAATTGCAGTTGGTTTATCTGGAGAGTTACAAGAGAGACTATATCTGATGAGGTGAATCTGAAGATCTTGAACTAGTACCTGAGATGGGACTACGCGAAAGGGCGCTGTTTTGAAAAGGCCACCTTTCTCCTCTCACCTTTTGAATTCACATCCGTTACCTCTGTTCATTACTTTCGTAAATCTGTTTAGGTACTCTCCATATAGTAGGCTTATGTAGATAAGAGCCGAGCAGTCGAACAAAGACCATGTCCGACGGCAAAGCGCACGGAAATGTAAGTAATCAGGAAGGTAAAGATTTATTGCGATTGATTCCAACATCTCCTGCGGTAGGTCACACAGAGATGCCTTCTCCCCTCTGTACGGTCCATGTCGAGGCTCGTATATGATATATCGTAGTAAATGTCTAAATTAGGCGATTTAGTCTTGGCTCAATGTCGTAGGATGGGGGAGTGCTCGAGTATCACCGAAATGCTGGCTGTCTATTACTCCGGATTGTGTGGGATCACGCGGGTTATATGTAGCAACATCAGCAGTCCGGGGGCATAGTGGGTGATTTGCTCGAGGCAGTACCTTGGATGAGCTCTCGGACGAAATGTTGAGAGAGACCTTCTGGGTCAGAGGCTATTGTGCCCACGCTTTGTCCGCTTTCGAGATTGGCGATATGGTAGGTGGAGGCGGACAGCATAGCTCTGGCAGAAATCGTATTAACCGAATGCCAAATAATACAATCAAGGGGGTTTGACCTCCTTTTCGATTTGTCTCTGTGCCTCGGACCCGACTTCCCGACGTGGATGCTTGTGATTCCCCGACATAGGCCTGGAGGAAGACGTTGAAGTCGAGAAGCGCTCAGGAAAACCGTTCTCCAGTACAGTTGACGTAGATCGGTATGCTCTTTCCGCGAAATCTGTGCAGCGGAGTTGGACGACTCAAGTGACGGCCGGATTTCTACGTAGATCTGTTTTCAAGGCATTTGTCTCTTTTCTTATCGGAGACGGCCAAAGCTTCAATCAAGCTTTGGCAGCGGACGGTACTCTGGTCTATTCTGACGAGGCATGGTCTAAAGCTACATAGTTGGCCTAGTATGGAAAACGCCATCGTAAATAGAACCGAAATGGTGTCACAGGACAAAAAGGGTGTCGCAGGACAAAAAGGGTGTCGTAGGACAAAAATGGTGCCGCAGATGACTAACCGATGAGCGGCAGCTAGTTAGTTAACTATGCCCAGGGATAAAACAGCAGACAAGACTGATTGGTCAGGTCGCTTCGTCTGGCCAACAAGTAGCTATCACTCATCGTGGCCTTCGGAAACCCGTGGTCTTTGGATGCTATTTTCTAATGCTATTACTTGAACCCAGTGCTTGCTATAAATATCAACGATAGCATCCAGCCTATTGTTCCTTTCTAACAGTTCGTACCCATCATCTCATGACTGTCATGCCTAAGACACATTGCGGACGATTAGAGTCTTCTAGTATGGACAAGAGGTCTCTTCGACAGAAAATAAAGCGGCGGAAGACGAGCCTAGAACATAAGTCGCAGGAGTATAGCTAGATGTGTAGGGCTGATGTCTGCTTGGCTATACGGATCCGAGAGTCAGGACAAGTTTTTATTTTCTCAGCAGACTCATCAGGGTTTTGGTCATTTCTTAGGCTCTCAATTGGTATGTGCTGCCCGAATCTTGGGGCTTCAGTATTTCCTGACTCTTCTAGGGCTCTCACTATCCAAAGCCAATTGAAAGGAGCAAAAAGGATCTCGGTGAAGTGAAAATATAGAGCGACAGACTCTTTACAGTTTGACCACCGGAAACCTTGTCTAGCGTAACATGCCCTAAATCGCAGGAATGATATCTCTTTTGGCCAACCAACCTTTGATTGGGTTGATACTGGAGGGCAAACTCCTCCAGGGTTTTCTCGACCTAAGGATGCGTGTAGTGGTGGGAAATTGTACCTGTTCATAATATTATTATTTCAAGTAAAATCCTAGCTGCTCGGTTTCAACGGAGACAAGAGTTCCAAGGCGTTGGTGATGCACCTACTTACTGGTTGTTGGCGTTTCGCCGATTTTTAGATCGTTTTGAGCCGGAAACCAGGCGAGCCAGAATAGCCTCCATAGAAGACGGGCTGGGGTATGGGCGGCTCGCACTAGAAAGGCGACCCGCTGAATCATTTTAAGAAGGATCAGAAACAGGGGCCCGTGGGGCTTATTACTAGCCGCAAGTAACTTTAATGACGCTGCCAACATCGGATCGCTGGATAAGCAAGAAGGGAAGTATCTGCGGTTCGCGATTTGAAGTCTCGTGGTTTGAAGTCTCACGGTTTGGAGTCTTACGGTTTGGAGTCTTACGGTTTGAAGTCTCATGGTGTGGAGTTCGCGGTTCTGCAAGCCTTGCAACTATCTATAAATACCTCATCAGACGTAGAGGTCGGCCTCTCTGGCATTCTCCATACATTTAGCTAATGATCTTTGCAGATCCTGTTAGCGAAGGTGGTTCAGTTTGCCTCGAGCACAGAGCCTATTCTTTAAGAGGGACTAATTTACCCAGATAGCTAGGCAGGTCTTTTTTGCTCTCAACGGGGTCCGTTCGTTGGATGGTGACTGCAAGATGACTAAACCCGAGAGCCCAAGCATACAGCAGCGTGTTACGCAAAACAGACAGAAAAGAGAGAGGAAAGCCTATTCTCCCTGTTTGGGAAGAACTTTTACTGACTACTAGCTTCGATGTGTACCTTCCTCGCAGCGAGATCACACAAATACTTATCATTCGAAGCACAATGGCATTTATTAAAGGACGGTAGGGGGCCCTTGAGAGTGATGCAATCGGACTCGTCAAAAGGCCAAAGCGGGGCGGTGCCTGAGGCATTCATTAATCACAGCCAGCGGGCGGGTAAGCAGGTACACACCCGAAGCAGGTAAACACCCGAACACGCATTCCTCCTTCTTCCCTCATCCATGACGATCCATTCCCCGTGCCAGACGGCGGCACCCCATTTTCCCTTGTTATACGTTGCTCGAATATGTGCTGAATACTGCTTTGTCTAAATAATGGAGGAGACAATCGCTGAACTGCGACGTCAGCTTGAGGAAGAGAGACACGCGCGAGAAGAAGAGAGAAAAGCGCGAGAAGAGGCAGAGCGTCGTGAAGAGGAGGAGAGACATGCGCGAGAAGAGGCAGAAGGGCGACTACAACCCAACACACTTCTTCGCCTTCTCGATCGCTGCCACCACACACTCTCTCAATCGATCCAAGTCGAGACGGATGCGACCCTCACCACCCAGGGAGACGCGACCGACCCAGTGAACCGACTGTACCCCAAGAAAATCATCCCTTGGCTTAATTTTCCCCAACTACAGGAACAAGTCTGGGGGAAATTCGACCGCACCGCTGCCTTTACCTCACGCAAACTTTTCCCTTCCGATACCCAAATCGATTATGTCATTACGAACATCCAGAACAGGATCTATTCGGAAGCGTCTCTCCGGAATTTTGAGCGAGACACGGTTGATAACTTTGTCGAAAAAATCATTAAGGCTTTACGAGACGACGAGCCCCTTCGACACGAGTTCGGAATCGAAGGCCGCGTCACCTTCTATGATCGCGCAAACCCATCGGAAACTGCGCTGGAGAACAGCCTGGACCAACTGAATCTTCAGGACGCGCAAACACCCAAACGACCAGCGAACACTGGGCATGGAAGAGACAGAGGAGGAGGGGGAGAAGCGGCGCAGAGACAGAAGAGGGTTGGCACTGCAAGGAGACGCAATCGGCGCGCCGACCAGTTCTGCGTGCACCTTGTAGCTGATGAACGACAAATTCCAGTGTATGCAGTGGAGTTCAAAGCGCCGCACAAGGTGACAATCCCCGAATTGGTGGCAGGTCTACATCAGATGGATCTGGCTCGCGATGTCATTGACCAGGAAGGCGACACATTTGAATTTTATGCTACCCGCCTCGTCGCCGCTGTGGTCACTCAAATATTCTCGTACATGATCGACAGTGGAGTTCGATACGGCTACATCTGCACAGGAGAGGCTTTTGTTTTCCTCCATATCCCAAAGGATGATCCCACTATTATCCAATATTTCTTGTGTATCCCAAATCAAGACGTGCAAGCGGACGATGAGTTGCGCCTTCTCCGGACAGCTATTGGTCAAGTGCTTGCGTTCACCCTTCAAGCGCTAGCCGTCGAACCTCCGACTCAAGAATGGCATGATACGGCGCACAACAAGCTAACCACCTGGGAGGTCGAATATCTCGACGTGTTGAGAGAAATTCCCGAAACTCTCCGTAAAGACCCCCAGGCCTCTAATTATCGGCCGTCGCACTGGAAACGAGAGCGGAAGCGAGATCGGAAAATACACAACACGCGCTCTCGCGCTCGTTGTCAACCAGGCACATCTACACCGAAACACTCGTCGACTGAAGGCAGCGGTAGTGATCAAGAATCGTACTCGCCATCTACCGCAGCAGCATCGCGCACCCGATCAAGCCACGGGAGAGGCAACAACCGTAAGTCAACTAGAGGAAGCGAAAGGACACGAGCCAGCCGGGAGAACAAACAGACTTCTCCAGAAGACGGGAAAGCTACACGACCATATTGTACCATTGCCTGCATCCGCGGGATTATCAACCGAGACCCTCTAGATAAAAGATGCCCCAACTGGAAACATCACGGTACTCATCATCACTCCATGGGGCCGCAGGAGTTCACACGCCAGCTTCATCGTCAACTTGTACGAGATCGAGACCATGGGTTTGAACAGCTGCATGTCTGTGGTCGGACGGGCTACCTCATGAAAGCCACCCTTCTTTCACGCGGATACACCGTGATCATAAAGGCTACGACTATGGAGAAGCAACATCGCCTTCAAATGGAGGTGGACAATTATCGTCACCTTAGGAACTTGCAAGGACAACATATCCCTGTCTGTCTTGGGGACTTTAAGCCTCGCGTTGCATATTGGTACCATGGCGAATTAATGGCCCAGATGATGATTTTGAGCTGGTCTGGAACGCGGCTTCAGCATGTCATCAGCGATGGGAATTCCAGCTTCTTTCACCAAGAGCGCAACAGAGCTCTGGCTGTGCTCCGGTCGCGCGGAGTTATCCACGGCGACAGTGAGTGGCGTAATATGCTGTGGGATGACCTGAGTGGTCGTTTGGTCGTCATCGACTTGGAGGACGTGAAATGGTTGAAGCGCCCTCGGGCCCTTGAACCCACGTCTGGCAATACACGGCGCAGTCATTGCGTCGGAGGTAGGGAATATAAGGACGGCCTGAAAAGAGTGGAAATGTGCGATATAGCGGTGCCTTAAGGTTCTGGCTGTTCATTTGAAGACAATGCAAAACATTACCCAACAAAATTTCGAGTCCTCTCCGAGCCCGTGTACCAACTAGGTATGGTGCAACAAGAGCCCGACTTCTTGAGCAACAGAATTACCCCTATGACCTTCCCAGGTATATCTGCTAGACATACATTCCGTCAACTGGCCTCCCTCTGTCAAACACCTTCGAAAATTTCTTGTTTGATTCCGCGGCTAACTCCAAGTATATATAGCTCACTTGATTGGCGTCCGCCTCAGCAAGAGCATGTGCGATTGCCGCGATGTTTTTGATCTTTCTGGCAGTCAGCAAGTGAGAATGTACATAGCAGCGCTCTGGAACCCACCTCTCGTCCATTCAGGGCTAAAGACTCCAATTGTCGGAGGTCGTGCTCCTCTACAAGGGCAGGTCCTTGCATTGTACGTGCGTTGGCCAGAAAAGTTGACCAGAGACCTCTGCGAAATTCCTTGCTCAGGTCTTCATACTCAATGATCAAATGGATCCGGCTCAGGATTGCATCGTCAAACTGAATACCCCGATTCGAAGTCAAGAAGAGAACCCATTGATAATAGGGTTTCCAAACTTATGATATGCCACTGTACGGGGAAGTCTTTCTGGTGATTTATTGTTCTGATAGAACCGTAACCGATCAAGTGGTGCTTAATGATCGGGCACTGCCATCGAATATTCTGACAGTAGCTTGCTCCATAGAGGAGCAATGCTACCAGACTATTATGGGAGAGGACAGAGACCAAAACATCTTTTAAATATCGTTACACCACATTCCAGCAAAGATTTGCTAGAGGGCTCCGAAGTGACTGATCGTACTACATTCGTCCCATGACGATCATCCTAATCCTAGGTCGGACATAAAACAGGCACAAACGCTACAGTATTGTGCTCAAAGCATACGCAGCTGACAAGGTAAGCCGCCTTGCGGATAACTATCCGTGACTGAATGTTGAGCTAGGCTGTCTGTTGGCGGTTTAAGTCAAGTTAACGCAAATATTACATCGTATGGTTTTGGCTGCATACAATTGAGGCGTCGAGTTCAGGATGCGATTCCGAACCGCCAACGAGGCGTCCGACCAATAGGTATACAATGTTCACCTCGAACCGCCAAAAAGTACCTTTCTCGTATATTTCTCTTAGGAAATACATCATTTTCAGACCCAGTCTTAGTGGTGCATACAAAGTTGAGGTAAATGCAGCGAAAATGTTCTTCCCGTGAAGATGATCGGGTTCTTACAACCATCATTATTTGCCTTTGGCATAAAAACTCCTCATCCTTGAATGGCTGATTTGCATTGAGCTCCTCATTCTTCAGCAAACACTCGCGGAAATCAGGCGCTTATTTGCCTTGGTTGAAGAAAAGGGTGCCCAGCCAGTTCGCCTGCCGTTTTTCTCGCATCTGGGTGCCAGACAAGCATTTCCTTGGCGAGGTCCAAAAATAATTCCTTCTCCTCTCCCCCAAGGAATGAAGGTGTAACGCATAGTTTGCGGTCAGGGATCAGGGCTTCGTAGAGGAAGCGACCTAAGATGTTCCGTGAGTCTAAGAATAATCCGATCGAGATAGGGACTCTGGAAATACCTTTTTCGTCAAAGAATGGCCCACAGAAATACTACTCTGCGGTCTCGCATACTCTGCCGTCTTCTCGTCTGACAGGTTTCGGCCACGAGTACTCTCGCATACATTGATACAGGTAAATTCGAAATTGCCTTCCATGTTCTCCACATAGAAATTTGTTCTAGAACCCTGAGCCAAGACATGGCATTCCAATTTCGGCTAGACAGTCCGGGGTTCGATCCATATCATAGGTCGAAGCAGTATAGCTGGATCCGTTATTGCCCTAGTGCTAGGGTCCCAGATAGTTTCTCTGTGTAAAATGTGGAAGGCAATTTCGAATTTAGCTGTACCTTTGTATGACCTCTGGAGGAGGTGGACCGAGTAAGGCTATCATTTCGGCGATGTGTAGTTTGGCATCGTAGCGACCTTCGTGATCATGAATGTGCTGGAATAGCTCTTTTCCTTCGATCATATCCCACAACTGGTCGGTCATTAGTGGATGCAACAACCCAGGAGAACAAGGGAACGCACCAAAACACCAAGATTCCAAACATCCGCAGGCATTTGCCATCCATTACCCAGTATCACCTCTGGTGCCCGATGGTGGTCTGGCTGAATAGGCCAAACGCCCCAGTCGTCGTCTTCCTCGAGTCTGGTTGCCAAGCCAAAGTCGACCAGCTGTGGTATACTTCCCAGGCTTTTGAGTGGCCCGAAGTCATTACGGGATTGATACACAGGTCGTCCCAACGAATCAATCTTGAAAGCCATCGGTTTTGCAAGCTGAGAATTAATGAAATCAGCAAGCACAGTTGGGTCCTCGAATGAGACCATGATGTTCTCAAGCTTTAGATCTAGGCAGCCTTGTTCTCAGTATTGCCGATGAGAATAAAGGCCAGAAATGAACCTACCCGTATGAACTGTCCTGCACATTCCATGCAGATAATCAAGCCCCGTAAGAAGAGCACGAATGTATGTTTTAAGGAGGGGCAGTGGCATCTTTCTGTCGTTAAAGCGCCGCTGATACATCGATAACGACTCACTCATAGGCGGATACACAAGACATGGATAAGACCCTTCTGGGCATTTAACTTCAAAAGAGTCCAGTAATGTTCGGAGAAGTGACTGCCCGCGATGTGATAGGTCTTTTGGCCTAGTTGGGTAAACCAACATTGGCGAGGGGTCAATGTAAATGATATCACACACTTACACACACACATATTAAATGATTTACACCCACACAGACTGTATCTCAAGAAACAGATATGAGAGAAATCAATTTTACAGTGTACACGTTTTGAAGATGGCCATCAAATAGTTAAATTGCAACGACTAGTGACTGACTGATCATTGGAAGGTACGAGATAGGTGTTTTGGCCAGTAGTCGCCTTGGTACGCTAGCGCATGTGATAAAAGCTTGTATCAAGCGTACAATCATGGTTCCATCCCGTTAAGTCTTGAGATTTGGCCCAGTTTTCCTCTCCATTCTGATATGGGGTGAATGAAAATTGACCTCACAAACTATGCGAGATGAAAATAAGCGTTGCGGTGATCTGGAGGTAAGTCATAAGATAAAAGTACCCTAAATGGTGAACTCATTCTGGTATTTATTACTCACTGCATTATCACGGCTCCGCGAGCCAATGCCCCATCAGCTTGACACCTATTTTCAGCAGTTCTTCCTTTTGTTCCTTTGACCGGCTGTCTTTAGTTTCAGAAGACAGGACCTCAAACAGCAGAGGGAGTGTTTGGAGGATTGGACTGTACTTCGGGTATCGACTAGCTAAAGCGTGGAATAGCTGCTCCCCTTTTTTTGGGCAGAAATTATTGCCCTGCTTGCCAAGGCATTTACCCAAAGACAGTTTATGATGTCTTGTTGACTCTTTTGCCATTCTGCATACGCCACGATAAGCTAGCTTTACTAATCTTGGTATTTTGCGGCAGCCCACAGGACGGTGCTTGGGTAGACCTGATACAGAAAAGCGCTTCGGTATCCAGCAGGTAGGGATACTTGGGCAAAGTTTTGTCGAATCTTTGCATTTCCGAAGTACTGTTCCTGACACCCCGTGTTGACGCATGGAGTGAGCCAAAATAGTGCATAAAATCGATAGCAGTATTGCCGGGCTGGTTAGATTGGAACGTGGGCCATGTTGAAGCTTAGAAACCTCTGTGGAAGAGTTCATCGCAGAAAGATCCGAAGAGAACAAGAAGGCGTCCACCTGCACGGATCCTGTATTAATAGTACTTTCAGCTACATGTTTCTTCGCTATCTAAGCCAACCTTGGTATTAGTGAAACATGTTGCTGTGATATTTATCAGGTTCATACATTTGCTTCCCCTTCAAAACAAGCCAATTTCGCTGTTCCAGGTTCCATCTCCAAACACTTGATCGAATCGTATGCTTGAAATATCACGGGAAAACAAATACGAATGTTGGAGGTAGGTTTCTTAAATAATCTTCAAGTACAGTATCAGTGTTTAAAGAGCGGGAATGAGAGTTGACAGGACAAATGTACTTCGTCCACGGAGCCGAGTCAAAAATGGTTATTGCCGTTAAACCCCGTTTTCCTATGACCCTAAAATTCAAGGAAAAGCATGTATTATGGGTATATGACCTCCATTAATATGATCGATACGGGGCTAATCTGAAAGTTAGAAACATTCAAGGAAAATGACCATCAAACGGCGTTTGCGAGACTATTTCAATCTAATGAAGCACTACAGTTTCCAGTCTTCATAATAAACATTTATGGGAGATATTCACCAAGTGAAGGTAGGAATCTAGTGTAAACTATATTAACTTAAACAAACTTAAACAAACGAATCGAGGCGAGAACAGGGGGTTTAAATTATATGAACCACTAGTTATCTCAAAGCTGAGAGGCATTGTCTTGAACTATCATTCCCAAAATCTGAACGATTTTGGCAAATTTGAAATCGGCTCAGCAAATGCTCTCTCCCTCTGCACCACCGCCAATGCCTTAGCATAGATAGTTTATTGAGTAGACTGTAACTAGTGGAAGACGCCGTGAACTGGGATATGTATGGTACAGTACTTCATATCCTAGGGATATAATCGCAGGCTGCATTTTTACGTTGATAATTGCGAAGCCTGGTTTAAGACTAAGAGTCATCAACGATAAAATAGGGAGCATTGTTAGCCGAAGTCACGCTTTTAGGGCGTATACGATGCTAGTCGTTGATTCTTCATCTGTGAACTCCAGCAGTCGAGAAAACGACCACACAAGCTGTTTAATCGGAATCAGTACGGTAAAGCGATCTCGGAATCGCCTTAACCAGTATACTCTTTCCTCGGCTCCAACGTAAACGCCCCAGCGCAGACCATTTATTGAACAGGCCGGACTTAGTTCAGGCCGGTTTAAAATTGTTTTTATTTGATTTTGTATTGTTTTCCTACTGTAATACGTTCCAAATTAATCCCTGAGCGTTCAGCAAATAGATCATTAAATCAAGTAGGGACTCTATGCCCCAGAGACACTTTTTGCCTGGGACGAACTAAGATGGAAAGGGATTGTACGAGCCGCCTCTAATTGTTCTCCATATTGTTTGATTGCTTTTATCTCCAAGATGTAAATTGTAGCTAATACTAATGACTTTCTTAACCCAACAAGTCATCAAAATTCGTAGTAAGTATAGTAAGGATGATTTTGGCGTCTCAGGATGTCTCAGACGGCATCAGAGTAAAATCGCATAGCAGCAATTCCATTGCGAACCCCATAATTGGTAAATTTTATATTTTTCAGTAGCTAGGTATGCAAGGACATAAAGGAAATTTCGAGTTCATGTTTTTCGAGCTGGATTTGAGAGAGGGCATCATTCTGTGATAAATTATCGGGACCGATTTACAGTATTCCATTTCAAATAGGGCACGTCTCTAGTTGAATACTTGCTATAATCTTCAGCATTCATTAACCAATCTTCTCTATTTGAGGCTGCCCTCCCTCCGGACCCTGGTCTCTACCCTTCAGGGAGCATGGAAGTGTCTTGCCGTATACCTATTTAAGTCATATGCAGCAACAGCAAACGAGACGAATGAGCCAAGAAATTGTTGCCATTATTGAAAATGACACCGCAAGCCACAAGGTCGCAAACATGTGTGGCCCAAGACTCGCTTCAACACCGAAATCATTTAGAACGGCTTGAATTGCTGCTTCCATGGTGACGTAAATCACTGTACTACCAACTGCAGCGCCCATAACGAACACACTCGCCATCTAATTGGCAAGATCAGTCCAATTCAGTTCCGAGGTTGGTTTAACTTACGAAAGAAGAGAACGCAGTAATGACATTTCCCCAAGCAGAAATCATATTCAAAAGTCCTAGAGCAAAGGTAGCTGCGGTCAATAAAATTCCGATTATATAGGCTGAAATTGACCATCGTGATAGGGTTCGGCTTGCTGCATGGAGCTTGTCAAACCCCGGAATGATAGATGCGACATCCTTGGATACTGAGCCAAGGATGCTTTCAAGGTCAAAGGAGAAGGAAGTACTGGGCGTCGTGCAATTAGTTCCCCCCCTGTATTCTCCTGGCAGTCACCCCAGATCCCTATTTTATAGGAGCTTGGAAGTTGTCTTTTAATGTCACTGGCCAAACTTTGAAGCGTTCCGTCCGCTTCAGTGGCTGCTGTTTTTGCAGCATTTGTTGCCTGAGATATTGCGGTCTGTACAACACTAGCTGCGTTCCCTGCGATATCACCAGCGTTTGAAGTCACCGTGGATGAATCCACTCCGCCTATAGTGATACCACGACGGAGATTAAGGTGATCGATGCTCGAAAATCCGGTTAGGTTGACCTGTTGAGTGATAAGGGTACTTCCAAAAAAAATTAAGCTTTGGTCACTCACCTTCATGAAGTACAGATTAGAAGGTGCGGAGGACGAGGTGCATCCACTGAAAACAACCGCTAAGCAGATCAGAGTCCCAGATGAGAAAATCACTGGTAAAAGCCCACCCAAACGACCGATCATGTTTGATCTTAAAATATAGAGACGGGTACCAAAAAAATTGGAACACGTCAATGAAATAGAATATTACTTTGATAAATCCTGGGTAGCTCGTGGCTATTATATATAGGTAGAATTAACACAGCTTCAGTCTCCACGTTCAACAAACGGTGTGATCTAATGAAAGGATTGCAGTTCGATCGAAAATTGACCGTAAACGCAGTTTGAGGAATAATCCCCCATAAATTGCTTCTTTTATTTTCTTGTTCAATCTGTGTGGTTTTCATCTGCTTGCCGTCGAGAAGATGCAAGTGGAGGTGGAAATGCCCGTTGCACAGGTGGCTTGGGAACTGACTCCGGAGTTTGCCTAGTATGCAGGAAATCAGAATTGACCACACTATTTTCAAGCGTTTAATTACATTTGTCCTAGATTACGATTCAAGATCAACTTTTGAAAGGCAAGTACTGGTTTGTAGTGGTCTGATGACGAGTGGTTAATCTTGGTGCCGTTGAACATCATGTGCAGTAGACAAATGAGTCAGGCCTAGCGATGTGGAAAGTATTAGTGCCGGATTCCAAAATAGGAACTGGAAACAAACACTATCAGAGGTGGAGTTACTTTCGCATCAGCAACTTCATCTGGATGCTAAGTTAATGGGTCCTACAGCTCCACGGATCTGTAATACATTTGGTCTACGGAAGGCTACGGGGTGTCAGCTTTTTGCACTGCGTAAGGTCCATGACAAAAAAAGGGCAGTGTCCTGCGCCCCTCAATTTGATTCAGGATGTTCAATAAATAATCTGCGGTGAGGTCTTGGTAACGGGGCAAGGAAAGAATTACTAGTCAAGCCGATGTCGAAAATCTCCCCCACATCACTGTTCGAATGAGCTTGACATAGGTGACTTCAATAATTCCCCTTCATTGTTAGTTGAGGTGATTGATGAGCAATAACCGGTAAGCTCGAGGTCCCATACGAACCCTAGATTGATAGAGATATTTCCAACGCTCGACGATACTACGTGTGGAAATCGAGCTGTCCGATATATATCTGAGGGATGTTACAGGTTACTCCAGCACGCTTAGAGTGATGGCTGGCCGTATAAGAAGTCGCGACAAGACAACTTTCTTGGCTATTAAAGTCTCTCATATACCTATACCCGCCTGAAAGCACGCAGCTATTTCAATGAAATCAACAAGTTCTCAATCTCCTTCTGCACGCCCTGCGAAAAGAAAGCGACAGTCGTCGAAGATGTCGTCTAGCGGGATCATTGGCACCGATCAAGACATTGGCGCGTCTGACGAGAAGACAGCGAGTAGTGAAAGGGTGATCAAATCCAGCACTCAATATCCGTTCCTCGCTGATAGGAGTATTAGATAGCCGGAGGGGCGACAACCAGTCTTACCGGTGAGCTGCGCCTCATGGTGCACAAGAACGCTTCCCTTGCGAGAACGGCAATTGAGCTCCTCGATCTCTATTTGTGTTTGTGGGAGTGCTACGTCACCAGGTCTGCTGCGATGATACGTTTGGAAGAAGAGCGTCGGCTTCTGCAGAGCTCGAATGACTGGCTGGCGCGCGAGAACGGGCGACTTCACGAAGCCTGCACTAATCAAGCCCTGTTGCTCTGGGATCGACGTCAGACCCTCGACTCAATCCAACAGGGAGTTTTCGAGATCCTGCAGAGTAGTGATAGGTTCTCAAATCAAATGAGTGAGTTATCTCGACGTACCCACGAGGATGGTGTGCGAGCCAGTATTGACTCGATGCAGTTGACCTCACCACTTGACAACGACAGTTGGATTAGTCAGGAAGGCTTACCGCCCATTTGCACGTTCTGCCGGGCGGCACGTCACGTGACACACCCCATGGAACTCAGGCCCTCTCCGCCCAACACGCACCCAGACGCGCGGAACAAACGGTGTAACCGTTTTCCCAAAAGGACGGCCGATCAGCTCCTGTTGATGTGTCGATGTGGCGGCTTCGCTCGGGTTTTTTCATTTACGCGATCGCTAGTTAGATAGCCTCACTCAACATGGAGTTGTTTATGCAGATGTCAGCAGTAGTCTACGAAATACATTAATATTCTCAAATGGACCGCATGTTCTAAGGTGGGCATAGATAGGCACTTGTCTCTAGCGGATCCAAAAGCGCCTGTACCCAGAAACTATGGATGCTCCACGAAGCGGTAAGTCTGGCGACCGCTCTGTCTCAGTGCTTGTGCTCACATCATCGTTTGCAGTCTCGCCTCTAGATCTAGACCTAGATCTAGATCTGGAGCAGCTATGGGAAGATCTTTCGGATGTACCGTCGTCCCCTGCATTTTTTTGCCTCCGATTATGACCATCTATTCCCGATGGAACCGCTTGATGCACCTCTCTACGGGGCTCAGAAACTCTTCACGCCATCGCCTATCGAATACATATTTTATCCGAGTCATGATAGCCCGCACGGCTTTGGGTGGACTGGACCAGATCCTCTGTCCCCTCACACCTCCGCCGACGACATTTTCCTCTTTATGTCTGCATTTCTACTTTTTGAGCAGATCCAGTGGGTAGAGTTTCGATTCTGCAGGTTGATAACACGGACTGGCGAAATCGCGGAGGAATACCCGTTCTTTCTGCCTCGTGTTGAGTCTATCCTAGGAAATCTGGCTCGGGTTCGGGGGCAGATACGTGACATCATATCGCGACAGGACAGCCGAGGAGCCTTGACAGGCTCGCACTTCCAGTTATGCATATGGCCGCTAAGCGATACAATGCCGGATCCTCCGCAGGAAATCGCGAGTCCATGCGTCCGCCCGACCGGGTCTGTGGCGGCGCTTGATCCAGTCTTTTTTATCCAGAATATAGCAGGCAATTTTAAAATATGACTGTCCATACGGAGGTACTGGAACCAGGATTTTACAAAGGTTGATTTTTTGCTCGCCCCTTTAGCAGAGACTGCTATTTCAACCTGTGCCATCCCACTGCATTATCACCACGATCATCGGACGAGTCAAATACCCTTGTATATTCGATAGAGGTCAATGCCGGGTAAAAGCGGCATTCATTTACTCATTTCAACGACTGTTTCTTCCATGGTAATTTCTACGTGGTTGTTTCACTCAAAACTGATCATATCCTTGGACGATGGTTTCTATAGAGGTCACTTCAATTGATGTCCAAACTCAAGGCTCCAGATAGTCTGATCTAACGATGTAAATCCATAGAGAATCAAAGTTATAGAAGACGGAAACTTCAATCTGTCACTAAGCCGGGGTTGTTCCACAGCCGGTAACATGTAAACGGCGGGGTATTATGACACGCAGGACTCCCGTTGATCGCATAGTAACTCTGCAAGAAAGAAGTACAAGACGAGCTGTTGTGTGACCCTAGATCTTTGTCCGGATACCACGTGGAGTTATCATTGGTCACCGAAATATCCAGCTGCTCTTGTTCTTCCAATGTACGATTAAGTCGAAAGCTGCGAGACACAAGAAAAGTTGACATGTTACTGTCAAAACTTGTGTGATTGAACGAGGTCCAATTGAATTCGGTATAGGCCTTGTTTCCACGGCAGTTTGGCTCATCCCAAGCGAAGAGCGTCAAGGGTGTGGACAACACCTAGATACCTACGGCGGACGATAGGGATCACTTTATCATAACCCCAAATTCGAACCAAGTCCTTTCACCGCTTCTTCTACCGCCCTACACGGCCGAGCCATCCTCCTCCAAGTATGCACTCTCGAGTCACACCGATATTTCAAATGCTGACCGCAGGCTCGTTACAGATAAAAAGGCAACCCCTTCTGTTGCCTAGTTTGTTAGCGTTATGCATACAAATGTGGATTTTTTAGAGCCGTAATATTATTTCCTCCGAGGCTCGGCCGAGTCAAGATATATTTATGAAGACTTCCACGTCAATCTCAAGGTTGATTTCTGGTTGACATACTAAAAGATGGTGCGACCTCAGATTGATTTGAATCCTTATAAGGATGAGATTATGGCCCTTTTTAACCAGCAGAAGACTACCGAGACCATCTGCATAGAACTCTCTCAGCGCCATTCAATTAATATCTCCTATCCTACACTCGCTCGGCGCCTACAGGCATGGGGGCTTCGCCGCTTACCCTCGAAGACAGCTGATAATCAGGCTCTTTGCGATCGCATCCGATCGCTTGTACGCGATAATTACTCTGACAAAGAGATCCTACCAATCCTACAGCGCGAGGGATTCAAAATCGCCCATATTACGCTGAAACGACCACGGCAGCAGCTTAGTCTTCGTCTACGTACTGATGACCCTGAGGCGCGTAGTATTTAAAACCTGCATATTCAACAGGTCCTACAGCAGGAGATTTCTGATGGCCATATTGAAGGATATGGGCGAGGCCTTCTTTATACCTATCTTCGCCAGAAAGGTCATACATTTCCTCGGTATGTGAAGAAATCCTACTAGAAATACACTAATACTAATTAAATCCTAGTGATCGGGTCTTCTCTATCTATCGTAATGAGCGCCCTGATGCCCTTCGCCGGCGAACTCTCGATCTCCAGCGGCAGCGTCAAGCTTATCAATCACCTGGTCCAAATCACGTATGGCATATGGATGGCTATATGAAACTAGCCCCTTTTGGTATTGAGATATACGCTGCAATTGATGGATACTCGAGATATATCCTCTGGGTCTATATTGGTATTTCTACTAGGTCTGCAATTAGCGTTTATAAGCAATATGTTAATGCAGTATCAACCTTTGGATATCTACCACAGATACTTCGTACTGATCTTGGCGGAGAGACAATCTATCTTGGTGACGCCCATTGGGCACTTCGCCGTGTGGCCAATCCAGATATCCCACATACAGATTGTTATTCATATGGCAAGAGTACTGAGAATACTCGTATTGAGGCCTGGTGGGCGCAGCTCTCACGATCGAGTGTCTTTATATGGCGAGTAAGTAGTAAATCACTATACAACTAAGTTGGAATACTCGAACTAATTTAATTCAATTTAGAATTACTTTGCAACCCTTCGCGATGAGCGTCTCTTTTCAATTACAAGTATCGCCGACCAGATTGCCCTCCTTGCAGTATTCATGCCTACTGTTCGATCCTCTATCAGTTCATACGTGGAAACTTGGAATCGTCATACAATTCGGAAGCAACCAAAACGTCCATGGGTAGCCTATGGCAAACCAATCTTTCTCTACCAGCACTCATCTAGGCAGGACGTACAGCAATTAGCAGATCCTGCCCTTCTCCAGACGCTCCAGCAAGATGTGGCCAATTGGGATGCAGACGAATATCTTCCAATTGAAACACTAGTATGGTGTAATCACAGCTCCAGGAGATAGGGTTTGACCCATTAAATCCTCCACCGCGGGACGATTCAGCTCAGCCATATAAATCAGTCTATCTTGAGCTTAGGCAGCGGGCAATCCTACATACACAATCAGGGAATTTACCAATTCTACAAATCTGTGAGCGGCCAACACAGGGAAATTGGGAAAATTGGCAGGAAGGGCGGTAGTGAACTAGTAATCGTCGGATAGGAGTCAAATGATAAAATGAATGATGAGATAGTGGCAGAAGTGGCTCCTTCTCCTACTGTCGAGGACCACACTGAGCCCAACCTGCCTGAGAATAACACTCAGCTGCGGGCTTCAGGACGGAAGCGTAAGAGCCGAGAGGATGATGACTTTGAGTATCATTAATTAGTGATAATTATTTTAATCTATTCTTCTTGAATTTAACCTCTAATCTTATTCCTAATTGCGTCACAATAGGTCCTGATTGAAAGGCGAGGTGTAAAGGAAATACTCAATATTACAGCCAGAAATCGCATAATTTATGCAGTCAGGGAACCTAGGCATGTTTGGACTGTTTGTGGCCCAATTGGGGGCCCAGGGCCCATTATGGGCCAAAGGGCTCGGCCCATGGCCCACTGTGGGCTATAGAACTCGACCCAAAGCCCAACCCATTCGTGGGTTGGGCTGGGTTGGGCCTGGGCCGACGTGGGCTCTGATGAAGCCTACCCTCCTCTAAACGCGAAGCATAAAAATACCCCAGCAACGCATCGAACTGAACCGCCACGGGCCACTCTTTTCCAAATCTGCCATAGAGTGGCGCATCTGGTCATTTGGTTCTCAAACCGCCATGTGCCTGGCCCCCTAGCACGGGGACCGCAAGAAAACTGACAGTCTCAAGGGAAGGAGGCTAACAATGTGTCGCGGCCGTGAAGACCGGCAAACGTGCCATTCCTTCCTCCGCCTTGTGGTGAACACGATCTATCGCGTTACTTCTATGGTGTAACCATGATAGTACGAGCAAAACAAATTTAAATGAATGTATACCAGCGCAACCTCTAGTAGACCTGGGCAATGTTTAGGCTAGGATAAGGTACAGACGCTTGATAAACAGTCTTAAAACATTTGAGTGGTGTTGGCGTATTAAGCGAGATATTTAGCTTCGATAGCACACGCTCTGGCTCAAACGGTGTAATACCAGTAGCAGCGAAGCTAGTCTGGATAGTCTGTGGTTTAAAGGCCAAAGCTCGCGCGCGAGGGTAGTCTGCGAGAAAGTCGAACTTATCGATGTGGTTATAGCCACATCGGGCGAGGTCGCTTACGAAATGACCGTACTCGATATAAACAGTTGTGGTTGTGTGCCGAGCGGGAGCTAACCCCGGACCGATGGCGGACCCACGGCCCGAACCCCCCCCACAAACACCCAGGAAAGCAACCTCAGTTTTTCAGTCGAAGGCTTCCAGCCACGGGTTCCGAGCGAGCCATACCCTGAATCACGCAAAAGAGCGCGGAGCGGAGATGCCTTCGCACCATTATAATATTTGATATAGCCGCATGCACTCTGGCGAATGGGGATCAAGCGGAACCAACTAAAAAGGAATGAATTGATTGATTGTAGATAAAATGAGTGGCAGGCAGAGGTATGTTAAATACACATCTGCAGAGTTGGTTCATAGTTGATATGTGGATGGGACCAATTCCTCCGTGTCTTAGAGGTCCCATGGGATACTCGAGAGTGACTTGTGAGTGTTGTCTCGGAACCCCGTAATTACATACAAAACACAAAGAAAAGTGGGGTACTGAGGAAACCAATAGGAGGCAGCTGTAAGTAAACTGCTCCACTATCCTCGACAGTTTCTGTATCGCACGTATTCTGCATACTGGCTAGTTATATGTTTAATGGACCATCGTGCTTCCTCGTCTTAGCGGCAGCGGTTCATATAGAGAGCGAATCAGTGCTCGCCGCTCAAGCGTCATGCCTGCCACATCCCGGAAGGCGTACTTTGGGATTCGCAGCTTATCTCTGTGCAGGACCTTGAGCGTCTTCAAGAAATCCGCCATGTCGACAGTGTACCACAGCTTGCCAATCTCAGCATGGTGCGAGCCCTTCCTTGCAACCTTTTCGCCAGAGTATTCGACGGTGTAAGTCATGTCGCCAAACCGGAAACCCCCAATCGACACCCGCATAATCGCGTAGTCCTCAAAGAGGTGGAATTCGAAGAGTTTGTTGTGCTTCACGTATGTGAGGATGGCCAGGGACGAGTCGAGGTTGTGCTCTGATATCTGCCTATTCATCTCGACCACGCCCGCCGCCTTCTGGGCAGCCCTGATCGCGCCGACCACGAATACCACCATTGTTAATGAGCAAGGCTGTGTCTGCGAGTGCTGTGCGTCAGGGAAAAGTGTGTTACGGTTGTTTGAGGGTTTGCTGACAGAGGAAGAAAGGTACTCGATGTCGGATGGAGAAATCCCTTGAGGAACGAAGAGACTTGGCTTGACTTGATTTCCTACTCGGATTGGCCGCTCTTAGTCAGCAGCTATGCCCGGTCAGGTGGACTTTGCCAGACAGCCGACACGTGGCAGACTAGTTACACAATCGTGTGAGATGGGCAAGCCAAACATGTTGTTGTTGGACCTGGGTCTAGGAAAGTTGAGGGAAAGAAAACAAAACATGTATTATCCTACCATAATCGAAACACAATATGGTTTCCATCTATTCCATTTCCCGCGCTCGAGAAACGCCCTCAACGGCTGTGTGATTTTGACCTCCAATAGGTGCTCCACATTCAGGGCATCTAGCTTGCTCCATCGGCATACCGCACTCTCCAATTGCAAACTACAGAAAGAATCATTTAGCTTATTTCGCTCGTCAAAGGTAACTTGGGACAATTCGAGGAATGGGAAATTTATTCACCGGATGTCCGTTGACGCAATTGTACCAGTGCCCAGAGTGAGTCGCGATTCCTCCTCGCCCACTGACCATGGCCGTCTTGATTGATTGAAGTTCTTCTAAAGTGACTCTTTCGTATCGTGTTCCCTCATAGAGGCGGACCATCTCCTGGACCTTTTGTTGGAGCTCAGGACAGTTCCTCAGTTCGTCGCATAGTTTCAACGCAGCGGCGAGGAGATCGCGGGTGGTTTGAAAGCGATCTTCGAGCTTTTCTAGACCCGTTTTTTCTTTGAGATGTAGATCGCTTGTTGTTTCTCCTGGATGAGAGCGGTGATACCACGCGTCCAGCTGGGCGATTTTGGCGAACGAGACGGTCGCCGTAATGACGATGCGGGAGAAATTTCCTTCATTGGCTCGAGTTATCAAGCCTTGGCAATCCTTCAGAACTCGAATCAAGGTTGATGATGGTTTGGCGAGGCTTAGCCGTGGTAGTGTTGCAGAATTTCCGCTTGAATCTATCACTCTAAAGGCATCGCTAAGCATGACTTCCTTGGACTTGATGTAAATTAACCGTGCGCCGAGGGTAATTTGGTTGTCGGATTCTCGTGTTGTCATATTCATCGCCTCCATTCGGGCTGAGAGGGAGGCTACTTCGTCCCCTGAAGACTTCTGGTAGATGGCAATCGCATCCATGAGCCGTTTCATCGGCTGATTCTCGACCTCCATGGCTTTGCTGAGAGCTAAAGCCTCCCTCGCGAGGCGTGCACAGACTGCATATCGTGCGCTGTGATTTAGTGCCCCCCACCTCCACAGCGGCTCGCTTAGAGTTGAGCTTGTCTTCAATGTCATTCAGACGCGATTCAAGGCCTTCAAGGTCTGTGCGACCCTTGATAAGGAACCGTTTCCAAGTCTCATCCATAACGGCGCGGTTGATAACACGATTGTAACGTTTTGTCACAAACTGGCGAATTGGCTGCTTACAGTCCGGGCACGATGGTATGACATTGGCAAGCGAAGAAGAGACATCTCGGAGACCGTCGAATTTTCCATCTTTATCTCTCGTGTATACTTCATCCAGGCCAACCAATCCATCAACCGACTCACTGGTAAAGAAATGACCGCATCCAAGCACGACGATAGGAGTTTCATCGAGACTGATTTCGGAATAGATTTTCCATTCAAGCAAGTCAACACGGGCATCTCCCTTGTCGCCGCACTCTTGGCACAGATTATTTGGACAGTTTTCCCCGCAGAGGCTCGGGCATTGATGTCCGCATTTAAGAACCTTAGTGCATCGCTCATTGCAAGGAAGCCGGTCGCATATTGCCGCGCAAGGCATTGAGCAGGAGCCTTGGTGTTTGCAGGACCAGGTGCATCTCTCGATGCATGGTGCACATGCCTTTCCGCAGGTCAAGTCGCATGCTGAGTGCGAGCATCTAACCTATACATATGATTAATATTTCCGATACGATGACCAGATGATGGATTCTAGGGGCTCTTACTTCGCATTTTGCCTCGCAGTAACCACAGCTCTCCCCATCATGGCATATCTTGGAACACCTATGATTGCAGACGCCGTGGGGCCGGTCACAACTTTTCGTGCACTTCGGGTGCTTAAATACTCTTCTTCCATCGTTGACTTCGAGACAATTTCCGCAGCAACCGCTGCAGTTGTGGCCACAGCCGAGAATGTCGGTGCATGGCCTAGGGCAACGGAAGATCGAGGACGCTACATCTTTGAAACAGCCAACTCGAATTGTATGGCCACATTTTGGAACACATTTTTCGACCTCGACGTCGCATTTAATGACTTTCAAGTTAGGCATCTGATGGCAAAAGATAGCTTTCTTGATATGACCGCAAGGAAGCTCCACGTCTTGAATCTTTGCCATGCAAGGACCACAATCTTCACCACAAAGCTTGGGACATTCGTGCTCACAGGTTGATCGGATGCGTGGGCAAGGTTTCCCACATGCAAAGCCATCGTGCATGACCGCTGAATGGCACTTGGCCTGGCATTGATGACCACATGGCTCGAGTCGACGGGTACACGGGAGACTGCACCCACCTTCAGGGCTCTTCCTCTCAAAGTCGTGGGGTTCATAACAGAGAATGGGCGTGTCCGGGTGGCGAGGACAGCAGAGAGCCAACTCTGTGCCGACTGCATTCGCACGGGAGAGCTGAGAGTGGACATCGGCCCACATTGGGACATTGAGGTATGTTTCAGTATTTCCAATGAGATACATGCCGTGCTGAGCTCGACTGAGGAGCACGTTGATGCGGTTTTCGGTGCGTAGGAAGCCAACCTTGCGCTTTGAGTTGCTGCGGACTAGGGAGACAACGATCACCTTTGCCTCCTCGCCTTGGAAGTTGTCGACGGTAGCAAGGCGGAGCGTCTGCAGCAACGTCTTCTTCTCGAGTGACTTGCGACCGTTTGATTCGGGATATTCATCAAACTTCTCAAGCCCATCCGCGGCCAAAGTCTCCAAGTCCCGCTCGCTGAGACAAACTTCGAAATCATTGGATAGCGATGCTCTGAGCTTCCGCAGCTGCCCGGTATAGGGCGTCAAGAGGGCAACATCCGTGCTCTTGTACTCTCCCTGCCGAACAAGATGCCGAACAAGAGCAGTAGCCATATCGACCTCCCACTGGTTGCTATGAGACTTCACACGGCTGCCGTCATCCCTTGAATCTTCATCGCATCGATGGTCCAGCCAAAAGAGGTTGTTCCGCATTCCAACAACATTGGGCAGATCCACCACGCTTTCGTGATCCTCCAGTTTTGGATAGACGCTCCTGATAAGTTGCGAGATCTCAGGTCTCATTCGTCGCTGTACATTGAGTTGTGCAATAGGGGCTGGCTTGAGACCTGGCTCACCGACAGCGCGTCTCTCAAACTGGCTTCTGTCTAGCTGCCAAGTCTTTCCTGTGGATGTTTCAAGACTAAGTGAATGATTTTGAATCTGTGGTCGCAACTGTCGATGATCCCCAATCTGAATGAAGTGTTCAACTCCTGGCATGAGGGCTGAGATGACGTGGGCTTCCATCACCTCAGCTGCTTCCTCGCATATAATGACCTTTGTTCCTACTCGTCGCAGTGTCTCGATATGGCGTGCAAGGGCTGTGGTCGTGATTCCTACTACATCTGCTTGAATCAAGGCTCGGCGGTTGACCTCTTCATGAACTGCATTTATGTCCCCGCGAAGATTTGCAGCGCGATCAAGAGCCTCGAAAAGCGAAGCGGTTTCGATTTCCTGCCACTGCTTGAACCAGCTCAATGCAAGAATCCGGCGTTCCGTTATCGAGAGACTGTGAATATTTTCATTCGCAGAGCGAGTGAGGCCTTCCAAGCGCACATCGTCAACTTCACTCTCATTCTGGCCTTTTTGGGTTGTCATCGATTTGACTCCAAGCCAGCTTAGTAATTTATCATCAGTGACAGTTGTGAATCCTTCCGTGTCTGGTCGCTCCAGTTGTTTATGTATAATGGGCCATTTTCGGCGCAAAAAATGCTCCATCGCGGCCCAAGACAGGCCCTTTTGAGACTGGTGTAGAGGTTTCATTGCATATCCAGCGTTCTTCATGCAGTCCTCAAGTCTCCCATAGGACATGCCGAGGGTTTGCGACTCTACCCTCGTCTTCCCAATGCTTTGACTGACAACGCGAAGGTTCTTGCCTTCAAGCTCAGTGGCCTGACTGCGGCCACCAATGCGTATGATTTTCTGGATACCAACATCAAGAAGATGCTTTAAGAACTGGTCCAAGGCATGGTTGGTATAGCAGCTGTAATTCCTGTAAGTAAAGTACAAGAAGGCATGAAATCAGTACTCACATCACAAGAATTGGGCCTAGCTTTGCCTTTTCATTGATCTCAAGGAGAACTTGAACAAGCTTGACACCCAGGTAGGACTTTCCGGTGCCCGGTGGGCCTTGGATGAGGGCATACTCTCGTGTGAGAGCCGCGATAAGTCCCTGACACTGGCCGTGGTCGAGACCAGTCTGAGTTTGCAGCTTCAATAGGTCAATAGACCCAGGGGTACTCGGGTCCAATGCAATCTTTTCGGCTCCAACAATTGTGATCGAAGTCAAGGGAAAGACAAATCCTGGTTTGCGCGCGTATGCCGGTGGGGGTATGCTGGCATCTTCATCATCCTTACGGCCTGGCAAGATCCATTTTTGGAATGCCAACTCTCCTTCGCGTTGGATTCGCTGAAGGTTTTTCAGGATAGGGGCAAACGTGGCAGGGATCAAGCCATGGAAGTCGACCAGAATACCGGTAAGCTTCTTGCTGTAAAGCTGGGCGAGGAGCATCAATTCTTGTTGTAGGCATGCCGCAAGCTTGACCGTAATACTAGGTGGAAACCTATCAGAAACAAGACTACTCTTGTTCTGGTGCGCTCGGTCCTTGGAAGCATTCTTGACAGTGACCTCGAGGAAAATAAGCCTCCTGTGAGTTTCTTGGGACGTCATGAAACACACTAGGCTTCCTTCCTCTAGTCGATTGGAGTCTTGCCACCATCTGCATTGCTCGTTGGATGCCTTTGTACGTACTTGTGGTGGAGTAGCAAAGGACACGGTCGCTTCGAGCTCCTTTCTCTCATTGATAAACATTTGGAGGACCTGTGCTCCCAGAGATGTGCCCCGCTATCTTTGCTTGAGAAATATGAAAATCGTGTCAAATCATTCTGCTGCAGCAGATCTCGAAGGACATCTTTGGCTGAGCCGAAGATATCATGGCGCAGGAGTCGGAATGTTGAGTCAATGTATCTTTGCAAAGGATCGGGGAGAAAGTGCGGCTGAAGGAAGTTCGTAGAGGGTAGATATTCTGAATTGCCGCTGACAATCTCTCCATGGGTAGGAAGGATCTGAACTTGAGAGATTTCTGCAAGGTCGTTGTCGTGTCTCCCACCAGGTGTTTGCATATCCAGCGGAAAAGACGAAAGGGCTGATCTACTCTCCTGGGGATTTTCCTCATGCGGCCTGGGTGTAAAAAGACTGCGGTTTGCGCTAGCAATAAGGCTCTGCATGACTTCTAGTCTGCTTTCAAGTCCGTCAATGTCGGCCTTCGAGCATGTTTCAGTGATTTGGGAGCCCACTTCGCGAATTAGGTCGATCAGTGTGGGAATTTCATCGTGGAATCGAGCGCGTCGGACTCTTGACAAAAGTTGGTACAGGGTATTCAACAGTAACTTCATCATGTCCAGAGAGATGACTGGTACATTTTCGTTGGTCTCTTCGCCTTTACTCATCAGGCTCCGGCAGACACTTTTCAGATATCTGATTGCTCGATCTCCATTCGTTCCACCAAAGGATGTGTACAGAGTGCCAACAAATGAATCGACAGAAAGACAGTTCAAGAGAGAAGTATGGGTAATGACTTTAAGAAATGGCTCGTCGTAAGTTGGAATAGGTCGCACTCCCTCTGGATTGTCTGCATCCGCAGTTGCAAGGATAAAATCATATCCATGAAGATTATCGTCCACAAGATCTTTGGCGAGGAATTGATGATTCTCTCTGCTGTCGCTTTCAAGAATTTCAAGAGCCCCGTTCCAGAATTGAACGATCTCTTCATGTTCCCTTCGAGAATATCCAGACCCTAAAATCCCATTTCTAAGAAGTCTCTTCCAGTCGAAGTATTGATTCCGAGCGTCCAGATCATGGGTTGTGGGATGGTATGCAGCCGGGTTTGACTTGAAGTCGGCAGCCTTATTCGCATCGTGCGAGAATCTGCACCTCTCACCGTAGTGGCACCTGCCACGTTGAAAGTGCACACAGAATGTTTCCGTCTGATTGCGCTTTCTGAAGCTGGTGGGTCCTCCTCCGTTGCTCATATTGCCCCGAGATCGCCAATTTCCGCGGTGAGTCATCGTGAAAGGAGACAGCTGTAGAATTTGTAGCTCTTGTGATTCTTAAAACAGCATAAATATTTCTAACGCGGAAGGTTGCACGGATGGATGGGTGGATGTGATTGTCCGGAGAAGGCAAAGATAATCTTGGATACGCCAAGCAGGTATCCTCTCTAATAAGAGGGACGTAAGTAAGACTGCCTTGTACTTTGTAAATCTGACGTGTCCTAACGTCTTGCAGGACAACTCATACCTGCATCACCCCTCTTTCCAAAATCTCTTTACGTGGGGGGGACCGGGGGGTTTTCCAATATTTGCCTTTTATCTCTGCTCGCTTTTTTAGTTCATAATTGTCAAAGGGTGTTGGATGGTTGGTGGGAGGTGCCAAAATCACGGGATAGATACCTGTCGTCCGTCGTCCGCGTAGTATTGGTGGGGAGGAGGGGGGAGCAGAGTTCATCTGAGTCTTCGCGTCGTGGTTGGGTAAATAAAAACCCGTACGGTAAAGGATGATGATGGCTCGATTGGCTGACTGACCTAGAGTGATGGTTGTGATTGTTATCGGCAAGACATAACCCAATGCAGAATTGTTTGAGATTACTATACCCAATACTGCGCCCTAGCTCACCCCCAGACTGTCCGAGTTGGGTGCGGAGAAAGGATAGCATGGCCTTTCGTAGAGGCTTATCTTCCTGCAGCTTATGTCTTGGGCGTCTTGGGCTGCTATCTGTCTCGAGCTGGGAGCCTCTGATCGTGGGTCTTGAAACTGCAAAGGTCATGGGCTGAAATTGGTTATGCGCGATTCCAGCGACGCAAACATTCTTTGAAAGATAGGCGTTTTCGCCTGCTTATGTTAGAGCGGGAGAGGACTGCCCTTTTTATGTAGCCTTGTGTCACATGGATGAATAGCCGAGGCTTTCAATGAGGTTGTTCTGAACTGCGAACTGAAAGTATTCTTGAACGTCGGGAGTAGGCCCTTGATTATAGTTTAGTGGGGAACTTGTGGCTATCTGGAAAGCTGATTGGACACTTGTTTGGCGATTTGAAACCGCGAACCGACGAGGCCTTTGAGTTGCTTCAACTTTTCTGACGTCAACGCTCGTTGCTAATTACTGTGTATTGTGTAGAAGGCCACTAAGTCATAATATCCTGGTAAGACTGCTTCTCAAGTAAACAAAGGGGAACACTGAATATCCAGTCGATACAGTATTACGTACCTCAACATGCTTACTATTCTTCAGCGTAGGTCGCATTCATTAAGTCTCCAAAACACGACATTCATTATCATCTTGGCAGCAAGTAGAAGAAATCGTGCTGGTATGGCAATTTCGTGATAATTGTATAGGTGACACGGGGTTCAGAACATCCAACAATCAATTCACTCCTGGGAGCTTATTATCTATTCATGAGGTCCTTCGACCGGTACCCTGTGAGACTCTTTGTCCTCCTTTGCTTGTTCTTCTCTCCTTTTCATCAACCCCTGGCGAAATGCTTCAGTATACTCATCCGGGTCCCACGCCAAGACCCTGTCTTCCATCTCCTCAAGCTTCCTTATCACTAGCCGTTCCATCTCAGCCTTTTGGTCTTCACCCAGCAGGTTCAACCGCTCCTTCCATGCCTCGCTGGGATCGTCGGTCTCTGTAGGCCCAAAAAAACGCCGGTCGATCTTCTGCCAGTAGATCGCATCAAACGCAAAGCTGTGCAAAATCGCATACACCACCCAGAAGTCTCCGCTCTCCCAGCTCCGTTGCATCTGATCCGAGAGCCGCCGCTGGCTGTGCTGAGTGTCCATATCTTCACAACGCCTCATGGCCGTGAGGAACGTCTTTAGGCGGCGATCGAATTCTCGGGCCCAGTCCTCGATACCTTCAGACCAGTATTCAGGTTTCTCGATAAGGAGCCACCATGGTGGCGCGTATGAAAACTCCACCGGTCCTGCATATGTGAACTCCCAGTCCACCACACCGGCAATATGCATATTTTCATTGAGAAGAATATTGGCTGGCCGGAAATCATCACACCAGAGTTTGAATGGACCGTCCTCACAACATGGCAGAGACAATTTCTTGTCCCTGGCAAGCTTGTAAAACAGCTGTCTTGCAATAAACTTCCGACGACAGTCATCTGCAGACTGTACTGCGTCATTCCTTTGATATAGTAGATGCTGGATATTGAGCTGTGCCAGGGCTTCAATGTATGAAGATGCTGTCCGAAAGGTGGCCTCTACAGGAGGAAGTTTCGATCGAGGTAGTGTCCCCAAACGCACAAGCTCATTCATATTCATTGATAATGGCCGGCTGGTCACTTCCCAAGAAAAATCATCCACCTGGCTGAGGGACCCTATTTTAGGGAATTCTGGCTTGGAAAGCTGAAGCAGGATCTTTGCTAGTTGTGTGTATAGCATTTCAAGTTGATCTTCATCAATGTTTGGGTCAAGGACTCCCCGCTCTTCATTTGGACACCCTGGTGTGTTGAGAGCATCATACATGGTTGTTGTATGTTCAATATGGCTCATCATGATGAAAGGGCTCAAGTTGAGGGGGCTTTCCTCCCTTATACCCGAGTGAAGAATGAATGGAACTGGGATTGATGTCTGGTCCGAGATATATCGCATCACAGCAACTTCGTTCTTAACTTTCTCCTCGGGAAAGAGAATGGCGCCAGGCTGTGAAAAGCGGATGTTGGTCGCGCTATATGTGTACTTCATTTGTAATGTGATATTGAAAGACCCTTTTCGAAGAATTGTAAACTCGGGATCGTCGCCAGAATCATGCTTCAGGATAAATTTCGCAATCGGTCTCTTGACGTCTATATCAAGAAATTGAAGCAACCAATTGTCGGAGACATCATCGGATTGTTCCCATGCAACGTCGTCGTAAGACATCTGGGGCTCCATGTTTTCAGACGTCTTAGCCATTTCTCGTGGCGGGGGCGATTATTTTGGGGATAGAAACGTCGTGACTGAAGAGGGGTCACATGAATGTGCAGTGAGACCCCTCAATCTGATCGAGTCGACAGGAACCCTACTGTCAATGGAGAGCGAGTCTCGCAGTCCATCTACGGTCTAGAGAGAAAGAGAAATGAGAGACCTATAGGCCGTGAGAAATCAGGAAAAGTCACGTTGAAGAGAAAAAGGAGGGCCAAGCAATCATCCAAACAAACCGCGGTCACGTGGCTTGGTCCCCACTCCCATCGACCATCCCAATCACGTAAACATCCCACCAATCAGAAATTCACAATGGTGAAACTCGAGGCGTCGTGGCTAGAACAATTATCAGCCACAAAATACGGATTGTTACTATTATTGCTCTTCATTCGTGGCCGTCTGTGGGGCTCGGCGCCAGCAATTCATGCACCTTCGCGAGCTAGTCTTCCTGTCAGTAGCATCCGGGTGCCTATACGTTTCCACCAGTCACTAAATCCCAATCACTCACGGACTCACATTGACTACTTTCTGGAGCGGAGCACGGTGCTTCTTAATACCAATCATAGGGATCATTAGCATGGCAACCCCTGAAGCGCTTACATAGCGTCAGTGACTGGTCCAGATACAGTCACTATCCATAATATCTTGTGACAATTCTCGAACAAAAAATAAAGTAAAATAATTCAATAGGCTATGGCTACTCGAGTTCTAAATATAATCACACAGTTAAGATGACTAGGGGCGATGTCTCCATGACTTAAAAGGTTTCGGGCCTCTCCTTCGCGGTGTGTGTTAGCCGCGCGCTCTATATGACGCATTATTGATCGCGGTCTGTTTCAGCTCAACACTCCACTTGCTATGACACAGACCTTTAACACTTGCATCGCTTCTGAGGTATTAATATCAAGTTAATTGCCCGCAGTCTGTTTTTCATCCAATATCAAGAGACGAGCTGTCCTCTATATCCCAATCACTAAGTCATCTCATCTCACGAATCAAGCATCTGCGACTACAGCTTTTGCTCTCTCGCAAATTTCCGTTAATAGTACTTTCCTAATCGAGAAAAGTTAGACCTCTGTTCTCCCTTCTCGAGGTGTTTCAAAACTCACCACGTTACAGATTTTCGAGACATCCACCACCCTATCAGCATGTCAGATTCAAAGCAGGCAGCTCGTGATGAGACCAATTACCGACTGGGAGTCTCCTCCAAGGATTCAGAGATTCTTCAAAAAGCAGGTAGCGGCTCCGCAAAAAAAAGAGGAAAATCACATACACCAAGCGAAGTCAAGTTTCCCAGCCCAGATGAAGAGAGAACAATGGACAGTGCTGGTAGAGAATCAGCCGACAAACGAAACCATGCCACGGAGCAAATTGCCAAACATTACAGAGACAGTTCCTGAGGATTTGAAGGGTTGATTTCTAGTAGCCCAGCAGATACCGAGCCACGGTTGCATTTTCTTTCTGATGTTGTTTTTTTTCTTAGCCCTTTGGGCTAGTCAGCTAGGGGACGGATAGTTATGTGCTTTGAATTTTCCTTTGCTTAATGTTTTGGTTCTGACCTCAATTTTGATGCTCTGTTTGTTCTTTACTGTTTTCACATGTAGTTTTCGAGCCTTTTGATATTTTTCTTCAGCATTACAGGCCTCCTTATCACGGACTTGTTTGTAGAAAGGAAATCCCGCTCTTGAGAAGTATTATCTTCAGACAATACGGCTTCCATTTTTTCGATATAAAATTCTTTCCATGAGACCGCAGTCAGATTATGTGCTGGGTGTCTCAAATAGGGAGTCAACATACCTGAGGCTCGGCGGGCATTTTAGGCGCTAACTGAGATGACTTTGTTGCCTAAAACTGAAGCGCGCTCTACGTCATTGTGTGTCAGGGCAGGTCAAAGCGCACCATTTTCACATTGGGCGGTTCTTCTTCTATCTTTCTCGAGAAGACCTCGATCAGCTGATCAGCTCACTTGTAATAAGAGCCATAGAACTACGGCCAATGCAAAATTGAAGGGTATAGAAACGAAATTCGCGAGAAGACTGGTCCAAACTAACCCCGCATGTGGCGAGTTCTCTTCGCTACCAGGATCCATCACACTCTTAGCGCCATCGGTGTTCCTTTAAATTGCCTTGCGTCACACATAAAGAGTATTCCTGAACTTCGGAGTGGGCCTTCGAACACATGCATAGTGGAGAACTCGAGGTTCTCCGGAGGGCTGATTGAAAACGGTTATTTGGCAGTTTGAAACTGCGACCCCACGAGCTTTCTGCCATCGAAGTTCCTATCAACTGTGCAGAAGGCAGGTGAGTCATCGAATGCCGGGAAGACCGCTTCTTAAGTTGTTGTTATGCCTGTAACCCGATCCTACAGTATGACCTACCAATAACAAGGTCCACTAGAGCCGGCCACACACGCTGCACAGGGAAAAGGAAAAATCGAACACAGTCCTCTTGCGATGTTGACAGCGATGACCCTGACGACAGTGACTACACGGATGGAAACGGTTCTGGTGTTAGTGACATCGGCTTGTTGCCACGTCTACTAAAGAGGCAGAGACGAACTGCTGCCACGAAGCTCCAACCCCCCCAGGCTCGGCGTGAAAGCCCGCATCGCGTGTTCTCCTCGCCCGCACCGGAAGAGGAAATTGCAAATCCATGTCCCACCACAAGTTTGCAGGACATACAAACCATCACTATCAGAGGCTTTCTCACGCGGCAAACGTTTCTATCAAGAGTCATCTACTCGTGTACGTTCGAGGAAGACAGGCAACCTTCTTGTCCGCATAGGCCAACGAAAGCTCGTGCGTACGAGAAAAGCTTAGACGAGATAGGGCACAACACGCAGCCCAGCAGCAAGAGCCTATCAAGGCATGCGACTCGTTTCCTGCCCGAGGAGGACGAACTCATGATTGAACTGAAGGAAAAGCGAAGTCTCCCGTGGAACCGGATCGTGAAGGATTTTCCAGAGAGGACGAAGGGTGCTTTTCAGGTCCGCTATAGTACGAAGCTCAAGGATCGAGGAACTAGAAGTCTTAGGCGAGGCCGTAGTGGAAGGGTTACATGTCCTGCAACTGCAGCTGTGGCTTGACGCGGCTAATTTTCTATTCCTCTTTTTTCCTCGGCAAGCCGAACTTCCAGAGGGATGAGAGTGGTGACCCCGAGGCAGTCTTCTAACCGTTTGTCGAGATGTTTATGAATAACATTCTTTTGTTGAATACGACGAAGGTCGAGGACTTCTAAAGGCACTTGAATTTGTTGGTTCTATTTTGAGCATGAGAGAGTAAACATAAGTTAAAAATCATTTCAGGAGGATAGATAGCTTACACGTACGACGTCTTCTGCGTCCTCTAGTGAAAATCGAATTAGTGTATTCACTGATTCATGGTTTCCAAGCAAGTCGTCAATCCAGCGATCAACGGCATCTAGATCCCAATGGACCTCGGAAGGCCTCAGGTGTGGGTGCTGTTGCGTTATAGAGGAGAGTTTCCGTTCAATAGCGCCAGCTGAACGGTCATAGCCTCGACGTAAAAGGATGGAATGCAGCGATCGAGGACGGATCTGTCGGGACAGAAAATACACTATAGTAACTATCTCCTCAAGCGACCAACGAGGTGCACGCGGGGTACCAAACCCCTCCTCCTCTGCAGAGAAGCTGGAGCGCCTTCTCATAGCTGGAGAATATTGCAGAAAGAATGAGCGATTCAGAAGATTGAGTGCCTGACAAAATTGAGATGTTCAAGCAGGCATCAGGCCCCGACGACTTCACCCTAGAACTGTATTGTGAGTTAACCCGCATTAACCAACGAACTAGTTCGGGAAAAGAGCTTATTAAATGTCCTCGGTGGCTGGTATAAAATCACGGGTCCAACCGTACACCGGGTATTGCCACCCGTCTGCACTGGAAGGGAATGAAAAAGTTTGGTGGTGGAGGCAGGTGACCGGATTTGTAGTGGCTGGCGGGGGGCTAACCGACCAACCATGAACTCTGGTTCTTGTACTTGGCCTACGTAACTGGTTCAGGTACACTCCGGGGGAATGCTGGCGTTAAGTAGTCATTGATAGCATAACATATCATTTGCTTCAAGACCGAGATTCAAGCGTGGCTGTTCAGAACCGCAAACTCATGGCTCCTTCCTCTTACCGCGAGAGCATAAAAATATCCCGGTGACACAACGAACCGAACCGCCGAGGCCCACTCCTTTCCCAATCTGGCATAGACTAGCGTGGCTGGCCACGAAGTGGATGCCGATCAATCTGCCACACTGGAGTAATGGTTGAAAGCGCGATCACCAAGCCATAACCCAATGCAGAATTGATTGAGTATGGTAAGCTCTCACGACTGCGGTGGCATTCTGCCGAGTCTTGCGGGCCGTGCGACTCTCGTTGCCAACGGCGTTAATGGTACTGCAAAGAGCGCCACCATCCTCGCCAAGGATCCCGTTTTTTTCCCATCAAAATTAACGCGACTTAGTATGTGGACCATAACATTCGGCGTTCAGACGACACACCAAAAAGGCTTTGTCAGCATCGCTGAAGACAGCAGGCGGCGGACTGCCAAGTTCACCGCCTTTTTTGGGCTGGCGGCTGAGGGAACTGAGGTAAATCCCGACCGTAGGTTCTGCCAAACACAGCCCCTTGCCCATAATTTACCAATATCAGTTCACAGCTTCTCTCTCAGCCGTCTAGGATCCTAGGAGAAAGACCTCTAGCCGGAGACAAGTCCCAAACCGACAACCGAGCCTAGCCGACAGAGCCATGGAGCGATTCCTACTTGATAACGCTATGCGACATCAAATGCTTGTCCAAAGGTTTAAGCCACCCCGCCAGAAGACCGAATCCAATTCTGAGGCTCCCACTTCCAACATCACTGTCGCCACTCGCATTCGACCCATATCCAATGGGGAATCATTATCTGGACAAGTTGTTGCTGTTTTCCCGCGGGCTGACAGTAGCGGAGTCGTTGATCTGCATGAGCTGCGGCGCGTTGTACGGGGGTTTCCCCCCTTAAATGTCAGTGCTAATTCCCTCTCCAGGCATTGTTTGAAAGCGATTTTTATGTAGCATTGCGAAAGCAACACTTGTTTAGAGAACTGACGACGATTCACCAGTCCTCCTCATTTCAACCTGGTAGAGTCTTTAGTGCAGATGATAGGACTGAAAAAATCTACGAAGACGTGGTGCACTCACTCATTCCCTGGGCCTGGGATGGTAATGTGGGAACACTTTTCGCCTACGGGCAAACGGGATCAGGGAAGACATTTACTATCCGTGGACTAGAGCATCTAGTTGCGAAATCCCTTTTCGACGGAACATTAGAAGGTGAACGAAATATTTACCTTGCTATGTTCGAACTTGCCGGGAACTCAGCATATGGTAACTCCTCCGTTGAAATTGATTCCTACTTAGCCCCAAACTAACCGTGTCGCCCATTAGACCTCTTGAATTCTCGCGCGTCTTTCTCAATCCTGGAGGACCACCTCGGCACGACCCAATTGGTGGGTATCCAAGAGTATAGCATACGAAGCACAGCAGAACTACTTGCCCTGTCCCAGAAGGCAAACGAACTGCGACAATCAGCGCCGACAATCAAAAACGACGGTTCTTCACGATCGCACGCAATATGTCGCATCCGAATTGAGGAACCATCACACGAGCCAGCAGAAGGTGGGATCCTATACCTGGTTGACCTCGCTGGCTCAGAGGCAGCGCGCGATATATTTTCACACTCGACAGAGCGGTTGAAGGAAACACGCGAAATAAATATGAGTCTATCAGTACTAAAAGACTGCATCCGAGGCATGGCGCGTATCGATATGGAGAAGAGAAAATTCTCAAAGAAAGCGTATATCCCTTTTCGTCAGAGCACGTTAACCAGAGTCCTAAAACATCTATTTGATCCGTCGGAGAGCCGCAAATGCCGGACTACAGTTGTCGCCTGCATCAATCCTAGTTTCCTTGATACAGGAGCAAGCAAGAACACGTTGCGCTATGCGGAGATGCTTTGTAAGTCTTAGCCAGCTCGGAGCTGAACGCTGCATTGTCAATCTTCTAAGCTGTTTGGGTGTCATATGTTTAATCAGTGTTTTGTATTTTTCTTCTGATTTCGGCCCTTCTTGGTTTTCTCCGAGTCAATATACACCCTGAATATACGCCGTGCTTTCCCGTATAAATCAGCGGATAAAGAAGTAAACGATCCCCATAGATGATCCAAATCACACTCTCAGTGCGAGCCTCTGGAAGTATCAAGAAAGTCCCCACAACCACCTAGTTGATAAACAGATCCCTGGTACTGTTATTTTCCATTGACTCTGCGACTATTGGTCATGTTGCCGAAGTAATACATAAGTGAGTGAATCACCCTACACAGCATTTATAACAAATGCAATATATAAAAACTGCCTAAGTTACTGAATCATTGTATTTGTTACAAGACATTGCGGATATGGAGCTTAGGTGGTCTCTTAAAGCCACGAAGGCAGGCCGGAAATATTGGTCGACGTATTCAACGAGATACATATATCCACGTCTCGCCTTAATATAACGCTATTTGAAAGTGTCATTTGCATTTAAGTAGCTGTCAATCAACCCAATATAAAGCCATTCACTGAGAGTTATCCTTCCTGCCTTCCAATCTCACCGTTTCAGGGCAACAGCGTGCGACACCTCGCGTGACCAGTACAATATGGGCCCATCCTAAAAAGCAATCAAGATCCTTGGAAAGTCCATGTTTGTTTGGGGGGAAGTCAGATTAGATTCGATACTCGCAACGAATGAGACGCGTCGCAGATGACCAAACCAAATCCGCGGGAATATAAAGCAAAATACCCTCCCATACCAGGATTAGCTCTATACAGCGTAAGCACAGCCTTCTATGTGCTGAATGGCAGGCGAACAGAGATTCACAAAGGCTGCGCTGCATGTGGGAAGACTGAGGGGAGCTGGCAACCTTGGACTGGAGGGAAGGCGGAAAGCGGGCAGACGATCTTGCCAGACCGCCAGGTCTACCAAGGTCTTCTATGTACGGGATTCGATGTATCATTACAGGTTTATTATAATACGCCTCTGAATGACGTATTAGTCATTACCTCAATAGCTCTGCCCAACTAATAGAGCGGTGACCCTAAACAGAACTAGCGTATTTCGGATATATTTTCCCTGAATCAAATCCAAAGAGTGCGAGTCAAACTGATTTCGAAAATTACTGTATGAAGCGATCGGTCTGTATGACGCGAGGCTGAGGGAAGCATTAGACCGAGGAACCGAAGGGCGACGAGCTTTAGACTTTGACTGTTGCGATACAAAAACTGTTGTGTGCCGAGCGGGAGCTAACCCCGGACCGATAGCGGACCCACCTGCGGGGCCTCCCGAGGCCACGCCCACAGACACCCAGGAGACCAATTTCTCGGTTGAGGATTTCCAGCCTAGGGTGACCAACATCCTAACGCGAGCCACACGAAAGAGAGGACGGCATAATGAGAGCTATGCACCCGAGGAGAGTACCGGCCGGGTCACTACCCGGGAGGTATGGAAGCTCATCAACGAACTGAAAGACATCGTCCACCGCCAGACCACGCTCATCGAATCAACCAAAGCCGAGCTACAGCAGGTTAAACGCGAACAGAACGTCCTCCAGGAACAGAACCAGAAGCTCTTTGAAGAAGTCAAAGCTCTGCGAGGGCAACTCGAAAGTCCGCCACCGGCGCCCTCGGCCCGGTCGTGGGCCGCCGTCGCAGCTACAGAGAACAACGTGAACTCTAAACCACAAACTTGAAGTATTTTTGAGCTTCACGGGTGCGAGGACCCAGGGATTATGGACAACTTGTGGCTCTCTGGAGGGCTGATTGGACACGGCTATTTGGCGGTTTGAAACCGTGACCCCACAAGCCTTTTGAGTCGCTTCAACTTTTCTGACGCCAACGTTTACTGCTAGTTATTCAGTCAATTAGAAGGAAGTAGGGTATTCAAACCCTAGGGAGACGGCCTTTCAAGGTAATAAAGGGGACTGTTGAAGATTTCTGTATTACAGTACCTAGACATACTCATTATTCTTTAGCGTCGGATTATAGAGGATTCAACATCATATTGCAGATTGTATCTAAATTTCGGATATGATATCTCATTAGTCAGTTAATTTGAATCAATTTCAATCGTTTCCCTGCGGTAAATTGCACTTAACAAAAGGTGTGTGGGACAAAAGAATGCCTGAAATCGAGATTCTGCCGATTCTAAAATTGCTGACAAAGGGTTATGATAAAGTGATCCCTATCGTCCGCCGTAGATACCATTAACATGGCTACTGGTTAAAAGATAAAAATGGGCAACCTACGTTAGCCGTGGGAATGTTCCGCGGCGACGCACGTGATGCGGCGGCCAGGCCGGGCGTGACAACCATAACAATCAGAGCGCTGATCAGCACCACAAACATTTTTAGTCCCGATTGACTCTGTCACCAGCGTAAACTTCACTATGATGGAAATAAGCTGTTGGAGTTTCATGATTATATCTGACTGGTCCGGAATGGTGGGGTGGATATAATTTGTTTGAGCCAGCGTCATTCTGTATAAACGTTGAGGGTAGACACCCCATCCGATACTTCGGGAGATGAGGGTTTGCGGCAAAGCTGATGTCTTAGCATCATACGTTGTAAATTTGAAGTGAATGTTGAAATGTAATTCGTCAGACGGCAACCGTTCAGGCCGAGAAAGTTTATTCCCAACGGTTAAGTGATGGAGCAGGACCCTGCTTGACCGTTGGCAAAGTGAACAGACGGCCATATAGCCATAACAGCCATGGTGCGTTGCTATCGCACAGGTGCTAAATGGGCGACTCTCATGTTCACATGGGCGTTGTTCATCGCTCAAGCCGCAATGTATCTACATACACGATGCGACATCTGACTAAACACGATTTCTTACGAGTGCAATTTTTATGATTGTGTGTCTACAAAAGGTATTGGCCGCAGTCGGGCCCTTCCATTATGGCTGGTGTCCTAGGTTACTCTTTTTTCTCAATTATCTTGGACATTGTCACGGTGCGAACATGCATTGGTTTCATGGAACTGGGTTGTGGGTGAACGCGAGGTATGGCTAGATTCCGTTCTGCTGGTTATTTGTCTTACTTTCTCACGAGCGGCGAGCAGAGCCAGATTTTTCATAGAGTCCTTCACCATGAGTGGTAGCGACAATCACTCAGTGAGAGGCGAAAGGCACTTGGGCAATCAAGCAGCAGAGGCAACTGGTCATGCGCGACAAGTGAAGCTGCCGATTCTCGAGCTTCAATGCGAACGGTGTCATGGCCACCGATCAGCCTCGTACCATATCAAACACTACAAGGACCCAGTTGAATTTCCTCGAGTTGGCATTTGCTCGCGACGTCGGACGAACTGCGCGATAGTCAAGTCGGCCAGATGTGAGATATCTTGTGGGGGCCTGCCCGTACTGTACGAACTTCCGGCGAACGAGGCAGCAGATCATGTCGGGGATACACGGCCAAAGTTTTACAAGGGATAGTGTAGAGCAGACAGTATTTAATGAGACAATTGCTGACCTATTTTATCTGGTGCATGGCCAAATTTACACTGATTGATTTCATTAATGACTCGTAAGCTGTGTGCTGTACGAACACGAGCCTCTCTCTCTCAGCCTCTCTCTCTCTCTCTCTATACAGACCTCTGTCCCTCGGCCAATTTGTGTGCCACCCACTTGTCATGGTTACTTAATTGGTGACCTATGCCGTTTTCTGAAGATCCATGCACATGCCGCCGTGGGTAAGTTTGCAAAGCCGTAGGCGGAAGCTCGATTTGATGAGCTGGTCGAGTCAATCTCATCCTAAGTTCTTGAGGCGCGGAGACCCGCGTAGGGAGCGGGGCCCTTGTACTATTCTCCGGATAGTTCTTCCGCGGCCATCGGTGGCAAGGCCCCAGATCAAGACTGACCAATTGGAGGCGATGGCTAGCGTGAGGTTGAATAATCTGCCGAACAGTGTTGGAGATCAACGGTCCTGCGCATACTTTGTGCTCAAGTAAGTAGATACTCAAAGCGGACGATTATCCACGAAAACAGAAATACCAGTAGAGACGCACCTGCCACAGCCATATCCCCAGTCTGATCCTGGACATATCGCGACACTTCTTTCCTCACGTCTGCTGATCCTTCATAATAGCAAACGCGATTGCCAGTGTTGACAGAGCGCTCTGGGCTGCCATCTGAGCTCGTTTGTGAGCAATAGATGTGAATTTTGAGTATCTGGCTACCGTCAGCACCGAAATCGCACAGCACGCAATCTCCGCCGCTGGGGTACTTACATTAAATCCTTCTTTGTCAAGATCAAACATTCGTTGGAACCAGAGGACCAGCCACCGCGGATAGTCTGCGAGAAAATGGTCAACCTCCTGTTTGGTCAAGCCTTCCAAAAATATAGACTAGGCCGAGGTGAGGACATCATACCGAAGACCCCGCCCTGCCAAATGATCTCGAGTTTCCGCACCATCGCCTGGCGCTTACGGCTAGCCTCTACGAGCATTCCAACATACGAAAGGACTCGGAAGAATCCCACTTCCTCGACGATGAATAGGACGGTGCCGAAGCGGGAGAAGTCATCGGCGCACCCATACGGCCCAAGGACGACGGCAGGCTGTCTCAGGGTTGGGTCCAGGCTTTGCGGATCAAGGACTTTTCGATCACTATCCGCTTGTTCTGCCATGTTCCTGGCCAGCACCGCCCGGTGCAAAGCTGTCTGGTAGAGCTTGGTAGTGAGGCCGGACCGAGGTTGAGCCACCATGTGGATGCGCCCTCGGCTGTCAACCTCGTCCTCTTCCCAGACGGCCACGTAGAAGAGGAGAAGCTGCAGGCGAGCGCGCGTACCCGAACGGGGCAGCCACACTTGCACGTACTGCCCCGGTCGCATATTCCATCCGACAGGGACCGTGATATCAAGCCACAAAAGCCGATTTGGTGCGTTCATGGTGATTTCGTAGGTAGATTTTTGCCACGGCTTATAGGCCAACACGGTCAGCAGACAAACCGTGAAGCTGGCAAGGAGCCACAAACATATCGCTCCTAGTAAGTACCAGCGATATAGCGAGTGTCGTTCGGCGAGATGATAAACAAGGGCGCCAATGGCAATGACTGCTAGTGCATAATGACATTTCATCACGACTTGCGGATGGCGCTGCCGGATCGCCTGAAGGGTCATCAGCATGACGAGAAAAAGAGAACACCCTGCCTGGGAAATGTCAGCTCAATCACCCACAATCCGATCATCAGGGGTTTCAGCTGCAGCTATGTAGCTCACATACGACGAGTGGGACTATGTACACGAATGTGGCCAGAGTGGACGTTTGGGCGATAGACACTATCGCGGAGCCATGTAGCAGCGACTGGAGGGTGCAAAGGCGGCCAAACCACCGATGCAGCCACGCGAAAGTCTGACGGTTCATGTGCAGGAGATCTGCTGGGAGGCCAAATGTTATGCCGGTGCACAAGGGGAGAAAGTGGACGACTGCCAACGCCCCCGCCCGTTTCTGCGCTTCTGCCCAGGAATGTGTTCGGAAGCCGATACCAACGAGATTGGCAGCGAGTAGCAACGCCACTGTCAGTGCCTGTAGATATGTTGATATGTCAATCCACTGCAAGGTTCGAGGTAAAGAGACAAACAGCAAGCGTCGCCACGCGCTGGGCTGTTGCGACGTGGAAGCCAGCCAGAGCGCGCCATGGCAGCGCCTCCATCCCCACCGACCGACATCTCTGCCGAGCCAGTAGATTAACCAGACGATGAGCACGCAAGCGGCACTGATGCTGTAAAGTTCAGGAGCCGAGAGGTTTGAGAGCCAAGCGAGGAGCCTGGATGCAGTCTTGTGCATCCTGAACTGCCATCCCGGACCTCGCGGGTGGGAATGTGGCTACTGGACTATATGAAGGCGTAGAGGGTCCACTGAGTGTTGTTAATGGTTGCCATCTTCATTGTTCTCATTAATCAAGGATTCATAGGCACCTAGATCAAACAATCTAGATTTTGCCGTGCGGATTGCCGATCTTAACAGATAGATAAGGCGAGAAAGACAAGGGCAAAAGGCGAAGACGGTGGTCAAATAAAGCGAGACAACGGTAGCTAGTTAAACGGTCGCAGAAGATTGACTGGCTCTCCAACGCCCGACTGCGTTCTTCATTTTCATTCCACCGTTGCGGGCGAGGATCGCGCCCTCTCGTCTCCACAAGCAGGCCCACTTAGGTCGGTTGAAAGTGCTCCCACGTTCTGAGATTCCAGCTCCACCTCCAATGTATTAACCCGTTCTTCAAGATGCCAAGCCCGTTGCTTCTCCTGTTCAAGGCAACGGTTCTGGTATATCATGTGGGCTTCAAGTTTGGCCTGTTCATCTCTTCCATTTTGTATCTCAACCTGCAGTTGATAATTCGTATTGAGCAGATTTTGATATGCACTGGATAGCCTATGGAATTCCCCGGAGATTTGAAGAATTATCGCCTCTAGCCGTCCATCAGCGCGCTTCATGCGCTGCTCTGATGAATAATGGTTCTTTGCCTCCCACGGAAACTGTGGATGATTGTTTGGGAGCGGGGCTAATCGAGCGGTTTGTGGAGAGACAGCGGTCAAAAACCGCGCTTTCGCTGTTCTTTGTGGAGGCATATCGTAATTTCGGAGCTGATGCGCTTGAGAGTTGAAGTCATGAATCAGAATGGGCTTTCTGAGATACTCGCACAGTTTATATGCTCCTGAGGTGGGATACACGATAAACGCCAGCAGAAGTAAACATCTCTCTAAGCAAATTGGCGTTCCAGGAGTCAATGAAGAGATCCTGGGAGTAAGCTATCCGTTCCTGGGGGCATCAGCATTGAGTTCCAGGATCTCGGGCCCTTCGGGGAGCGCCTGGCAGCGTTCCTGGGGGCGATCCTGTGTATTCCTGGAGACGATCCAACCGGCCCCCAGGATCCGTAATTTTATAAGCGTCACCCTTAGTTTCGGGCCGCATACTGGTTGAGTTGGCTCTGTAGTTGGCCGAGCGGCCTTTAGCACGGATGAAAGGCAGTTTCTGCCGAGATGATCTCTCTCGTCAAGAAGGCCAAGATCCTTATTTTGGGAGGATGATTGCATTGAAACAACTCCACTGGGAAAAATAAGTCACACTCTGCCTCGTACGGTGCATAATAGCACTGTACCAAAAGTCGTAGAAGGCTGTTGAGGATTAGTCCTCTATTCTGTCACACTGTATGATTGGGTTCTCATGTCATTCTACTCGTCCGATAAAGCCTGTACTCGGCGCCAGTCATAGCTCTATACCGTCCTCGTGAGCTACTGTAGTCACGGAGCCCCAGATAAAGCTTCATCTACGTCTTTAGTTGCATTAATTTCGGGACTTCAGGACACCCTATACAGCTTTTGATATTGAGACATCCAGTTAGGGGAGGTTGAAACCCAGTGGCTTTGCTTAACAATATCTCCGTCATTCTGCATACAAGACTAGCGTCCAACACTGCTCCTGTTCAGTATACGACCTTGAAAATCACTGACCCAATGAGTCGCTGCTCATTTCCTGTTTCAACCATGCTGTAATTTGTAATGCCACACCCGTGTCGGCGTGCTTCACGTTGAATATCACACGATGCCATTCTCCGAAGTCTCCAATGTATAAATGGCTTCCCTGGATCATTTTTTGCACACATAATGGGTTATCGTCAACGCGCGATGCACTCAATTCCCATGACCCTTTATACCCATCAGTATGGATCAATTCACATTGGCCCTCAACGTACCATCACAAATCAGAATATGTCGGGAAAGCGTAACAAGTGCATTCAAGGGGTTTTGGATGTATAAAACAATCAACTGACGCTCAGACATGTCCATAGATACAGACTGAATGTCAGACCCGGGGCCGTCATTGATTTCAAGACTGACGGCATCCATTTTGCGCTTGCTTTGCGATCACGTTTCAAGAGAGACCTCAGTGGGTTTGATGAGTTGACAGCGGGAATTGGGGGATGTTTGGCGGCCGTTGAAGGAGATATCTCTGTAATATTTCATCCCAATTACTCCGCTCACCACGGTATATATCATACTTTTCAGGTGACAAAGCTTCGAAGCCATATACAGCCTTTTTTCACCTGGGGAAAGAATCCATGCTCCTGGGAAGGGCCCTCTCGCTCCTGGGTACTCGCGGCTAGGCCCTGGGAGCGTAGGTAGTGTTCCCAGAGCTCTATAGGCTCCCAGAGCCCAAGTTCTCGTTTTCCAGGAATCACCTTTGATGCTCCCAGGTCCAAAAATAACCGTTCCCAGTACAGTATGGGCGGTTGTTTAATTTATAACGATCGCAAGTGTCTCCTAGGCAGCCCTACATTTCTTTCTCGGCATCACCATGTGGTCCGAAGCTATCCAGTACTCCGTTTTGACAACAATCTTATCGGTCGTAAATGGCATACGGATTGCAATTTTGCATGCCCGACACCCTGAATATCGACTACAAATCGTGGATCTAGCGCAATGGATCATACTTTTTGGCTGTTCTATTGTAAGCTTGGCTTTGACCTGCAGCAATGCCAATGACTACAGTGTTGGTGTCGCTCTTTTAAGAGGAATCATTTCGGTGCTCATACCGATTCCTTGGGTAATGCGAAGCAACGTTGTGCTGGTAGATCAGAGCTAACACGAACGCATCAGTATTGCCGAATCAGTCTCCAGCTGATCGGATTGGATAGCGCTCCTCATCCTTTTACAATCGGGTTGCTGTGTTTTGTCGCATGCTCTACTTTGAGTAAGATTGCAGCCATGATGGTAGGTACTTTTAAGGACCCCTCCATGTGGTTTGGAGTGGCCTCTCTGCTCTGTTTCGATTATCTTGCCATGTCTGGTTTCTACTGGTGGCTACGAGGGCGAACCCTGCGGGGGTATCCAGCTCGAGTCCAAGTAAGCTACATCGCGATTGTGCTTTCGATTCTATCACTTCTTCTTTTAGTCGTCGCCGTCATTGGTGTTGTCTTGGACCGCTGGTTATTATTGCTAGAGGTAAGCCATACGAGTCTCCTTATACTTGAACCCGTGCTGACTGTAGTAGCTGCAGATTCCAATTGTTCTGCTCTCTTCACTTATGCTGCTTCTTCAGGGTAAAGTGGCCAATTGTAGCTCTATGGATGCAAGAGCGCGCCTCAGATCGTTGAGTACGTGTGCATGAGAGCTGCCGCATACGCAATGAATACGGCAAAGGACACTTGCTTTCTCACAGGTCATATTACTCTGTAAATGGGTCCGCTTCAAGGAAATTGTCATCGTGGGGTGGGTGATGCGGGCGACTAAGAGGTACTGTAATCTACAAAGAAGTGATTGCGGAGATCTAGCCGTACGCCTTGAGAAATGTTCTTTCTGAAATTTGAACCGTGGGTCATAGTAAAATATATAGTCACAGAGAGAGTGTGTTGCTTTCACGAGTCATCCCACAGCTATACTATAACATATTTCATACATATCATAAGAGTATGCCTAGCGAATACCCATGTATAGCTTTCTCAGGCTTGCCTCTATATGGATCCCCAAGAGTGCTGACGAACCAGCTCCCGGCCCTTCTACTATGGCAATCTCTCCGTGTCATTATTCCCTCCTTGTGAGTCTTCAGGTGAGACATTCAAGCCCCCGCTGGCCGTGCTGCTCCACTCGTTGAGTAAGCGAAACATCCCCCGCCGAGCATCCATCAGCTTCTGCTCTAAGGCATGAAAATGATAAAGCTGGTCATCGTGGGTGTTCTTCAATTGGTTTCCCTCGAGCTGCAGCTGCGAACTCATGGCTCGCAACTGTTGATTACCCACTTCAAGACGCTGACTGTCGATCTGTTTGGAAACTGACGACTCCCACAGACGGCGGAAGAGGCTCAACAGACGAGCACCCTGAGCCGCCGCTTTAGGGTCATCGTGCTCCATCTGTGCTAAGGCCTCAAGGACCGCACGGAACGGTTCCACAGCTAACTTTCGTTTCTCCTCTTCTGCGTCTACGTCACGGACGTGGGACTGCTGCCGTCAGCGAGATTCTCTAGATACCGGGGAGGGGGTCTTACCGAAGAGGTCTGGAGAACCTTGGGAATCTCAACCTCGCCTGGACCTGGTTGTCCTGGCTGCAACATGCCTTCACGCTCACATTCCTCCACGGATGGCTGAGTTGAAGCGTCCATTATGAGATGATCTGGGAGAAATGGACAGGATGGGGCTGTTACTTTATAGTCAATATTTCTTCTCTATTCAAGTTTAACAGCGCAAGCCCTGTTGGGAAGACTAGAATAGAATAATCATGGACAGATTATGCATGATGAAGACTCGCGGTTTGCCCACTGGGTTGATAAACGCCGTCAAGGATGGTCTCCCGTTGGTTGATGGTCCCGTATAGAGATGGGCACCCCTCAAATATCATAGGACGCATTCATGATATTTTCCGCCTAGAGCCATTCCTATCTATTTGTGCACTGGCTGTTGTGTCAACGTTGAAACATCTCATCCGGTGCACCAGCGAGAATTGTATTTATATGCCTCTCAATGATGGACTGCGAGGACATGTTCCTTCTGTACCATGCGGGTGGAAAGTACCGTACGATGGGCACTCGGCCTGTTCGTCTGGTTAGCGCCGCCCATCTGCTTAGCTAACCAAGGGCGTGGCAATATCATTTTGCACAATAATTGCCGCTTTCCTCTATACGTTGAAGGAGTAGCACACAGCACATACCTGGACACTGAGCTTAACCCCCAACACAAGCTCTCTCAGCCATTTCGCCTCACGGTCGATGGTGTAGGAAGCTCCCTCAAAGTCTCAACAGTGTGGAGAAGCTCCAAGGTCACCCAGATAGAGTACAGTGCTTGTTTCGGAAATGAGAACACCACTGATTGTCGCCCCCTCGACATGGTCTATTATGATCTTTCGAAAATCAATGACCCATCGAATACTGAGTATGGAGTCCGGATTGAGCCAAGCTATAGTGGATGTCCAACAATAAATTGCCCAGCACAAGTATATCGATGTGAATCAACCTACTACCAACCTAACGACAACTATGCAACTAAAGCTTGCAATGTTGGTACAGATCTAAAAGTCACATTTTGTCCGCAGTCTAAATGACGTCGTGCTAGACCACGGTTGATACCGATCTTGGTGCTGAGTTCAGATCGTGGTGTACCACCTAGAGGGAACGTAAGCAATGGGAAATATTACGGCGCTTTTAAATTTTGATAACACCTTTATCAGTCAGGTTTGAGCATCTTTAGCCCGGAGAGAGGCTGCTCAAGTACGCGTTCACTGCATTTGACCCTGAGGTAGTTATTACGTGTGGGTACTGTATAGAACGGAGAATTTCAAAAAATGTTCCTCTTTCCCAGAGAAGCTTTCTTTCCTAGTGTCCGATTCAAACTAATTTGCGAGGTATTAGGGTAAAAGAAATAATCATCATCATCTACAGTCATAGACGGAGATATATTGGTACTGTAGATATTCAGATTCGCTATGCTTTCGGAGAGAACCGCTTTACTATCATTCTTTGGCCGGTTCTTCGAAACGTCGGTGCAAGTCGATCTGATGTTGAATAGCGCTTCTCACTAAGCTGTTCCCCGTCCGACTCGCGTCCTTCATGGAGCGGGTCGACAACCTGCTGTCTTGAAGCAGTTCGCTGACCACTTGTGTGTTTCCTCGCCTAGCTGCTAGGAGCAACGGATGCTCAAAATGATTATTCTCCAAGTTTGGATTGAGGTCAAGGTGCTGTGATAGTGCCCTTACGATCTCTACGTTTCCATGGCGGGCCGCGATGCACAGGGCGGTATCTCCAATCAAGCAGGTGCGCTCGTTGACCAACAGCTTTTCACCTTGACTCACAAGTAGCTGGACCGTCTTCAGCGTCCCAATCTCCACGGCTTGGCAAAGAGGTGGATCTCCTCCTCTCGCATTGAGGGCAATACCCGGGAAGTCGAGGAGCATTTTCAACGCATCATTTCGCCCCCACTCCACAGCGAGTTCCAGAGCGGATTTCCCTCCGGCTTTTTGATTCACATCGACCCCCGGTGTCTCCAGCCAGGCTTGTAGAATCGTTGTATCTAGCCTCAGTATGGCGTGATGTAGACAGCTCAAGGGCGTGTCATACTTCCCGCGACCACCGATGAAGTTGATGTCCACACCTTCATGCCGGAGAAACCGTTTTGTAATCTCATCGTACTGTGAGCCTGATGCCATCCATAGCGGCGTGTTGCCATTCTTGCTAATGGGATTGGGATTGATACCGGGATGGCTCAGGAGAAGATCAACCAGTCCAGGGGAATTCATTCGCACGGCAAGATGGAGCGGTGTGTGACCCTTCCGATCATATCTTTGCAGATCTTCTTTTCTTTCCTCAAGAAGTTGTTTGATTGCCTTGGGTGAGCCATATGATATGGCTTGGTGTAGGGGTGGATCGTCGCTCTCCAGAATTTGTTGTCTGAAGGCTACAGGGAGCAGACGGTGCGATGTTATCAACTCCACCATCGGAGCTCGGTTTGCCTGAATCGCCAAATCTCGTGGAGAGTGGCCGGCATGGTTCTTGATATCAAGGTTGGCTCCGCGTAGCAATAGCATTCGTGCAATACCAATCCGGCCCCAGAAGACCGCCATGTGTAGCGCCGTCCCTGCTTGCCCATATTGCGTGTGAAGAGCAAGGCCAGATTGATGCAAGACCTTCTCCAATAGATTCTTAGCGATACTAAATCCGGCGTATCTGACGACATACCAGAGGGCATCTTTCTGTTTGCTGTTCTTTAGGCGGGTGTCCAAATTGGGCTGCTTGTATAAGAGCTTAATCACAGCCACTGACGAGTGCTTGATCGCTCTCATCAAAACAGTCTCTCCTCGGTAAAACGAGTTGATATTGGCCCCGTGGTTAATCAAGTCCTGGAAGAGAAGACGATTGTTGCACTTTGCTGCTAGGTGGAGCAGGTTGCTGTTGCGATACTTGATATTCAACCGGAGGGTGAAGAGCCGCAACTTGGAGAAGAGTTGAACCGAGGATCGCGTCAAAGAAGTCACGTCTTCCACATCTAAGTAGAATACAATCAACTCCATAAGCTCATTCGGTAAGTTCGGTAAGTTTGTCTAGAAAGTCTTAGTTCTTCCCATTCTTCGATTGCCGGCGGTTAAGAGAAAAGCAGATAATACACACCATGGCCAGATTTAAACGTGATCGTACTGCGGATGCGTTGCTGGACACCCTTCAGTCAAGGACGTTTTTATAGCAATTTTAATCAAGAACAATAGGATTAAACTGAATTTAAAAACCACTCAAAGTAAATTTGTGCTCCTGGGAGCTTTAGGGCTCTGATCCAGGAACCAAACGGTGGGGAATGGTACAGGTGACATCAATATTAAACTTTTCAAGTGGTACTCGCAAATCGAATTAGACGAGACTTCCTTCTTGGAAGGCTTCTGCCCTTCTCAGCATCCCGGCCGGATCTAGACGCCGGCCTTGAGCAGATTTTGTCCACAGCTGACTTGACTCATTTCAAGCTTATAATCCCCCACTAGAATATGCGTATCCCAGGCACACACTCTTTCTTTTAACCTAAATTACGACTACATTATAACGTATGAAAATGGGTTCTCGTTGGAATCCGAATGATGACGGTGCAAAATTAATGGCACAGCACTACAATTCAGCCTTTCAAAGAGACTCTTAAACAATGTAAATCAATTCTTCCTGCTGTAAATCAAAATTTCCAATGTTGGAACAAACAAATTCAAAACTGACATGTACAATAGTAAATCGCAGTAAGCTCAGTGTCGCCCGCGACATCAATCTGTTCCTTTGCATACCTCACTTCAAAAGCTCTAATCTACGTTTTCTGAATTTCCTCCTCCTCATCGTCATCGTCTGGTTCTTCAATATCGCCCATTCTGAGCCGTTCTTCTCTGTAGTGGTGATATCTTGCAAGCGCTTTGGCCATGCGCTTTGCCTTTTCTTTTTCACTCATAGTGTCCCACTTCTCTGAACGTCTTAATTCCGCTATGTAAGTCCATTTGTTGAATCGGAGTGGCTCTCGTTTCTCAGCTTTCTGCGCATCGCTGGGCAGATCGGCGACGGTTGACGACAGAGGCGGCTCTCCCGTTTCTTTAGGTTGTTGGACAAAAGGACTGTCTTCCTCTGGCTCCTGCTTAACATCTCGATCCGAAGACTCACGCATGATCTTGTTTAGTTTCGTTGGGGTTGCCGTGGCACCCCGTTTTGCGCCTGACCAGGGTCTTGCATTTTCTAAGGATGTTCTAGGTGAAGCCGAGCGAGTACGAGATCTTTTCTCGCGCTTGAATACCTCTAGCGGACAGACAGATGGAAGACGATCAAAATCATCCCCTCCAGCCTCCTTTTCATGCTGGTTATATCGTTCCTCCTGTTGATCCCACACTGTGTTGATCACGGCCATTATCTCTTCATCCTCATATAGCGGATCCAGGTCAGCTTTCGGGATCCAAGCGAGGCCATTTGTGAGTTTGTGTTGATCCTCTTCCCAGATGTTGACAAATACAACTTTAAGATAAGTTGTAGGTGCGTTTTTGTACTCACGATCTGGATCGGCACGTTCTTGGATTGCAACGCCAATAATTCCGTCAATGTTTTCCGCAGTGTAGCGGCGGTGCCTATTTCCATGTTCATCGACATCCCATATCTGGGTTATCCGAGAGGCACTATAAGAGGCCTCTGGCAAATTTCTCAGATTATATCCTTTTGCTGATCGGAACACGTACTTGACCGCTTCGGGAGGCCCTAGTCGAATGATTACTTTTCTCGAGGTTCCACGTTTACACCATGCCTCCGGCTGACCACCGCGCTGACCGTTCGTGGTGGCCAGCTTGTTAAACCTGACGATCAAAGACCTATCGTCAAAGCCTTCCGCTGGATCTGGCAATATGTTCTTGACTGGTCTTGTCACGTCCACGCTCGTATCCATCGGCGTATCGTTCGGCTCGACGGGCTCATTTTCGCCATCGCCATTGAGATGGTTAGACACAGGCGAAACATCTTGGGCATTGAAGGGTGGTTTTGAATGAGGTTCCACCTCTTGTTCGCTATTAGTGGGTTCCGGCTCATTGATCTGCGCTCGGGCACTCTCTAATTTCGCACCAGATAGCTTTCCGCTTTCAGCATCTTTCTCGATCTGTTGTAGCTTTTCAGCAAGCTCAGCTTTCTTCGCTCTGGTTTCGGGGCCCTTGGGAGGAATCCCGCTGCTGTTCTGTGATTTGCCTGGAGGCGCCATAGTATTACGGTCACTTTTATTATCTGAAGACAAAGATTGAACTGCGAGCTTGATTTTATATCTGAAAATTGCACAGCAGCCTATTTAAAAAAGCACAGTACGTTTCGGAGAATGAAGACCACTTTGCCGGGCCAACGTTGAACACAGTATGATTCATCTTAGCTAGCAGGATCTTTTATCAACATACCCAGCTGAAAAGAGATGGAGCGCAGGGTAATTATTCAATTATTCATCGGAGATAGTGAGGATGACTGCGCAAGGTCAACAAACCACCTCTTAGTGCAGGTGTTTACAGCTCAACGTTACAGTGGCGACGTCTATTAACTCCATATAGCCTTGATTAGGATATGCAACCCATTGTTTTCATCTTCTGCTACCGACCGAAACTTGTGACAGATAGAACGAACGAGACCTACGGTATAAAACCTCAAACATCTAAGCTTGTGCTTTACACTATAGTTTTCGAACTACTCAGTAGCCTTGGGTTTGAGGTTCCCTGGGTTTTTGATTCTCTTTGTTCAAACTCTGAGTATCTCTACAGACTTTTCATTGATCTTTGAACCTTTCTTACGTCCCCTTGGGTTCTATTCTTCCAAGCCTGACTGCCTGCAACGACCATGAAAAACACCCCTAGCAGTACGAATATCGGCGCTGAAATTGACTGTCTGAAAGGAATCAGGGAAATATCTCTCAATAAAGATCTAGTTTCGTTTGTCGAACAGTCCTATGCATCACTTCAGTCGCGGAGAGCCTTAAAACGACGAGATCCCTTTAAGAGGTCTCTGCTTCATTACGCTGCTATGGGGGATAGTATCAACCTCCTCCATTACCTCCTACAAAGCGAGCTAGATGTTGATTCTCGTGATATGTACGGGCGGACTCCCCTCTCCTGGGCTGCTGAGTACGGCTCAATGCACGTTGCGAAGGTTTTACTGGAACGAGGAGCAAATGTCAATGCAATGGACTATGAGGGCAGCACACCATTGACATGGCTGATACACGCCGGCAATCCTGAAAGCAAGCACTTGGCGGCTACGGAAGCTCACCTAAAAGAAAGGGGCGCCAGAGAAGATACGATGAGGGGCATCAAGCGGGCTTGGGTTTGGCTTTTGACTTATTCCCACTTGCTCCGACATGTTCGCCCGCGCATCTAAGTCGCTCGGTAGCATGGAGCAAGCTGATACATACTGTATTTCCTGATACGCATGTCTGATTTTGGTCATATTCGAGGTAGCTTGCAAAATCACTGCAGCGAAACGCAGATTTCTCTAGCGACAGTAAGAGGAAGTCACAGACATTTTGGTCATGTTCACCGAACGAGAATCAACATGCAGTTACTACATAGTATTATTGATCCGGCCGACCACCCGCTGGGAGGATTGGTTAATACTTGCATCGTCTCCTACTGGTGTTCTATCACTCCGGCCACCTAAAGGAAGTCACTCAGCGTCAATACACCACTCTCTCATAAACCAAACACTAGATACTGTAGTAATGAATTTACTGTGGAGGTCTAATAGCAATTTAAATTTCGCACCAACATGACTGTTTTGAAGATGTTGGCTTTCGTGTACTGTATTCTGAATTGATTGATGGTAGAAAATATTAATGTCTCCGCCACTGCTGGCTGGTCATCTTTACTGCTGAAGATTTCGAAGCTCTCTCAGCTTATGGCTCTTCTGGACACGAAGATCACTGCACAACAACTGCATCACCTCCAAGTGGTTTCCGTGGATGGCCCACCACAATGGGCGCCTTCCGAGGTCGTCGATGTGGTTGGGATCTATATGAGGATGGCTTAGTAGTAAACTAACAATCTCACGATGCCCAGCGGCAGCAGCGAAGGTAAGTGCTGACCACTGCTGAGGCCCCAAGTGGTTGACTGCAACTCGGTCGCCGTCACCTAAGAGAAGGCGAACAATTGGCACATGCTGCCCAACGATAGCCACCTGAAGCGGGCTGGTTCCCGTAGGGCCCACTTGATTGACATCAATCACATTCCAGCGCAAGAGCTCAGTGACTATGTTTGCGTTCCCTGAACGGCATGCTTCCCACATTGGAGAAATTGAAGCTTTATGAACGTCCGGGATAGAGAATTTAGGATGACGTAGCATATGCTTCACAATGCTTTCACACCCTCTTCTAATTGCAATGGCCAATGGTATCATCGAGTTCTGATCACTGGAGAAGTCTACATTCGACTTCTGCAGAATGATATGTGCTACATCATTGCCGGAGCTCTCAATCGCACGCCAAAGAGGGGTCCGACCCTGAGTATCCCGAGCATTGATGTCAACTCTGGCGGAATCCAATAAAGAAATAGCTATTCTGTCGGGCTTATGGCGACGGGCTTGGCTTGCTGCTAAGTGAAGAGGTGTTTGGCCCTCCGAATCGCGGGCATTGACGTCGACGCGTGCATGGCGCACCAAGATTTGGATCGATACGGTATCGGCTTTCTGTACTGCCAAATGCAGCAAAGTATGGCCACAGTCATTGGTGATGTTTGCATCCATCCGATCATCTGACAGGAAAAGCTGCAGAATGTAAAATTCGCCAGAGGCAAGTGCATGCATGGCCGGTATCATTCCCCAATAGTCCTGGCAGTTGATGTCTATCGCTGGAAAACGAAGTAATCGTTCCACCAACCCAAGGTCACCTTTTCTCGCTGCGAAAGACAGCATATCAGGATCAGATAAACATGATGTGCCAGGATTCATTGTCGGCTGCTGCAGCAAGAAATCAACGGCAGTTCTGTCGTATCGTTGAATCGCCACACATAGCGCGGTCCGCCCGCGGTATACGGCGTTGATGTTTGGCTTGCTGCGAGTTATAACTTTGGCGGCCATTTTCAGATTTCCATGGGCTATGGCTCGCCACAAGGCTGGTTGTTTGCCAGTCTGCATCGATTGAAATAGCGCCTCCTGGAATAATGGAGAATGTATGCGACCCACGAGACATAGACTTCGTATGTCATCCAAATCGAGATATTGACAAATCCAAAACAGGAGCTCCGTCGGCAGTCCCAGCAGTCCTACTAACATCATGAAGAGCTTCTGGCAAGAGCTGAGGAAGAATTGTCAGAGATGAAAGCATACGTCTAGGGCAATGCATCTTATAGACGACCGAACATTTTCTGCTCCACGCGCCTAGAATGCTCCCAGGATCCACTCCAGCTAGCAATAGACCTGAAACCCCTATTGGGAGATCATATCGAGCATGGCATGGAGTCAAAACAAACATACGTTCCCAGGAACAGATCAACCGATCAGAGCAGTCAGACCTAGCGCTCTTCCCACAGCCAGGCAAATCTCAAAGCTAGACGGATATGGTACGCTCTGAGTAGGCAACCTGAAGGACCACCGCCTCACAAGGATTTCAGATGCAAGTAACGAGAAACACAAGACTCGATGTTGTAATTGCTATGATCGAAAACATGACATCCGGTACCTTTAAGCGCAATTTTGGAAGCCCGTTATGAGAGACCACGGAGGTCCCAGGAACAATGTCAGCAAACCGATTTACGTGGACTTACCAATTGCAGTACCCTCCAAGACTTTGGTGAGGATCTTATGTCCCGAGTTCATGCTCAATATCCTTATATTCTCATTATTTCTATTTCAAGAATCACCCGAGGCCTTAGAAATCTACTACAGAAGCTATCTTTAATCAATCAATCAATCAATCAACACTCTATTAACCTGATGCAGCCTAACTAGTGGCGTAATGGCTATGCAGGCGCTTCCTCCGGCGGAAGCAAGAGTATTCCGAACGCCAGACCCGCGCATGAAACAGTAGATACATAGGAAATCGGCGTATTGCCATATAAAATCAGCCCGAAAATCACCCAAAACAGTACCGAAACGCCCGCAATGCCCTCAATCCCACGATATATCTTTCAATCAGCCCTCACAACGGCCTGCTGCTTCCTCCGCATCTCCATCTCTGCTTTCCCTCTCTGGCATCCCCATCCTCCTGCTTCGTTCTCAATTGGTGGCGTTCATCGTCGACTGGCGTGTTGACATGTTGGATGTATTCTTCCAAGACCTCTCGGTCGGCCTTGGGCTTGTCGTTCCTCCTACCCATCGTCTTCACCACCTGCGCCTGCCAGTCTATCCTGGCTCGTTGTTCCGTCGCCTTCTTTTGGTGGTTCTGGCTCGATTTCGACGTGCCGGAATTGCCCCAGGAGGCCTGTTTGTAACATGAATTCGGCCACGTAGCGGGTAGCCTGCGAGTGCGATACAATTGCATCGTAATCCGTCGAATCCCCAAGATCAGTCGCCCTGACCTTGTCAAGGAAGGTCTTCCTCAGATCAGCGTACAACGGGCACTGCATTAAGACGTGTCTCGGTGTTTGAGACCCTTCTCCACAGTAACACTGATCTGATTCGACCGCCTTGATCTTGAATAAGAAGTGGTTCAGTGCAATGCGCATTGATCGCATCTGGATCAGAATCGAGGTGTATGGCTTCGAGAGAGACTCGAACAGCCGAAGCACCTTCTTGTCTGGGGCCTTCACCAATCGTTGGTTCGGCTTGCCAGTTGTCTCCTTCGCCCACTCTTGTGCCCATCTCTCTTTAATGCGCCGCCGCACACGGCGCTTCGCGGTCGATGCTAGAAGGACACGATCGCTGGGGGATCCACTACACGCCGAATCACCGGCGGTCAGTTGATCCGCTCCGTTCCCCACACCTCCGGTTGCCGCCAACTTTGCTTCAACGTCGGCAGTCTCGTTGCCAGGAACACCCACGTGTGCGGGGATCCAACGGATCTCGACGGGAATCTGGTCGAACGTGGGCGTTCGCGATCGAAGGGTTCGTACGTGGTCGTATATGGTAAGGAGCACGTGCTGGCCCGACGATCGCTTGGGATTTTGCACCGCCTGGATGGCGGCCTGGCAGTCGGAGAAAATGACAAGCTTTGTGGGCCTGCTGTTATTGTTTTGTTGTTGCTTGACGAATCTGGCAATCGCCATCTCAATACCATTGAGCTCGGCAACGTATACTGTCGATTCGTCGGTGGTTCCAAGGTGGCGCCGTTCGAAGACACCCTCGCGCGGGGCAACGGCCGAGGCACCCACCATTCCCTCGTATCCACTACCATCTGTGAAGAACAGAATCGTTCGGGGGCGATCCTGTATGGCTGTCGGGGAGCAGTCTGAGAGAGCCTGTTGGGACAGAGACTGAGTCTCAATCTTGTCATGCGAGGCTCGCGCAACCTCCGCATCTTCAATGACGCATGGGATCCGTGCCTCCCATGGCGCTAGAACGAACGCTTTGCGGGATTCCCACACGCTTTCTTTTGGGTCAAGAATACCCTTTTTCTTCCATCTGAGGGCTTCGAGAGGGCTCCATCCTCCTCTTCTAATCTCTTTTGGTGATCGTTGATGACGCAGACAGTCTGGTCGGGCCCATGCGGCACCTGTTTGGATTCGTATTGCCGTTTCCTGAATGATTTGGTCCATAAGGAGGTGTATCGGCGTGAGAAATAGCTCGATGTTGAGAGCTGCCGCACTAGTGGATTTGAATGCCCCACTAATTAGGATCGCAGCACGCCGTTGGATCTTGGTGAATTCGTTGACTGTGCGTCGTAGTTCCCCGGCTGGCATAGCCCTCGCAGCGGGGCAGTACCATGCAGACACCCCGTAGAGCATCTGTGGTATCACCACTGCTTGGTAGACCTTGCGCATCGCCGTTAATGAGGCTCCCCACACTGACCCCGTCATCACCCGGAGGGCTTCAAGGCTGCCGTTGGCCTTGGCGAGTAATTTCTGACGGTGTGTGTTGAAATCGAGGTGTCTGTCGAGCCAGACGCCTAAGTATTTTGCTGTTCCTGACGGTTGTATGGTGGTGATGTCGTTGTATCGGACGGGCATCTGGTCGTTGCCCTCGGGGTGTTGTGCTGCGTAGTCGAAGATGTCGGTTTGGATGTCGGTTTGGATGTCGGTTTGGATGTTGATCTGGGCGTCGTTTTGACTGTCGTGTGTGTTGGGGTTGGTGAAATGAATTAGTTCGAATTTGTCGGGTGCGAACTTTGCTGCATGGCGTCTCGCCCAGAGATCAGCCTTTCTTAACACCTTTTCCAACGCTTGCACGTTTTGATAGTAGGACTCAGACACGACTATAATCGCTGCGTCGTCGACCCATCCAAAACCATGCGTTTCTGCTGCGCCGCTTTGGGTGCGGCAAGCGGTGATAAGAGAGGCGTTGAATAGTAAAAAGATGATCGGAGAGAGTGGTGAGCCCTGTGGGATCCCTGTGGGTGTTGGAAATTCGTCGGAGAGGAAACCTGGTAGCTTGATTCGCGTGGTTCGCCCTGTGAGGAACGATTGGATCCACGGCACAAACCACCCGAGCTTCAGCTTCTTGATATTAGATAGTAACCGTTGGTGTGAGACGTTATCGTACGCCCCTGCCTGGTCGAGTAGGAGCATCGACACCTTCCTGCCGCTCCCCCACGCGCGGTGCACCTTGTCGAGGATAAGCTGAATGACATGATCCACGGAGATCCCCTTTCTACCACCGAGGTGGGTCTTCGGCAAGAGCCCGTTCTCTTCGACAGCCCATGCAATGCGCGTGGCCACGATAGATTCGAGGATCTTGCCGAGGGTATTTAACAGAGCGACTGGTCGGTATGATTTCGGCTGGCGGAAGTCGCGTGGGCCTCCCTTGCGGAGTGCCACCGTGATAGACGCCTGGAAATGGCGTGGATTGTATCCCGTTCGCATACAGGCGTCGAAGATTCCAGTGACTATGCTGACGAAGTCGTCATTGGCCACTAGTATCTTCCACACCCGGTTGGGGATACCATCCTCGCCTGGCGCCTTATCAGGCGGGGCTCGCTTGATGGCATCGCGTACTTCCTGCTGACTGATCGGTGGAAATGAGATCTGGTTTAACGTGCTGGGACCCTCGATGTCGGAGAGGTCAGCCTGCGGGGGCTGTGGGAAGAACATCTGACGAAGCAGATCAACCTTCTGCTGGTTGGTTTCCGCTAGGCCCTCCTGCGAGTGCAAGGTAGGGATGTTGCTGCTGGTTGACTGATCTCTCGTTCTGGCCCATTTCGACACTTTCCATAGACCGCGGGGGCCTCGATCGATCGTGCCTCGTACCCACTGTCGGAAGCCCTGTTTCATCGCTTTCTTGATCACCTTTCCCTTCGCGTTCCTCGCTAAGGTGTATTCCTTCCAGTCTTCGCCGTCGTGAGTGTTAACGTATCTCCGATAGAGTCGTCGAGTGGTTTTGATCGCTTCCGTGCACTCGGCGGTCCAGCCCTGACGGGCCCACGACGATGGCCTTGCCCAGGGTGTTGACTCCTGAGCTGCCTGTTGGATAATATCAAGGAGGTGGTTGACGGCGTGGTCGATCTCGTACGGTGTGGGTTCGCCTGGCAGTCGCATCCAGTGTTTCCCGATGAGGTTGGAAGAGACGAAGGTGAGGAATTTCTCCACGTCCATAGCCTTCCAGTTTCGCCGTTTGACGGGATCCGAGGCCTCTGGCACATTGATTTCGAGTATGGTGTGTAAAGGCAGGTGATCAGAGTCCGCATGAACGTTATAATCGACCTCGCACGCTATCATCTGCTCGCGCAGGGAATATGAGGCGAGAACAAGGTCGATGGTGGACTGCGAGCCGGCCTGATCGCGTGTGACGGTGCCCGGTGCTAACCAGTTGTCTAGGCCTGCAGTCTCCATCAGGTCTAAGAGATCCTCTGCCCTCGCATCGCGTGGGGCATCGTCACCGCCCCAGACCGGGTGGTGTAGGTTAAAATCCCCGAGGACTAGGTAGGAGACCCCTTTCTGCTCACGGATAGGCGGTAGCTCATCCTGTAGTAGGCTAAGGGCTGCTCCCTGCTGCTGATCATTGTACACGTTGACGATTCGAAGCTCCCCGGATAACTCGGTCTTGATGCGAACTTCCTGACAGTCGCGGGAGTATGCCAGGTGAGTGTATTCGCCAAGCTTCTTCGATATAAAAATGCACACTCTGGCCCTGCCGCCTGTCTCACTGGCCGGTGGGAATAGCAGCTCATGCGTCTGCTTTAGCGGGTAGTGAGTGTTGTCCTGGAATGGATTTTCCCATGGCTCCTGGATAGCGATGATATCGGCGTTGATGACTTCCTGCTCGCGTAGGAACTGCGCCATCACCACATCCTTCGATCTGTGCACGTTGTATTGATATATCTTGAGATCCCTTCTCGTTGTTGCTGTATCGTTTCCTTGGTATGTTGGTGGGTAGGTGTGCTGATTCATTGGCGGTTGGATCTAGAAGATTTCCTGCTGTACATTCTACGTCTTCCAGCCGATCGGATATTGAGAGAGAGATCCTCGCTGTGGGGCTGTTTCCGCTTCCTGCCCTCCTCCAGTTCTTCCGCTGTTGACTCTGCTAGCGACGAGGGTTGGAAGTCTTGATCGCTTCTGTGTGCTTCGAGTTGGCGTTCCAGATTTCTCATGTTGACCTCGTCTAGCTCTGAGCTGAGTTCTGATTCGAGCCGCTCCTGGTTCGCCTCCTCGGTGATCTCCGTGATACGTGTCGATTTCCTCGCGCTGCCGGTGTTGTCGGTGTTGTCGGTATTGTTGCTGCCGGTCCGTCTCTCGGCAATCCTTCTAGCTCTAGCCTCGCGTGCCTTAGCGGTGCGGGCCCTGGCCTTCTCGGCTTTCGACTGGGTGCTGCTAGTGGTAGCTCGCGAGCTGGGTCCTTCTGGTCGAAAGTCGATCGTGTCGAGCGGTTGTGGGGCGAAGCTGCTCCCTGCGGAGAATCGACATATGCCTTGATCCTTCGAGAATTGGAATGTCGGTTGATCTTCGCTTGTCGGTTGGTCGAGGACGATCGGTTGGTCCTGGGAGCGGCCCTCTATCGGTGAAGTTTCCTCCTCGCCAGTCTCCATCTGCTGAGACCCTGCTCTCTGCGCCTTCCGTGGCCTTCCTCTCTTCCTGCCTGATGACGCCGTTGTCACCGATTTAGCTCTCTCCTTGTTGGGTGCGTGTTGACTGGCCTGCAGGCTCGTTGCCGTGCGGCTTGTTGCTACAGGGCCGGTGCCCCGGTTCCCCCCGTTGTGAGGGCGTGCGGCCGACGTCAAGCCGCTACTCTCGACGCCGCTGGTGAGCTCCTCGCTCGATGAATCCTTCGATCCCCACGAGCTGGCGGAGGAAGGATGCAAGGGTGCTAGCGGTTGGTTGATGCTGTATGGTGCAGGCACGCTGTGGTATCTTCCACGATATCTCGCCGCTTCTGCCACACGCTTAACCTCTCGCTGGCGTGCCTCACATTCCGTACTCCACGCAGCGTGTGCACCCTCGCAGTTGGCGCACTTGTTCTCTTGCGTTTCCTTCGAAGGGCAATCCCGAGACTGATGACCCTCCGCACAGTATACACATTTGACGGTGTTGGCACAGGTGGTCCCTATGTGTCCATATTGCTGACAGTTGAAGCACTGCCGCACACGAGCCGCCCTATCGTATAGTACGGCCGTCAGATTGTCACTATCCCAAAGAACCCCCTTATCGATCGCCACGTTGGCCGGCACTGGAGAAGTGAACTCAATGATCAGTGAGCCACTCTTTCCTGACGGGATACGCAGCCAACTGATCTTGGTAATCTCCGCCCTCTCGCCCCAGTTATGCACGTTGCTCGCTAACAGGTCCTTGATCACCTTAGCTTGGACGACTTGAAGATCGTCTGAGGCCTTGTTGATTCCTAGCGAGCGCACGTTGACGTCGTGGACGATGACCCCCCACGTGGGCATGTGCACGAACGCCGTTTTGCAAAGGCCCTTTGCCCACTTCTCTCGATGGATCCTCATAATCTCGGCCTCCTTTGCATCGCGCATCGTGAAGCGGAGATCGCCTGACTTCAGCTGGCGTGACGCGAGAACCATCACCGAGGCTAGGGGCGGCGTATCTGTTGTTCTGGCCGCTTTCGCCCGGGCCTGATTAGCCCGCTTCGTGAGCTCTGCACTCGTCAGGCGGCGGAACGCACCGATCTGTGAGCGGTCGCCGAGACAGACCACCACTTCACGGTCACGTGCCACCTCCGCCGGGCGCGTTGGTGAGCTCGATGAGCTGCTCGAGGAGAGATAGTGCGCGGGAGCAGGCGCTGTGCGGACCATTTCGGCGAACGAGCGAACCGTCTGTCTGGCTGGAGGTTCTGCAGCGGCCTTAATAGCAGTAGTGATCTCCTGCTTAAGGTCTCTACGCAGGGCCTCAAGCTCCTGCTGCCAATCCGTCAATGGCGTCGACAGGAGGTCCTTCGTCAGGTCTTCCACCTGCCGGAGGAAGTTGACGACCTTAGGGGCTGGTCGTGCAGCATTCTGACTCCTTCCCAGCTCTTTGAGAAGGTCGTGCGCAGTGTGGTTGGCGTTCAGTACGCGCTCTCTGTTCGATGACAGATTTTTCAATGGGCCTCCGGAAGCCCCTGGCGGGACCGGCCCAACGCCCTTCGACGCGCGCAGCATCGCAATATCGGTCGTACAGCTACGAGACCGGTATCAAATGATAGCGCAGGGAGTTAAATTGAAACTGTCGTTGACTAGAAGTTGCCAACTGGCGTGGTTCCTGAGATATTTTAAAAATTCAATTCGGCGCTGAAGTTGTTGTTCTTTACTGGTGAAGCTATCTTTAAGCTCTCGTTTACGAGTGTGCTGAATACTCCAAGAAAACGCGACAGAGTAGAATAAGTTAATAGGTATATGGAGTTTCGAGGACCTTTCGAGAAAGAGTCGAAGAGTGTACTGGTCAAACCGATTTCATGAATGACTGCACCTGGCTCTCGGAGACCGTCCGTGGCAAGAGACACATCGACGGTGAGGTTTGGGTCGTAGTCGATGCATCCATATCTGCCGAGCAGACCACCTGTCGACGGGTTGAACCCTCCGAACGCAATTTAAGGAGATGTGGCGTCTCTGTTTGAGGGCTTTGGTAGATGAATCGCGAGCTTTTCTGCTGACAGGCACGCGCTGGCCTTGAGGAGCGGCCCGCCGTTGTCTACAAGGATACTTCCTTCGAAAAGGCTGGTTCTCAACTAAGCCTCGTGGGATTTTTGTTGGATATACTGCCTCTTGGTTCTGCTGCAGTCGAGTATGAGGTCCAACATCCGCTGTACTTGCACCCTTATGTTGAGCTAAACGAGTAACGCGAGTCATGATCGCCGTATGCTTACCGTAGAATCTCGGAAGGGGTGCAAGACTTGGGACGAAGCTGTTAGAGATGGCTCTCTAATCAGTATAGGATGTGTTCCCTTTCTATCAACAAATTATTCAAGGCCCTTATAAGAGCCATCTACAGAAGACCCGGCTGGAGGACGCTTTCAGACACCGCCTTCCGGCCAACACCGTGGAAATTTTGAGGGAGGCGGGTCCCAACCAGGCTGTGGCTTCACCGTTATTGCAGTCTTGCATGTCGACTAGATGGACACCCATCATTCTTGGGCTGCCTCACATCTGCGATTTTTCCAATATCACATCTTCAGGTGGAACAAATTCAACGTTTGCTCAAGGCCAAAATTTTCCCAACTTTTTCCACGGCAAAGATTTCTGGCGGCTAAGCATCTATAAATATTTGATCGCAGCCGGCAGTGAAGAATATAATACGCCGTTCCTCACGCCAGTCAAAATCAGAGACCAGTGTCAATGGACCATCCAGCCAATCTGCCCTTGTCTGCCGGATTCGAATGCGCCGAGGAGGTGCACAGACTTGCCAATGACCAGCGCGATCGTGATTTGGGCAACAGCAGCGAGTCAAGCCAGAGCTTGTGCCGTCAGCAGACTGTCTCCTTGAGCATTTCCCCGAATTACGTGGAACAATGGGATACCACCGCTGCTTTTCGGGAACTGTACCAGAACTGGTAGGCTGCCTCCCTCAAGGCTGACAAACATCTAATTGGAAATAGGAAAGATGCGATTGTTGAAAGATTTCAGCTCGAGATTCGAGATTTTCAGCCCCGGTACGAGAACAAGCGTGACTGCATATCCATCACGGTCGTCGTACCAGACCTCTCTCGTCCGGATCGGCGCGGCCGCGCTTTAGGATTTGCGCGTGATTCTGGCCAATTGCTGTGCTTCACTTCGACCTGACGATCTTCAGCTCGGGCAAACCTCCAAGAAAGGGAATGACCGTCTCTCTGGGTGCTACGGAGAAGGCTTGAAGTTGGCCGCTATGGTGATGGCCAGGAGAGGGTTATAAAGTGCACATGGCTGCCGATGGCTGTGACTGGAGCTTCCGAAGCCGCGGGCCACCTAACTTCCAGTTTTGCTGTCTCATTCGCCCATCCAAGCATGTCAATTCCAACCACTATACCGACCCCACTGCGGACATGACCCAATTGCGCTCGCGTATCGAGAGGGATGTTGCAATCACGATTGGTCCAGAGCGCAACCGGAGGCGTGAGAAGGTCGCGTTGGACGTTTTTAAAAGGTGGTTGGAGATCTCTCTCGATATCCGCGGTCTTTCTTACCCGGCACAGATCATTGAAACTGACGTAGGAGACATCATCCTCGACAAAAGGTATAGTGGCAAAGTTTATTGCAAGGGGATTCTGTTGATAGGCTCGGCCTTCGGGACTGCTGCTTACAAATTTGGGTATAATTTTTTGACAGTGGCAGCTCATCGTGACCGATTAGAGATGATTGACAAAGAGGAGCAAGCCAACCTCGTGCGGAGAATGTGGGAGGCCGCCATCCGTCAGGACGAAGCATCGGCACTTCCCCTCTACGTGGACCTTTTGTGGAACTCTCCAGGGGCTCCAGATGTGGAACTGGCAGACCGTCTCCTGGAGCCAAGCACAAGATCTTTGGTTTGGAAATACCTCCTAGGGGAGGCAAATGAAGAGCAGTTTTATTATAGTGCAACCTGCCACGCCAAGGTCAGTACGCCCATTCGGCGGTTGTAAGAACACAGATTGACTACTTCCAGAATGCGGATGTGATCCGCGATGACCTAAAGAAAAAGCCGGCCAGAATTCCAGAATCGCTGTGGAACTTGCTCCGGTCAAGTTCTCCGATCAGAACAGCGGAGGAAGAGCTGATTGCAATATTCAACAGCGCCCCGGCATGTTCAGCTCCCAACTCATCTTTCGCCATAGCGGTTCAGAGAATTTTGAAATCATGTATGGCTCTCTATGACAGCACAAAGCATATTGAAGTTTCGTTTGTCGATGCTCCTGATACTTCGATTGATACCTTCTTTGATCTCGAGCATCAAGTGCTCAAGGTTCACCACAGGTGGTTGGACTTTGATGTCATGCATCACAAGTATCCCTGCCGGGATCATTTTCCTGATAACATGGCTGGGCCCAACGCACCATTCTACTGCGATCATATCATCGAAGAGCTCCTGCGCAAGGTGCTACCAACGATTTTCCGGCTTGCACCCATGACGAGGGCAGCTGAGAATGGAGTCATACGACAAATCAGACAACGTCTGCGGCATATGCCGCATAGTATCACGTTGGGGCGAAAAGCTCAGATCAATGGTCTCACCATTACGTGGGAGGATAATGAGATGGAGTCATTTCGGAAAGCGTATCGGTCCCGAGTCGGATACCATGTTGTGTTGCACGAGGAGAGGTGCGCCAGTACACGATTGGAACTATTACACGGGGATGCACGTAAGTCTCCATCCGACCAAAACACTAGCATTGGGACACTGCCAAATGGTCAACAACTTAATACTTCTGCACTAGTCACGTATACGGAAGGGTACGCTCCCTGCGGCTGTCCAGAGCAGTTGACAACTTCGCAGTGCAATAAAGGGGTGGTATTTACCGACTTGGACTGCTCGAAAAACTACTTTCCAATGATTGCCTTGAACCAGCGATCAGCATTCTTCGGGGCCCCGCCAGAGCCAACAGTCTTCGGTGGATGGGTTGAAGTCGGAGACCTCCTGGATCGCATATCGCAGGCAGGGTATGTACAGACTTTGCCGGTTTGGGCACAGCCCTGCCCGCAAAGCCCCGGGGCATCGGCAGTCCAGCCACAGCCTCAGCTTTCCCATATGCAGCAAACACAACAGGATCTCTTCATTCGGCATAGTAAGCGACAGAAGAAAGGCTGTGAATGAATGAAAGTTTTTATCTTGGCAACAACCGCACGTCAAAGCGTGCCTCGGTCGTGCCTTTATAGAATAAGAGTTGCTTAAAATGTATACTTGAATGAAGTGGTTTTTGTTCCAATGCTATGTGGTGGTTTCTACCAAAGTTAAACAAGTGACGTCGTTAAGGGGCATTACGTCCTGAGAAACAGCCATTCTGTGGCTGTTGGTGGGATCTTTACAAACAGGAACTGGTCTGTCTAAGCTACTTTCTTCCAAATGACCTTGCTATATCGGCGGCTGGCCCTTGCCAGGCAAATATTCAATTGATCGATGGCCGGTTTTTCGCCCGGCTGACTGCTTTGCGCTAAAGAGGCAGGTCGGACACCCGAGACTTGATACCAGCACCCGTAATTCGATTGAGCGTTTTCTATTTTGGTCAGCCGCAGAACTAGGAATATAATGTACGGAGGGCTTCAAAGCCAACCTACATCGAAATGAAGGATCAAGTTTTTCTTGGTTTCCCACTCAAGCTCAAGGTCGTCAACACCATCTCTAGGTGTGCCAAACCATTCACTCCATTTCTCATTGTTCTTGACGCGAATTGCCGTAAAGCCAGCGTAACTGTCTCGAGCCAGATGCAGCCCCTTCAGGGCTTGAACTCTAAGGATATGGTTCTCTCCCCAGCATCCCAGGCCCTTCCCGTCATAACCGAATCCCGAAAGAATCATGGAAGGTTGCAGGCCGGATGGTTTGATCTGCATTCTGATGAAAGAAAACGTCAATCGGTGACACTTCTCTGTCGGGATGCAGAACTTGATAATTCTTCGAGACGCATTCAATTCAGGGATAGGCCTCAAGACTCGTGGCAACGGTGAGCTCTTCATAGCATCAAGCGCGCTCTGAATATTGTCCCATGCCACTCTTAGGTTGTAAGTTTTTGAAAAACGAGATGCGTCGCTTGTCTGCAGATTCTGCAACGCTCTCATGAGGTTGGGCCTGATATTCATGTCTTTGTCGGAAGCCAGGGCATACGGCATTCCCCTCGAAATACAATATGCCAGACACTTGTCAATCTTTTGAACGTCGTCAACATTGGCAGTCAGTGGGTTCTGCTTCAGCCAACGGGTAATCTTCTTGAAGGCCGCGGAAGACAGGATCCCCCGGCATTCGTGATCAGCATTCGTGTCACTCTCGGGGTTGTGCTGCGTCTCTGCCCATAGCTCATGATCAACGTCATTCGTCTCACAATCGAAAGGGGTTTGGGTGGCAAAGGGTTTGAGGTTAAGAAGATGGCGAGCAAAGTCCATCAGGGAAGTCTGGTTCAGGGGCATGAAGTCCGTAACATTCTGCGCGACCTCCCAACAGCAGGAGTGCATATGTACTTGGCTACATCCTGGCTGGTACCGCTGAGCAGCTAGAAGCTCCCCAGTTTTCGTGTCGAAACCCAGCGGCTGATAGAAGCTCTTCCATGTTTCTTTCTCACGGTTCGACGGTTCGATTGGTCGACAGCAAACAACGCAGTCGGGATTGGGCAGCGGAACTGCTCGGGCACGTGGCTGAGAACCAGGAGGATTGGCCTGCGGAGTCGCTTGTGATGGACGCGGCCCCTGGTGGAAACATCCTGGGAAAGGGCCGCCAGAAGAAGCGCGCATATCAGTGATAGGTGAAGATCTTCTAGGTCTGTATGAAGGAATGCTCCGAGAAAGACGGAGTGGCAAGTCAGGGCACATATAAATGACTTATAAGAACCGCGCTCTTGATTTGATCATATTCAAAACAGAGATTGGATCAATTGGAAATAGCTTAAAAGTTGTCGCTTGCCTGATCTAGCAAATCACGTAATATAAATTCTGGAGCTATGTGATACGGTTTAAACAAGTCAAATAAATCACTAAGCTACTTATGCAAATGCACGTAATTTCGGGGAACTCGGGTTGCGGGGCCCTTTCTCGAATGGGCGGCCCTCGTCTAAGGACCCAATGAAAACCTTGGCTATTAGCCCCCAATCCTGTGCACGGGCAGGTCCTGCGCTAAATAAGCTCAGAGAATGGACCGGGATTTCCGCTGTCCGGACGAACCACAAACTGGTCTGAACAGCAGACGAAGCCGGCAAATGGTGACTTATCGAAGGGGGAAAGAGCACCATTCGAGGGGAAAAGAGGTGAAATTATTCGCCTTGGAAATAATTGGTTTATAGTAAGTGCCTTCAGAGGGCCGTCTTCCTATCCTCTACCCTGCCAGTGCACTTTGCCGGTGGGGCTTGGGGCGTAGACGTCGCATCCAATCTAATCGGCTAATCCCCGTAGAAGACTCTCGGCCCTCGTTGCACTCCGAGCCCATTGCCTGTGAACCAGGTGTCTTGAAGGACGCCCACCATGCCTCTAAACCAACGTAATCTTGCAGCCGCAGTGGGAAAAGAGCTTTTTTCTGGTCGCCAAGCAGTCGACTCGGCTCCTTTCCGGACACCGGTTTATGTTTGTTTCTTCGTCGTAGGGGGGGTTTCTCAGAGGCAGACTCAAGTAATGATATAGTGTCGGCAGCGGTGGCTTTGCTTTCACGCCTTGTTTGGCGGGTAACACGTGCCATATTCGATACTCGAGGGCAGTATGGGACACTGGTTGAACAGTGCAATGTGTAGGAGCTATCTCCTTTTTATCCTGCGCGAACATGCAGCTTGACCTTTGGAGCTTGTCGAGCAATCGTTATGGAATGTTCCAGTTTCTGTCTAGATGGCCGACTTCTGCGTCTATCATAAAAAATGTGAAACGACCTTTCCCAACGTTTAAACGGGTGAAGATCCCGTTTATACGGACGGGGGTTTAAACGACATAGTGAAAACGACGGGCTTCGCTCCTTCTCTGAACCTGTACTGTAACAATAGATAAAGGACATATCTTCCACTTGTCCGACGATGACCATGGCTATCTCCAGCAACGAAAGGCGCGCTCTGGAAAGAACAAGATGCCGAGAAGCTTTGGCTGCGCACATCCGTAAGTCCCCGGGTAATTTCGGTTCTGGAGAGACTGACATCCTTTAGATTTGAGACTTGGTCTCATCGTCGCTCCAAATCAGGTCCGCCTCCATCCACGGCCCGAGGACGGATACGCCTGGTCCGTGACCGAGCCCAGCAAACACCTGTTACAATCGAGCCTTAGCGATGGAAAGATCCGCATATACCGGTCTATATGTGAGGAACTCGGCCGCTCTCTCGAGGCCGTTGCTCCGGAGACCTTGCAGTCATCCCTTTTGAATCAGGAGGACGGAGTGGATAAGGTGGGTGATATTCATCCCGCAGCCTTGATGGTGCTAATGAGCTTTGATTAGCCCCCTCGCAGAGATGAGGAGGGACCCAGGACATTTACTGCACAGATCCGCAGTCTAGAATCTAAAAATCGTGATCTAGAAGCCGAGCTGGATCGGACCCGGGGCGGTTTGGAGGAGTCGTTGCGGGAGGTTCGTCATTTGAAAGCAGAAACTGCTCGAATTCAAGATCAACTCCGCGCCAGTGAGTCCCAGGCGAGAGACCTTCAAGCTGAGCTGGTCTATGCAAGGGCTAGGGTCAACGAAGCGATACAAGTCCTATCAAAACAAAGGGTCGAATCGGATAAACAGAAAGGATTGGCCAGGATATGTGATTAGTCACCTGAATCTCGTAGCTTTGCTGGCACACCAAAGCTGGGCTGGCTGCTTTGTCACGTGGTTTATTCCAGCCAAAAATAGTTAGCGTCTTCAAGTTGAACCCCCGACGGGAGTTGAACCCCTCGATTAGGAAGAAGCATTTCGCACCAGCTGAACCGCGTCGATCTCACGGAGCAACGCGTTTTTACGCGTTTTTATTTGAGAATACCATAACTCTGCTGGTCTTTTTATGGAATACAAGTCCTGGATTCTTCTTTTATGATGGAAATTTTCATTCCAAATATCATTGCCGAGGTACCCTATATGGCATCATGATGTGTATATATATATAGGACAAGACATTGCCCCGCCAGGACTCTCTTCCCAACAACACCGCAACATGATTTACAAACAGACGACGTATAGTGCTCGCAGGCGGCGAATGGGGACTAAAAAGAAGCCGATACTATTCATAAACGCTGCTGCAAAGCACAACGACACTATCTTTATCCCGAATCGCAGACGCCTCCGGCCGACAAGGTCACTCGGGTGCAGTTGTCCCTGAATTTGGCTACATCGATGCTTAGGTATACATGCAATTATCTCCACGTAAAAGTCTCGACAAACTTCGCGGAAAGTGCATAGATTCAGGTGGGCACTATGAAAAAAATCACCTTTGGGGTAATCGACCTGGATCTGACCGAATGTTCGTAATTTCGGCTTAGGAAGACATTGTACAGAGTACTGAGAGTCCCAATGCCCGAGGACAACTTTAAAGCACATCGACAGGTCTGTACCTTAAGGTCCTATCCTTTCCCGCGAATGGGAGCTCTTCGTCCACTGCTTCAGATTAATTGTGAAGACTCTGCTCTAGCGTGGAATTAGTAATGGCCCACATTGAGTAGTGAGGGGATGAACCTGAGGCTAACGGCGAGTCGTTTCATCGAGAGGGCGTTGACAACATTTGGACATACAACGTTCTATGCCTCCGGTAGTTGAGCATTGCATTTGTCTCCCCGCTCGGACTCTACGATTTGTGTCACAACCAAGTGAGAGCATAACGGCGCTCGAAAAATGTTGCATGGATATCTTAATCTATAGGATCATGGCAATCTGAGATCTATACCCCTGGACCGTGCGAACACCATACCTTTCGGGGGTATCCTGAGCTGCCGTACTTCTGGCAGACTGATACAGTATGGTACTATATGCAAGAATGGGCTAATCCACCTAGGCGAACGAATCCCAAAAGACAAGGCGGATAGAATTGGCTGGAAATATGAACAAGAGCGAACTGCGCCGGGACCTGTTGAAGTGCCCTTGCTTATCATATGTCTGTGAAGACGGAAAGGAAAGGCAGAAAACCTAAGTTTATTCGTGATCCAGGCGAAAGGGTTCTTCGATTGGCTGGCAGCAAACATGGCTCCAATAACAGTCCCGGCGTGTCATTCCACGTGACTGCCGCCCACCTCCAGTTCACGGGCCTCTCAGGAGAGCTCTCAGCAGAGGGGCGCCGAGCGGTCAAGAATGTCCGCTCTATGGTAGGCGGTCTTGTTGGCTACCTTCGCTAACATCCTCAGGGCTCCTGGGGCTGCCAGTTTTTTCCAGTGTTTGTTCTATCTGATCAGCCTTGGCCGCAAAATTACTGGATGCGGAGCTTACCTGTAATAATTCCTCTAATGACAAGGTTTTCAGGTCTCGGGATAGGCTTTTGGCCTCGCCGCTCCATGGATATGACGGCAGGGTCTTTCCGATTATCTTGTCGACAATCCCGGCCAAGGCAAACAGCTTCAACGTGGCTGCATTCATCTCTGCCTTGCTGAGTTCACAGCTGCGCTCCACTCCGGCTGTGGTAGTCTATCATCAGCATTGTTGGGTCAACCTCGGCCTGCAGCTTTACCTACCGATCTTGACCTCACCGGATTCTGTCAGTAATATGGTATCGGCGCTCAGCGTTGCCAGCGCCCTTCCGCAACTACGCAGGTATTGTATACCCTCAAGAACCTGTCGGATGTGAGCGAAGGGATCTATCATTTAGCATCTTAACACTTACCGGCCGGACGATTGCCGCCAGTTCGCTCTCGGCGATGGGGCTCTTCACCGCTAATAACTGGCTAACGGAAAGCTCCAGCGGCTCCCAGACGAGAAATATGCAACCATCGTGGACAAAACACTCCTTGAGACTCGGGAAACTTGAGTGGGAGATCTGACCCATGAATTGTAGCATAGGTTCGACGGGAGAAGGTGTCTGTTGAAGCTTTTGGACATCGACCAGCTCCATATTGTTTTCCCGATGTTGCGCAAGTATTACTTCTCGGCCGAGATATATCTGCATACCTGGCTCATACGTCCGCCATGGATCTTCGTTGATTTTTCGGACTGCGGACCGTTTCTTGCTTACCAACCTCAGGGGCTCCGGTGAAAGTTTAGCTGAATCAAACGTAGGATCGTCGGGAGGCTCAACTGATGGCGAGATAGCGAGGGATGATTTTCCCACTTGGCCAAAATCTGGCGGTGATTCGAGCAACATGGTTGGCGGGCGATGTTGGGAGTTCATATCTGAAAGCAACGATGGAGCGAAGATGGGGGCGTCTATGTTACAGATCACAGATTTTAAAGAATGCTGGGCGACGAGAAATATATTTACAAAGAAGTCCTTTGGGCTAGCATCTGCACTGCGTAGTGGTTGCTGAGATTTAATTTCTCTGACTGATTGTTGACTAAGGCGACTTCGGTAACTAAGGGTATCCATCGTGTGTAGCCTCTATTACAAACGCCCTAAGCCATCTCCCCCGCCCCACATCACCGCTCAATTGACCGTTTAAGAACGGTAGTCTTGGTGTGATATCTGCTTCGAGACAACTCCCGGAATTTCTTGCAGGGAACTGTTCAAGCTCCACGAGGCAATCTCTTGCCACGCTGGTTATCGAGCGTCACCATGGCGGATGATTATGTCTTCGAAGGTGCTCAGTGTTTCTGAGTTGGATCCCACATCTGTCGTGTGGGCGTAGCACAGTACCATGATATGTCCGAACGTGTTTCGCGCAGATTATCTACGGCTCGTAACGATTGGGAGCTCGTCTCGCTCGAGAGGATCGGCGCGGTGGCTGCGGATTTGCGGGCGCAGAGATAATGGGTAGACGCTGATACTCTTCGTGCTCTGGCGGGTGAGGTGTCGTGTGCGCACTCGCTAACGACCCACTTGCAGTCGAAAGGCCAACCTCAACAGGAGTCGTAGTTGAGCCGAGTGGCTGCGGATTGTCCCGCGTTGTGGTGGTGCGAGTCGAATCATCTGTACCCGTAGCTGACTGCTGCTGTTGAGACCATATGGCCTCGGCTGTCGGCGTGTCATAGTATGCGTGGAATGGTCTGTCACATCGACTGCTTGGTGGGTTAGCTACTGGAACCGCTTCATTGAAAAACAAGATGTCACGTACCACATTACACAAGAGGACTTGCTTCCTGGTTCACGAGTCTGAAGCCACAACGACATACAGTTCAAATGCACATACGTAGTGCATCTCTCACACTTTAGGACTATAGGCTCATCCGGGTCTTCCCCATGACAAACTCCACAGCACTCGTGTCTTAAACTCGACGTTGGACGGAAACTCTGTAGGCAAAGAAAGACCTTTTCACGGTCATTGCCGCTTTCAGTTTGGATAGACAACACAGCCGGACGGGCTCTTGAAATCACCCAAGGAACTCGATTCTCTCGCAAAGCTACCTCTGTCAGTTCTGGATCAGAGGCCTGCGACGACTCTCCTGGTTCTCTAGTCGGCGTTGACTGAAGAGGGTTCAGGCAGCCAGATGATCCTGGATTATTCAATTCCGTTGGATCACCACGAAAGCGACCTTCGGGAGATAGTACCCGCCCAGAAGTTCTTGTCACGCTTCTGTGTCGGGGTGTTTGTACCTGGGCTTGATTGCGGATGGTCGCTGCTTCCCACTGCTTCCGGACCTCGTCCGCTTGAAGTCTACGATGCCACCGTTTGCAAAGAAAATGGGCGACGATGTCAGGCAGCTTGTTCTGAAGAGCGGGGAGGTCAAAGGGCTGGCATGCTAAGGTATGCAGCATCTTCACGCCGGCATTGTGGACGTCCTCCGTTACGAGGAGTTGGCAACGAGTTCCTCGCTTGGTAAGGCCGCAGCAAAGTCTGTCTTTCTCGCGCGGTCCTTCACAGATCGCGAATGGATCCCACAGGAATAATGGTTGAGACATGGTCATTAATATGCGGAAATGCGGAGGCGGCAATGTAGAGAGATAACCAACGTTGATTCAATAGACGGACTGAGCTCAAGACTATAAACGGGCATTTTATAATTGTTGACTGGGGTTGGAAGCTGCCGGAATCGAGAAGTTGGTCAGGCTGCCTTTTTGTTTCCTTCACTCCCAGCATCACTGGTGGTAGATCCCAGGATACGCAAGGCCCCTAGGAGCACACCAAGGGATCCCAGGACCCAGTGACGCCGTCTCTAGGAGCAACATCATTCAATCCAGGAGTTAAATTTCTCGTTGGTCTTTCACATAAGTGCACTTTCTTTGATGGAGGAATTTTTGAACCCTGGTTGGCCGGGATGGTAACCACCACTCACTGCAGTTCATGAAGTCGTGAATGCCCTCTTTATAAATTGGGATGGTTATCCTTTCGGATACTCTTTACCACTATCAAAATACCTACCGCACAATTGCTTCAACGCCTCCCCTTCATAGCCTTTGTACCCGCTGTCATGAACACAAACGGCAAATTTGACTGTGCCCTCCGGTCCCTGGACCAAGTGATTGGCGACGTTTTACACCGTGAAGCGTGTATGTGGATGGACGAAGACGGAAAGCGATGCCAGAACATTGTATCAAAATCATCCCGAGTGGACGGTGCAGTATGTCTCCAGGCAATGCAGGATCTTTCGTTGAGCTATTCGACGGCGCAGAGGCTAGCAGTTGTGAGAAAGTTCTTTCTGTGCTCAGAATGCAGACGCCATCGTTTCCGACCTGGAAAATGCGACCAACATTCGATATGTCAATCGAATAGACGCGGAGGCCAGACAGAAAGTCTTGCTACGCCTACTTTATCGAGCCACACAGAAGCCTTGCAGCAACGACAAGGGCATATCAGCCAACCGTTTCGGATCGACACGAGCGCCTGGCTGCGATTTACGTCACCTACGCGGTGACTGCGCCTCACGAGAGAAGCAGACTCTTCTCTCCAACGTCGCGCAGCGATAGGCTGGCCCAATCGCAAATGCGTCAAGACCAGGTTTTAAATTGTTACAGACTCTCTCGTTTTTTATTTTACGGCAGGGAGTCTTGAATTTAACTATCGAGTAGCCTCAGACAGCTCCTATATTGCAAAACACTCATGTAATAACACTGCTTCTCTTCACCTGACTGCCTTTATTCTGAAAACTAGTATATAAGCTAAAACCAAGACACTTCAAGCCGTGAGGCAATTATGAGGAGCCTTCTTCTGTTCGTTTTGACCTTTGTACCGCGCTTCTGTGTTGAGGTTAGCATACAAGAGTCCCACAAAAGCCTAATGTAGGACCATGCGGACCGTTTCCGAGCAGCTTTTCCTGAATCTCCCCTCGATCATCGCCCAGAAATGCTTCTGGCGATGGGGCAGCAGATCGCCGAGTGCGTTCCAACTCGAAAGGATCTCCAAGGGCACCTGGGTCGGACCGGACCCGGTCGAGGCGTGTGCGATCTTCCTCTAGAGCACGTTGAAGCTTCATTGTAAGCTTTTGAATATGATGAAGGTGCTGGTTACTCATACTGTACGCCGCAGAAGTAGAACTAAGCGGGATGTATTAGGAATAGGTCTTGCTAGAACAAGCCATAAGTGATCATTTATATCTCGTGAGGGAAGGAGAGGGTGAGGGGTTCCTTATGCTACAAGATACTTCCACGGCAGGTAATCCATTTGTTTAAAGAAGATAGTTACTAACTGACAGAAAGCGCCCAAAATACACGATCTGGCTGTCTGCCATGCCCGTTGAACCACGGAAGACAAACGTGGACCTGTAAACGAGTTGCCTAGCAGGCTTCAACTGTTCGTTTCAGCAGCACGCGCATCAGTAGTGACTGAGCTCTCACGGGTCGTGCCAACTTCGGTCTCCGATTCTTGCTGTTCGACTTGTTTCAACACCATATCAAGTATCGTGCTAGCAGACTTTTGGTCTTGGCCATCCTCCTTGGATCCGCGTTCCCCCAGCATATGGTCCACCAATCTGAGACTGAGATCGTAAAAGATCTCCGCCAGCCGAGAAACTTGATCTAGCTCCTCATGCACTTGTTTCAGAGCTGCTTGAGTAGATCTATGATCTTGCTCGGTTTTCGCATGCGCTCGTTCGGCCCGCAGCGCGCGAGCATCAAGCCTCGTAAAAGTACGGAGTATTTCCTGAAGCCTTGTTAGAGACCATGCTTCTGAGCTGAAAGATACTTACCGAAGTGTCCATCCCGAAACATGAAACATCAGGCCTAATCTGGCGCTGTTCGGCAAATGCAGATTCCATCTCTTGTCGTGTTAAACTAGTCCCAGCAGCTTGATTTGCTGAAAAGGGTTTCGTTTCTCTGCAACGTATTTCAGAGCCGTGAAGCTTACATCGGAAGGGGCTCTAAAACCATTCTTATATCGCCTATTTGCGGATACGACTATAGCACAGCCTAGAAAAACCGTAGAACCCTAGAGTAAGAACAAGGATAACCCCCAACACTGAATATCAACGTTGGCAAGTTTAGCAGTCTTCAGACGACCTAGCCGAAATGAAACCCTCATATCGCTCTGAATTTATAAGCTAAACGGCTTCTTTTGAGTACACTCTCGTGAGCAAGACTCAGAAATGAATTCGTCTTGAGGGGCCATTGGGCGCTTGGAAGCACCAATGAAAGATATCTGGAGTTTACGTGTGGTACTGATTTACTGTACGTGGCTTATACTATAAACATATTGTTGGCGTTGTTGTTTTGTCCTCGCTTTCTATCCTGGAGTCACATGTAAATCTAAACATTAACACTCCCAACGTACACGACACGCAGCCCTGATTAAGTGGTAATGTCCTTTCCGTTTGACCTTCAGGAGGATCAGCGCACATCCTTCTGGACTTCTCCCAAAATAGTTTGTGATCTACCTCGGATGCACTTAACCTCGTAGACTGTGGTCCGGTGGTGTCGCTGTCACGGGTTCGTGGGCCATCAGACAGTCATGAGATATGTCCATGTCGCGGTGCGGCGCTCTGTCGTCCAGCCGTGCCCCTTACCAAAAAGCTTTTCACTGTAGCTAGCTGTACATATCCTTGTAAAGAATTAGCATCAAACTAATAGCCCCCATCGACAATTAAGCGTCGTGGTAGTTCTGTATTTTTCCAGCTACTGGCATTTCAGCTTCAAGGAACCAAGAGTCTCATGGCCCCAAGCCAGATAATGCAGCCACTGGGAGAAGAAAAAGGGGGTGGCGGGTATCCTCCCTCCGAGAAGCTGAGATGATCTCGTCAAGCCTGCGGAGCCAGGTTGTACGATCCCCGATGGGCCTCATCCAGAGGTGGCAGGAAATGGGTATAGGGGCCTTAGCCGTCCGCTTCCGCGAGGATTTTAGTGTTTTCTACGATTTAGGAAGGAGGTCCAATTGAGAGACCGTCAGCAAAATGATTTTCCAATTACGGAGCTCACGCCAATCAATCGGCCGAGGAAAAAGAAATTGAAAATTTGAACCACCCATCAAAATTAACGCTAGTGGTTCATTCTCCCCTGGTTTCGATCGGGCCTAGCCTTCGCTAAGAAATCCCACGTCGCAACATAACGTGACTCAGTATTCGCTGGGCTGTAGACTTGGTAACATGCCGTCCCCCACTGGGCTCTGATAGAACCGAGATTGAATCATCACGACCTCCAAAGACGGTGGGAGTATCTCGTCACCATGATTCGGGTATATCTTTGCTTGAATGGCAATACAATAAATTCATACGCGGGCTTTGTCATGACAGTTACATCACGTGGGCACGTACCCACGCTGAGACCACTACCTTACTAAATGTTCGTCCTGAATCTCAATGCTAGATAAATTGAAGTCAGAAAAGAAACTGCTCGCAGCACGCTAAGAGTATAGACAGGCTTGCGCTGCCAGAACGGTGGAATCTTCCCATCCGTTGAAAGAATGGTGAATGACCACAGGAGATAAACGCTGAGATGCCCTGTTTAAATGCCAGGTGCTGTGTAACCGACCACTTTCACCCCCTCACCAGGCCACCGGATGAGGGAAGCTCAAACTGACTTTCTTTACAGCTATGGTGGAAACCGTTGGCCCCGCCAGTCCCATCGCGGGTCGGTGCGTCGGGGCTGCTCGATCCGCGGAAGTCAAAGTCAGGCGTTGACACAAAACGTGATGGGCGATGGGATCGACTTCTGGTGAATTCAGACAAAATATACTGTTTTTCGTCCACCCCTGGCCACTTAAAGACCCAGGTTGGTCACCAAGTCTCGTTCTTTGACTTGGTCTTCTCAAGCCTCCTGGATTACTCCGTTTAAGCTGCTACCAGCAAAAGGCAAATTCCAACATGGCAAAAGCTCCACCGTCCTCCCGCAATCAGATGACCAAAGGATCTTCCAAGTCTTTCTCAAAGTCTGATGGATCGGGCATCGCTTCTCGTCGCTCCAAGGACCCTGTCACACCTGGACCTAGAAACGGATCCGAGCCACCTAACCGCGTCGTGAAATCACGTTCAACCCAGGTATGTGATGATTGTTCCGCTTCCATTAAGTTGGGAGCAGAGAAGCATCAGTCTGACAAGGTCTAGACGTCGTCACCACCTGCTGGGACAATGTCACCCAAAGCCCAAGTCAAGATCGATATCCGTCAAGCATGCGACAAGCTCCTGGACAGAGCGGAAAACGAGATCCATCTACTAAAACAAGAGGTCGAACGGCTCAGCACGGAGAAGGATCAACAGGCACACGATTCTTCTCAGTTGATTCATCAACTTAGAGTGGAAAAAGCCCAAGTGGCTGACCAGCTCCGCCAATCTGTCACAAATACGGAGTCTGCCATCACCACATGCCAGAAACTTGAAAGCGAAGCGTCTCAGCTCAAACAGCAACTTCACGATGCCCAGCATAACCAGCGAGACTATGTTGCTTGGAGTGAAATCCAGCCGATTTTCAGTCGGATACGCGGCTTGTTCTTAACTGGGAATACTTTGCGGGAAGAACTACAGGCTTTTGAGAACCGATATATGGGGAAACAACTACCGGGAGATGGAGTGATCCAGGACTCATGGTCGAATCCTAATGTATCATTCGGAATGCTGGATCCGAGCGTTCTGTCGGGCTTCGCAGTCACAAATAATTTCGCATTGAACACGCCGCAAGTACCACCGCTGCCGGGTCAGTATCCAGCTTTGTCTTGACTTGGAAGTCGGGTGATTATGTCAAAAGCGCTGCGCTGGAAGCGCCTGCTGTACTATGTCGGGAACTTCTGTCTAATAGTAATCAAAATAATTGAACTATTGGTGATATTAGACCGAGATTTCCTCAGATCCCCGATTTAGTAGCATACGAGCACATATACAAGAAGGCAAGATTGTTGTCGGGCTTTCGAATTCAAGGTGGACCCCGGCCCAGGCAGATCCACCAGTAAAAACGACTGTGTGAGGAGCACGGCCCCAGGGGCACGTTCGTGATCGCTCTGGATCTACGCGGGCCCCGTAGCCAATGAGCCATTGGATCGTGTAACGGGATCCACGGCTCGCGGTTCGTCCCCACGCCTCTCCCTTTTTCCTCCCCGGCTTGGCTCTGACACCGACTGGATGCAAACCATTCTAGAGAAGGAGATATGTTGCAGCCGTTATCTTTATTTCATTTTCTAACGTGTGTCAGCCACGGTTGCAACCGTATTGCAACCTGTTGTTGTCGATTGGACACCAGAGAACCAGTTGACAGGCAGGCAGCCGCGGGACAAAGGCCCGTTAGACGCGGTGGCCTGCCGGGGCGTAGGTACCGGAATACCGCTTGTATGCAAGGAGGATCTCTGTTTATCGGACATGGTCCCCAATGTGGCCCCAGCCACGCAGATCCCCCGGGACAGCACAATCGTGTACTTCAACTCTAGACTTCGACCGGCTAGCCCTCTGTGGCCGTTGCCGCAGGCTCTTCTGGTTTTTTACACAGTATCAGTGAATCACTTGCCCAACCCAACGGTGAAGGATCACTCAGGCGAGAGAACTGCTGCAGTGGAAATCCAGCTCCCTTGCTCTGATGGGAGACATAGTTGCGAGGAGAGACTCTTGAGAAGGTGGACACGAATCGGCCACGCATCGGCCAACGAGCAGCCCTCGCGGCTAGTCTGGGCCTCCGTACTTTGTGCATCAGCCCCCGAAACCAATCGCCCCACATAATAGGGACTCACGGAGTTGAGCAAACGAGATTTTCCGATTTTTGGTCATAGCAAAATGTCGCGTTTCGCAATGTTACTCCAGGTCTTACTTCGGGGAGCCACACCGGGACCCTGCTGCCGCTTCCCCGTTTCCAAAAAAATTGTTACAGCTCTGGCGACGGCACGGGGAAATGATGTTTGATCACCTTGGACTCCCTTGCTCGGTTAGGCCAGTGTAGCTGACCCATCTTGTACCGAGTTTGCTATTCACACTAACTGGCATCGTTTCTGGTGATCAGCAGCGTTTGACCAAAACAGGTAGGAGCTCTTCACAGCCACGAGAACACTGGAGAGGACCAGAAAGCTCGACAACGACTCCTGTTGGCATACGATCTCATACCTCTTGTGCCCAAAGGACACTTATGACTTGCTATTATGCAATTCTCTGGTACGACACCAAGGGTTGATTCTTACCTGGTAATTGTTGTGATTAGTGGTTCACTAAGGCCTGCCGTCACCGTAATAAATAATCGACTAGTAAATTCATTCTCTGCAAAAGCAAAGTTCGTTTTTGAAGTCATGATGAGGATCTGCTTGATGGGCGTTCTGGACTTTGGGTGGAGACACGGGGCACGGAAATTTACATCGGTCTATTATTTATCGATCCTTGGTTGAGTTCCTGGTGGAGTCAGGCGAACTAGCGGGAAAGAAGGCGCTCCAAGCGAATTTGATCTTCCGGGATACGGCAGCGTCCGACAAATGACCCACTCTTCGGAAAGGAGAAAGTGTCTTAAAAAACTGTATAAAATCATCTTTGACTATCGGCCCCATACGGCAGGTAATGGGCATTGAACAGTCCGATCTAGCTTTGAAGGGAAGTACGACCACGAGTATTCCGTGCGTGTTTCGGATGGCTCTTCTTGAATTTTGCTCAGCGAACGTAGTGTAACAATTCGGCTCTGAAGCGGTAGTTTTTGCAGTTGTCAATTGTTCAGGACTAGTCTATACATTAGGCCGTCCGGCGCTTTACAGTAGCTTGTTTTCCGACCCTCTTCGGAGCAAGTTTTCCCGTGCTCTCCCCGCAATCGTCTCTCGTTCTCTCCATAATCGTCACTCTGCTCATCAGCTCTTTCAAAATAGTCTCAATCTCCGTAAGCTTTTTCTCAACATCAGCCAGTCGAGATCGATGACTTTCCGCGTTGGTTTGCATCTCGGCGTTCCAGCTACTCTGACTTTTGCAGCATTCTTCGGTAAATCTGCTTCGAGGGTGATTGTTAGAGGCGCTCGTTATACAGGCTAATTTAGACAGAGCAGCATGTCATACTCAACTCGGACATTCAGGCTGGATGTACGTTAGCCGACCGAACAAACAATTTTCATGATCAATTAACCCACTTGGCACAGGCACGAAGAACCAGTGCACGTGGATCTTCCGCAACGTCCGAGCTTGATTGCGCTTGGGACCGCTGATCCTCTTGGGCATCGTTTTCTATGCCTGTCATCTGCACGGACCAGTTCGGATCCGCTTCTCCAACGCTCCCATCGTTCTCCTCGCCCAGTAGCTCGCTTTCGCCCTGATCACCCTCGAACTGAATCAACCCGTCGCCTTCGGTGGAGTCTACAACCGACTCAGGTGGGCTTGATGCGTACTCAGACTCAGAGGCATATGGGTTCAACATTTGTTCTAGCTGAAGCCTGAGATTTGGCCTCGTGTTGACCGCAAGCGCCCAATTCTCTGACATGTCGACTTTTGGTATCAAAGGATATATTTGCGATTTCAGGGCGCCAGCGGTGATAGCAACAGGAAATTTGATGAAGGGCAGAACCTGGATGCTTTTCTTTGGGTAAAGAGGAGGATATATGTGAAATTGCGGAAATTGGCCGGGATTAGTTTCCCTACTACCTTTCTTTTCTGGCTGGTCACCCCAGCAATGTTACAATTAAAAGGGCCCGGAATATGAAAATCATGAAAAAACGGCTGTACTCAAAAGGGACTGGTGACTACTAGACCGTCGACAGGCCTTTGTCTCTACCGCCCCGGCCCGTGTGTGATAAAATGGAATCTAGACGCAAGAATTCGTAGTAGAGCGGTTGGAGAACGCAACGCGATGTTGTATTATTGATTTGTGAAGAGATCAACCTAAATGTAGAGGAAAACGTCCGATCACAACCGGTTTTTCCTATTATTGCTTTGCTGGTGGATTATGAATGATCCTTACTGTACCACTAGGTGTATGGCAGAGGAGGGGGTTTCAGAAAGGTCGTGAGGCCTGGTGCATTCCACATACTAGCAAATGATGGGTGGGTCCGAGAATAATGAGGCAGGACCCGTGTCGAGCTTCACTTCCGGAATACCAAACGTTTAAACGTTTGAGATTGGAATGCCTTTCGCTCTTGACTGAACAGAGCATGAATTTTGGTACTGTACCCAGGTGTACCTGTTCGGGGAAAAATAAAAAATAGCGAATTCATGTTGCGTCTCATTACGGCATTGCCTGAATATCTCACCGTTGCACCACGTACATAAACTACTTTTACTTCCCTTACTACGTCTCTCTTCTGTTTACTCCCCTTGCTATTTTTCTCAATATTTCTTCTGTGGTACACCGACCCTCTCTGGTATGATGGCTCGCGGTCATGCAATCAGCTGGTCTCAGTCTGAAACGGATAATCTCTTGCCGTGGTTATACCGAAATCGGCATCTGTCATGGGAGGGTAAATCGAGAGCATACTTCCTACAACATCGTGTGGTCCGGTCTGTCGAGTCTCTCCGGGGTAAAAAGTACCAGCTTTTGCGTAAGGGGCGCAAGCAACAAAGACCGTTGGTGCCCGGTGGCACCAAGAAGCGTCGGAGACAGTATTTGCTACGACGAAAACCTCGTGATCTACCTGAATCTCCTCCTATTCTCAGGGTGGGATCGCCTGACCCAGAGCTGTGGCAGATGGTTCAAAATTTGCAGGTCTCCCTGGAAACCTCTTCTTTGCACTCGTCACAGTCTATGGAAATGGACTCCGATGATGGTAAGTCGCTACTTTTTCCCTCGAGACACAAATCCAAGACGACGTATCTTATACCTGCAGGGTCAGCTATGCCGGTAACGGTTCTTTCAGATCTAGAACCCCTGTCCTCATCAGTCTGGGAGGATATAGATTGCTATCTTTCGGCAGCGAGCGATGAGTCGTTCTAGATTTAGTGGGTTGGACTGTGGAAATCTGTTCGCAGTATAGTTTCATGTTCAGAGTCGATGTACAGTAGCAGCTCCATTTAAGGGTTCAGCCAAGCCAAGTTGAATCCGAGACCACCCGTATTTTTTGTAACCGTAACCTCCCTCGATTTACGGCATGCTTCGTCCTGTCGACTCGGAGTTGGAAAACCCGTAGTTTGCTATTGCCATCTCCGCTGGCATCGGGGTTGGCATAAGAGCTTTCAATCGTGCTAAAATGCCGAGTTAACAGGCGGAGACGCTAGCCAACTGGGATGATCTGAACTACTAGACCCTACATGAAACCTGCACCGATGATCTACATCCGTTCGATTATGTGTGGTCCGCGGCCTGTTCGGGGGGAACGCCCCCTCCGATATATTACGGTACACTCCGAATGAGTAACACGCTCTGCCGAGCCTAAACTAAGAACAAGCTTTAACGTTTTCGGTATGCTGACCCACCATGACCCGGAGCACACGCAAGCACGCGTCCCCTCAGCTAATGTCTAGCATGTACGCTAGCTACAAACTAGTCGATGAGTTTCCACCAGAGACCCACAAATGGGGATCCGTTATGGCCCGCAGCAAGGGAGGACGCATATGTCCGAAGCCCGTTTCCCTATCGTTCAGTGTTACTGTACATGTATTTACCGTACCAGATTCCTCCAAGCCGCGGCCCTTTGGAACCGTAACAAAAAACTGCACGAATTTGCCGCCCGCGAGAACGGGGTCTGACGTGAGAACCTAAATGAGTAAGGAGCCAGCATGTTACTTGATTGGTGGGGAGGGGCTTAATGCCACTCAGTCGGACAGGTTCATTTCTTGATCACGAAAACGAATACTACTTTTATCCGGCATGGGTGCTCTCCTTCTTTTGCGCGATGGATTACGCTGCGTAGTTGACTCCCCCTTTTCCTTGCACACTTGGTCTAAGCGAGTGTTTATTGCCGCTAGCATCTCTTTCATCTCACTGACCGCTTCTTTGAGCTCCGTGACAATAGACTTGTCGTCTCTGCGTTCTTGTGCGATAGTGATCACACTGTTTTCGATCAATCTGAAATTCTGTCAACATTATATGTTGCACTAAGGCTTCACCGCTTCGGAGGAGGTGCCAGAGAATCTCACTTTACTTGCGTGCCAAGCCTAACTCGTGGCCATTGATTAGTATGTACTGTCATACATTTAGCTGGAGCTATATCTTACTGTTCCCATGACTCGGGTGTCAAGGATTGATTGTTTGCGGAATGAACGTCCGATCCTATTTCACATTTCAGGTTAGCTGGCTTCATTTTGGCGGCGGGCCCGACTTACCTCGTCCCCCAGATGGTCGATTGGCTGGCCCCGAGGAACAGGAATCGTTTGGCAGCAACGACATGGGATCATTGTGTTGTTGGGATGAAACATTGCTGTTCTGCTCTTCGCTCTCCCCGAATAGCCTCGACAGCTCGGCTCTGTACATTCCCGGCTGGTGTGAGAGAACTGCTATCATAAGTTGGACGCTGGAAATAGAGATTAAGAGAAACTTTGCGGTCTATCTCGAAGAAATTCTCTTTTATAATGTAGTGGGGCATATGGTTATGATTACGTTACAACGGAAACCGTAGGGGTTGGCCAACGTTGACCACATGTTGCGTGGATCCGGCCTGGACCAAGACCAGCTCAACGCCAGAGCTAATATTCTGTGCGATTCTTTTGTGTTGCATTGAAAGCTGGACTTTTCCAACTTGACAAGATGATTGCGTCCATTTAGTTAAGGGGTTGTTTAGAACGAACAGACCCTTTGGCAGGGATCAAGGAGCTTGACGAGCTTATTGGACAGTCGGCACTGATATGACGCTTGCCATTGAAAAGGGAGGCTGGTATTGCGTCTATGGCTTTTGCAAGGCACCGTAGTCGTGGGAGATAAAATTGGACAGATGTACCCATTATCTTCCGGAGTCTTCATGCGCTCAGATTCTGTCATCTTAGTGCATCCTCGCTGCCCTGAGCCCCGCGAGGTGTATTCGGTGCTCATTCCCTCGCTGCCCTGAGCCCCGCGAGGTGTATTCGGTGCTCATTCCCTCGCTGCCCTGAGCCCCGCGAGGTGTATCCGGTGCTCATTCCCTCGCTGCCCTGAGCCCCGCGAGGTGTATCCGGTGCTCATTCCCTCGCTGCCCTGAGCCCCGCGAGGCGTATTCGGTGCTCATTCCCTCGCTGCCATCAGCCCCGCGAGGTGTATCCGGTGCTCCCTCTAGCAATAAGCAGATACCTCTCCGCGGTGCTAGGGACTAGTACTCAATCCTTGAATGTGGATACTTGAGGAAGCTAAATTCTGCAAAAATACTAGATACTTCGTCCAAAGTAAACAGTTAAGACCTCTATTCAAAATGTCTACACTTCTCAGACGGCTAGGCAGCTTGAAGATTTAAATATTCAATGCCCCAAATGAAGCACAATCCTATTGTGCTTTCGAAATCAATTTTACTTCGGGCAACCATTTATTTTTGGTTTGATTGGTTCTTAGAACTAAATAAAACCTGTGTAGCTAGTGCGTCTACATGATCACCTCTGCGTAAATGGACAATGGTTTAACTTCTCACTGAACCGAGCTTACAGTAAGCTGTTGTCGAAATTAGCCGTACTCCTGGACTATCGACGTACAACAGCGGGAGCAAGGCCAGCCACAACATTCTACTGATAGATGTGGAAGATACCTTCCAGCTGTTGCAATTGAGGGAGTAATGGTTGAATATAATAGAATGGATGTTTAAGAAGAGTGGATGTTTAAGAAGAGTGGATGTTTAAGAAGAGTGGATGTTTAAGAAGAGTGGATGTTTAAGAAGAGTGGATGTTTAAGAAGAGTGGATGTTTAAGAAGAGTGGATGTTTAAGAAGAGTGGATGTTTAAGAAGAGTGGATGTTTAAGAAGAGTGGATGTTTAAGAAGAGTGGATGTTTAAGAAGAGTGGATGTTTAAGAAGAGTGTTTAAAAGCGGAAAGAGAATTCACATCCAAGAGTTCTCTATTATCACCGTTTGCCCTCCCTTTATAACGAACCATTTGTTCAGCATAAACGGCTGAGCTATTTCCATTGTACATAGAATTCAAAGATAGGCTGAACTGAGCAGGTAGAGGGCCTAGAAAAAACTCTCCAAGAAAGTCAATGACACTCTAAAGAGAATCTAGAACCACCTATGATTGAGGCCAAAAAAACTCGGTTTACTGGTCCGGTTATGATTTTTCCTTAAACCTTTGGTGAGCCGAGCACAATCCTGGCCAATTCCCAACGGTTACAGGTAATATGATATGCAATACTGAGATTGCTGTCAGGTGAAAAATTAAGATTATTGGTCTTGTTTATTTCTTGCCTGTAGCTTACGGCACGGCGCGATCAAAGGCCCCAGCCCTAGTAAGTCGCAGGCGCTAGCTGGTTACTTCCCGCATATAGTGGACATGTTTCCGCCAGAGTGAAGATATTGAGTGCCGTTTCTAAGACCGGAACTAAAAACTTAATCAGAAAATGAACCGTCACATTCTCGCTCCCCTTTTCCATCGATCCTTCCGAGGGTACCAATGCCTCGTAGAGGGCTATCGACCGTCTCCATCTCGTGATGCGAGCATACCTTTATCCAAACAAGCGACAGTGAGTTGAACCATGAGGCTGTTTGAATCTCATCGTCATTCTAATAGTGGAATGTAGCTTCAGTTGGCTCTCAAGGATCCCTCGACCGAAACGATGCATTTACTGTTCCAAGGCTATCATCCTGTCTTTAAAGCACATCCTCTGGGGCAGAAGGTAGAGTGCTTTATGCGTCTAAGCCCTTCGCAGCAAATGTGTTATTATGATGGCAGGTTATTTGGAGGGTATCTGGCTTGCTTGATGGATCGCATCCTTGCTGATTGCTGTCGGCCGGCGGTCACTGCCTATCTCAATACGACCTTTGTGCGCTCTGTTCCGCCGACGGCGCCGATCCTTCTTCGAGCCTGGCCAGATAAGGTTGAAGGTCGTAAGATCTACTTGAAAGGCTGTGTACAGATTCCAGGTGAAGGTACTAAGCAATGGGTCAATGCTATGGAAGCAGATTCCTTATTTATTCGGCCCAAGGTCTGAGGCAAAGCAAGATATTGTGGCAGCAGGATGACGGATGGATCATCTAAATCAACCCTCATAGCAGACTTAGTGTACTGCCATATTCGAAATCAGATTCCCCTTCGTCCTCTCAGAAAATATTCTGCTACCCCTGTCCTATAATTCACTACCCTTTATTCGGATTAGCTGCAGGTCGTGGCTTGTAAGTAGTATATTTACTATTCAACGGTGTTTACAGTAGCATTGTGTACTTGGTTCACGTTCAATCCTACGTAGTCGAACCTAAGTTCAATTACCATTGCTACGATTTCTATGAGGATACAGATTGGCACGCATTGTTCTCAATTCAAGGCTCTAACAGATCCATCTGGCTTGGAATAATTCCTAGAGGCAGGCTGGCCCATGAAACGAAACCTTTCCCAAAATAATCCCCTGATATATATAATCCACTGGTACTTTGTATGGTCGGAAAATGGCCTGATCTCCCTAAATTTGTATCGTTTGCAGGTTCAATGTTCTACAACCCTCGATTCACAAGGTCCATAAAGAAGCTTTCCAGTGATGGGTTAGCTGTACGATGAGAAAGCCTGTTGAAGCAAAATTGATAGACCCAGAAAACTTCAGATAGCTGCTGAACGTTGTTATCGCGTGGGAGCATTGACGCGGACTGGTGGGTATTATGAATCGATAGCAACAGAGCTACCAGCAGATTGCAGCCGCTGAGGAGATTCCGGGATGGGACGACTCGAAGGTGAACGTCCTCCGTCTCGTATATCGGTGGATGGTGCTTGATAATGTGGACGATGATGGCGTCTTTTTTAGTGGCAACACTTTCAATTAAAAAGGGGCACTAGTAAACATCATGCCGCTGATAACCCATCGGTCAATTCTGATCACTTCGCATAATGGCCTCGCGGCACGAAATCTAGTGAGAAGCGACGGTCATGCGATCAAAGTTCGGCCAATGAGTGAGGAGTCCCTTGCTCTATTACTCTCCGGGTAAGGGTCCCGGCCCAGCAATCTGGAGAGTCTGGAGAGGCCGCGAAGGCACCCGTCCGGACACTGGAATACATTCCACTAGCAATCACGTAGGCTGCAGAATATATTGCGACTTAGGTCACAGTCTTCGGATACCTTCGATTACTCTGTGGGAGCGAATCGAACCAGAATCATCTTCCTCAGCATGGGTACGCCGAGGACCTCCGACGGGACTCCAGTATTCGGCATGCAGTCATTACGAAGTCACATTTATCGTTCGAGCAAATCAGTCAGGACCAGCCGGCGGCAGCGGCTTAACTACCGCTAATAAGCATGGTTGATCGGCAGGGGGTCGCAGAATACCTCGTTCGTGCCGAAGGTGACGGGTTTCAGTTTGGAGATGCACTGGCGCCATTGATCAATTATTCGTTTGTTCTGGTACACAGTCAGAAATAGTTGATCCTGTAGTGGTGAATGTTGTCTTTTAACCCGCCACTCACACTTCCTCATCTTTGTTCATGTTGTAAAATATAATAGGAAACTAGATGAATATGCCGGGAATTAATTCCGATTGTGCGGCTGCGTTCCTGATCCGCGCCAGCCTCATATCAAAGCAATCCGAAAGGAGTTATCAAGTCAGCAACCGAACACTGATTGTTTCCACTACTCTCATGCCATGTGAAAGATGTCGATTGGAAATGAAGGTACTTCAATGTGCAGGTACCTGGTGGGCGATCATCACACAAGGTATTTCACCTCGCCGGGACGGGAGCTACAAGATGGATTTTACAATATTCGAGAGCCGAGTTCTGGTTCTTGCAAAAGTATGATACCAGTCATAACTACTGACCCGAGGATTATTTCACTCAATTTGGTTATTCTAAGAGATGCCGCCCATTCTGCTGGCCAAGCAGGGGCTTGACCAAGATGGCTAGCTAAGAGGATGCATCATAATCAATGGTGACTGCGAGTCTGACTGGCCCAGGCGAAAGGTTGCCCCCAATACCTCCCACTCCGGCAAGGGAACGTATGTAGGCGTTATGAACAACGGCGGCATCTTTCGTGATATAAGAGCAGATGGCTGTGAGGACGTCGCAGATCTTCATCCCTTGCACCGATAGACCCGCATTCTGTGCAGCGATAGCGGACACATCAAACCCTGACCAACCAGAGTTAATGGATGAACCAAAGTCAAATTCGCCCCAAGTTGAAGCATAACCGCCTTGCAAATCGACAGGTATAGAAACTCCTGGAGCAGCAGCCCATCCACCTTGAGAGTCCTCATCAATCGCAATGTACCGGTATTGCCCGGATGCTAGGGTGAACATTTTACAGCCATGCCCATACCAGCCGCTGAGCAAACCATCGGGTCCAATTTTGTTCCAAAGGACCACGGTCCAATTTCCCCCCGTGGCTGGTCCCTCAAATCTCACAACATATTTATATTGATTGGCGACGTCATGAGACACCTCAATGATATTGCTTCCGTATGGAATACCGACGTTGCCTGAGTATTGTACGCCACTGCCGCTGAAGTTTGTTGTACTCCCGAAAGTGGATACTGATAAGAGTCGGCTTATAATTAAAGAGGTTTTCATGGATTTTGTGGTACCAGGGAGTTGCTCATAGGCCTCGCTGTAGACCAAAAATCGGATAAAAATAGTTATCCAAGTGCAGAGGAGGTTCATGTTGAGAATGAGAGTATATCATCTCGATTATTTATATAGACTGGCAGATTGTTGACTGAATTGTCTTTAAACTTTAAGGCTGGGAAGAGAGTTTATCAACGTTGAATATATACTTGTCTTATTTCGCTAACTTTTATCATTGCCGTTTCAATTAGTCGCGATTTGCCTTGATACAGTAATGACCAAAGATAGTCATTCTTGGCCCTAAATTGATGACTCCAGGATGATTCGCGCCCAGTGGAAACCCATACACTAAGTAGTGTTACACAACCCCTAACTTTCCCTTTTTGGGTAAAAATTAGCTTCTGCAAGGCGTAAAAGTCTAAAATCTATCAAGGGTACAGTATGTGTTCTAAATGGCTTCCAAATCTTTGATCCTGCAAACGAAGCGAACAGGAGGGGGCCTACACGTCACTCTGGTGACTTAGTCGCGGCTGCTTTTCAGTCTGTCCATTTTCCAACGCGCTTCAATCTTTAAAAACATGCGCACAGTAAGTTAGGAAAGGTTGTTGTTCTCGGTAGGAATCGCCAGCGCCAACGTTTGCTGGATTGGGACTGGGCAAGATTGTTGACCTTGAATTCGATTGCAAGAATGACCACTGCATTGTGCATTAGTTCTCCTCTTCGACAAATTTACCTTTGAATTCAATGTGGTCCCAACCACAATCTCATTCGCCTACTTGGATTACTAGCCATTGCCTTCTCAGCTTGCTCCGGCAAAAGACGGATCTTTATCCTGTTTATCACAACCGTTTTCCTTGGCAAAATTCGAACAAAAACGTCTCCACCATTGGCCTACTTCGTCACATCAATTGATGTTCGAAATGGTGTCATTCAACGCACATTCGTCACCCCTGACTGTTAACGCTCAACACAAATCTACTATGTAGTATCGCGCTTATTAAAAGATACTGCCTGTGATTTATGGTCCTAAGCATCCTTTCCAAAAAGGAATTAGGACCGTGGATCTCCTTTTCCGTTCTTTGACTTGATTCCATACCTGACGACTTCAGTATCTCAAGTGCACCATTCACTTCAACTTGGAACCAAAACAGATCGGACTTGCACAAATGATCCTCCGCTAAAAGATTGTTTCTCAAAAATCTCTCAGCGAAAGAGCAATGAAAGGCCAGCGAGTGCATAAATGCGAGCACTTCGGCTGCAATAAGGTGAAATTGGGATTATTTTACTATTGAGTAAATGCTTATTTGCAAAAGGTTTTTAGCAGGGCTGAGCATCGTCGGCGACACGAATTAACCCATACCATTGCAACTTCCTACAATTGTGCGTATAAGGGATGTACGAGGAAATACAAGAGGGCCACTTCCCTTATAAGACACCAACAACAGTGGTAAGTCAATAAACTGTTCCGAGGAAATGGACAGTATATTGTATTAATTTGAACTGAAGCAACCATCAATTGCCTGAAAGAAACGATCCGATTTCTACAGGAAGCTCAAAATTAACAAAGCCAGACCAACAACACGAGCTTCTAGGGCAGCACAATCATACGACAGATGTGTTGAACCCGGATATTGAAGATTTCTCTGGGCTATTCCTTGACCTTGAACACAGTTCTGGCGAGTCATTCATGCCGAAATTGCTAGAAAATGGCACTGTTTCGGCGAATTTAGACCCAGAGCCTTCTTTTTATACCATTCCGCTTCAGGAGCCAACATCTTGTCCCCTTTGTTGGCAGCCGTCACCATCTGTATGGTTGGAGACAACAATTAATAGATGCCTGCGGAGATTATTACGACCAGATGCCTTCAAGGCACCTGAGTTCTCGGACGTTAGAAACCCGCAAGAAGAGATGGCTCTCTTTGACTACGATTGAATTCATAATACCGCGATACTGTAATTGCATATTTAGCTATCATCCTCTAATGCCAGAAAGATATTGAGTACAGTAGTATGTTCGGCAATTACGGATCGAAGCTAGCATTGGCTTTAAGTGAATAATAGACTTCATACAGGGCCGCTCGAAAAGGTGAAGCTGATTTCGAGCGGCCCGGTAAAGTAATCTATATTGCAATAGAAGCTCCTGTGTGACTCCTTCCATGATATTCAATAGGGTTGAAAGATTTACTACGTGTACTGTAGAACTCAGGGTGACTTGGGTGAAAGAGAACATAGGTTTTGGTGTAGGGATTCGTTAGTTGAAAAGGCTCGCACGAGGAGGAGGACAAAGATTGCTCACAGATGGTAGCTCTAGAACATAGGCCTTTGTTTTCTAGATTTTCACTGGACAAGAAGGAAGAAGATGGTTCATTCGTCACACATGACTTTTACTAAGACTCTTCAAGGGTGCCGAACAAAAAAGGGATATTAGTAGAGCGAATGCCGATTGGAACTAGCGTGATGGTGGAGGTTGCCTGATGTGTTTCCCATATGGTTTCGGTGACAGCATCTGTGGTCACCATGCAACAGGGGTATGGGGCCGCCAAGCTAAGGCAGAAAAAAGTAAAGCCAAAGCATACAGGGAATCCTAGGCAAGAAGGCATGCTGACCCAGTAAGCCTGCGAAGCGGAATGGAAGGGAAGTCGGGAGATATAGGATTGCCTTTGGGAGTTATATCTGTATTTAGATAGGCTAAGCTCTATACTATCACGGTCAAATGGTAGAATGAACTACTTACACCTAGCCGGCTTTAAAACAACTTATATCTAAATTAAAGCCACATCTATTGAATGGGTAGCCTCCTGAAAAAGATGTTAATGACATCATCGAGATTTATCTGAACATGAAATCCGGAATAAGGACGTGCACTTGGAAGGGGTGATCGCCAAGGTTCAACATACAATGAGTATTATCTCTTCGTATTCACAGTCGCGAAGTAATCTCATCGTTCCTCGCCAAAAACGGTTATGAAGGAACTATAAAACGGTCAACTCCTAGACCCACATTTTTGTCCCCTTAGAGACTTGTTTAACCAACCTCATCTTCAAACGTAGCTCGCTAAGCCAGTCGTCTCAACTCATATTCACCTTTTGAAAGGCCTGGAAATGTGTAATGTGGTCAAAATATCCTGTGGAAGGTTTTAGACGTATGATCATAACTATTATCTGGAAAAGTTCCATTTAGAAGATATTGGGAAGAATAACAGTTTCGAATTATTTCTTCCTCGCTAGAAAAGTTTTATAACGTGCGCTTGGTCCATGTTGAATCATCACGAATACAAACTTTCCTGTTTATTCTAGTGAGCCAATTTCAACAACATACTGGCTCAATCATTGTAAGGAGCTTATGATTATGCAGTATCAAAGTCTGGTAGGGCCTTGTGGGTTAGTAATTTGGTTAGTAGACTAGCTTGAAGGCGCTTCTTCAAGTGTTCAACATCCTATCTTCGGCAGTTGAAGCGCGTCCACCAATTCTGGCACAAGATGGCAGGTGTGGGTTGGTGAGGGGGAGGGTGTAATTGTGTTAGTCGACGTGGTTAGGTGGCGTCAAGTCGGCCCGTGGCGATTGCGAATCGTATTGAGGCTCGCACAGCTTCCAAGTTTGGTGTCCATTGCTGATTATCAGAGGGCGATTTTCCCCCCAGGAAGAAGGAGAGATTGCCTCGGTGAGTTTGGCTACATTGCAACAGTGTTATTCGTTGTGTGGTCCACTTCCGACATCGAAAGAGGAAGTGTTCCACGGTCTCTCTTGCTTGTCCACATGCACACTGGTCCGTCTCGGCAACGTTGATCCGGTAGAGATAACTGTTGAGTCTGGCCATGCCAGTCCGGAGTTGGGCCAGCACGCTTGCTTCCTTCCACGATAATCGATCGTACAACTGTCGAGTGTGTTTTCCTGGCAGTGCTGCATCTACTCGTTTCACGTGTCTTCCTACATTCTCTGGTAGATCATTGCTGGCAGCTGCTTGGGACTGAGCGATCTTTAGTGTTGTTGACTTCATCCTGGGGACCGATTCTTGCGGGACGGCATCCTTCTGGGTCGCCGTCCTGGCCTGCGCCTTGGCTAGACCTAGCAGTTTATTGTCCTTACCACATTTCCGGGCCCTTTCCTGAAAGTAAAGATGAGATATGCATTTAAATTACTTCACGGGAATGCGTCAACGAGCTACGTTTAAAGATGAGGTTTGGTTAAACAGGTCTCTGGGAAAGAAAACGTGTGTCTGGGGGTAGACTGTTTTCGAAATCAGAACTCTGTAACCGTTTTTTGAGCAGTGAGGAACGGTGAGATTGCATCGCAACTTTGAATTAGCAGAGATAATATTCATTCATATTGGACTCAGCAATCGCCCCCGTTGATACTATATGTTCTTATTCAGGTTCTCATGCTCGAATCAATCTCCATGATGTTATTTATCTTCTTTTGAGGCGGCTACCCTTTCAATGAAGGTTCAAATTTAGGTTGCTCTTGAAGCCTGGTAAAGTCGAATTTGCTTGTTTTACTATTAGGCTATGATGCCACAGAGCTTAGCCTATTTAATCACAGATATTACCTCCCAAAGACACTCTTACGTCTCGCTAAGCTTCCATTCCGCTTCACAGAACTACAGTACCAGATTCGGAGAGCGCCTTTATAAGAACTAGTATCCATCCTTTTATCGATTTTATAGAGACTTAAGCTCCTTTGTGGTGTCACTTGGGCTGAGAATGCTTGTGCTTCGAGTGTTGATCGTTCTTGGTCTGGGTGCTAGCTCGGCAGCTGCCACATCACGTGTCCATCCCGCATCATTTTCCACCAGCGTAAGTTGTTCAAAGTTGGCCCTTTAACAAACAAGATTTGAAAATTTCTAGGATCACTATACACCGTTGAAACTTTTTGCTTGGGACGGACCGAATTGCCAAGGAACCTGGGCTTGGACCATTTTCGACGAAATCAGTTTTGCGCGAAACATGTCGAATGCTTTCGTTGCCCACAGTTTCCGGCTTAATCGTACGTTGGAACGTAAGGAGCAGTTAGATATCTCTGTGACCAGAAATTTCTCCACGTGGTATTCGGACAAAGACCAAATGTCATACAATGACTCGTCATGCACCACCTTCTGGCAGAGTTATTACGCTGTTAATGGGAGTACCGCCTGTCACAATACACCACCCTTCACCTGTCACAGATTGTGGAATAACCCGGGATTACAGACTGCTTGAAGGATAATTCAGGGCTTCTACTCCATTCAGCGGTCTTGTCGTGGACAGCCTATAAGACGAATGTCTGTAGTCATATAAAGTCACTAGCTTCCTGCAGCCTTAGCCATTCGTTACGCGATGACTGACACATCCACTGTGCATCTCAGTCAACAATTGTTCCACTCTCATGCTCCCTTGTATCCACTCCGCATGAGCAGCTTCTAAAATCTCAGCACGTTTTACCTTTTTCACTTTTTCACCAACTGTTGGCTCTTCATTGTCATATTTCCGAAAAAATACGGGATCGCCAGTCTGCCAAAATGAAACTCTAAGCATGTGAATGCATCCCTCATCCGCCCGCCTGTAGGGCTCGGCAGTTCGTCGCTGACATCCAGTGGAACTTTATCCATAATTTTGCTTCGAGAAAGTACCTCACTCTGCAGACCGACAACAGACAGCATCAATCCTCTGCGACAGCAGATCATCGCTACAGGCAATCCAGAGCGCGCGAAACAGATCAGGACAACGGATCATCCACGCGATCCTCCAGGCTGCCACCGAGGTTCTAGCGGCTGGAATCTCCCTCCGCCTCCAATGGGTGCCAGGCCATTCTGACGACCCTGGAAACGACGCTGCGGACCAGCTAGCCAAGAACGCCGCCAGCCCAGGCAAAACCCATCCTTTCCGCCCCCTTCTCACGAGAGAGAGACCGCTCATTCGTCGGAACATCTACACTCGGTGGGAGCAAGAATGGAAATCGTCCACCAAAGGCGGTCCCTTACGAAAGGTCGACAACGCACTACCAGCTAGCTACACGAGGAGGTTATACGGGAACCTGCCGAGGAACCGCGCATACCTCCTGATGCAGCTGCGCACTGGCCACAACTGGCTATCCAGCTACCGCAAGAAGGTTGGCCACAGTGACGATGACCTGTGCGTATGCGGCGCGCAAGAAACAGTCACCCACGTGTTGGTAGACTGCCCGAGGTTGAGGGAACTTCGAAGGAAGTTACGGAGAGAAGTTGGAGACGCATTCAATAGCGTATCGAGTCTGCTGGGAGGCTCAAAACAAGGTGAGAGAGGTAAACCAGACACCGCCTCGCGAGCCAGGACGGTCAATGCCGTGCTGGACTTCGCCGAGGCGTCGCAAAAGTTTTGTGGTCGCGCGCCACGAGGGCAGCCTAACAGTGGGAACGGCAATTAGGCCACGGTAGGCCTTGACGAGGCTCTAAGTTCGTTTTCAGGAAGTGGAACACTCTATATGTACATACACGGAGATATAGTGGTTGTATCCTGCATATCGTTTTGAGAGTTAGATCCCAGATCAGGTCATGTGATTTATAGATATTGGAGTGGCAGCTACTGTGACTACAAATAGCTGCGCCTACTCGCATAGTTAGAGAATGATTATCACACTTGTACCTCAATCCAGGGTCTCAACTGGTTATGAGCCTCTTTTTTCCAATCTAGACTTTGGATTGAAGCAGGTGATCAGTGATCAAGACCACCCCAGACCCCAGACAGAGACATTGAGTTCTCAGCAGGAGAAATGACAAACTCCGAAATGGACGAAGTCAAAGCCGACCGCAAGCTCAAAGGCAAGGTCAACTTCATCAGTTGGAAGCGCGAATTTGAGCGTGCGGCCAAAGCGAATGATACCTTTGAGTATCTCACGGGCGAAGAAGTTGTTCCCCCCAAACCTAGAAAGGAAGACTACTTCGCGAAGCCTGGCGATGGCGAAATCCGTCACTCTATTCGGACTAAAAAGATATCAACTCCAATGGTTGACGATGGTGATGAAACAGACGACGCTCAGGCTATTCTGATTACCACCAACAACAACCTCCGATGGCAGATTGACTACAATGAACATAAGAATGCCAAAGAGAAGATGAAGCTCGCAAGCAAGTTGCTGGATAGTTGGGTCTCAGACGGCATCAAGATTGAGATTGAAGATTGCACCAACGCCAAAGAAGCGTACGATTTAATCAAGAAACGATACGCGGTCACTCATGAACGTGCGCGCGACACCCTGTTGAACCAACTGAGTTTAATCAAGCTTGAAGACTGTTTGTCGGTGACCGACTATACGAACAAAGTTCGCCAGGTCAAGGCTGACCTCAAGACCGTCAAATACAACATGACCGACGACATGTTCGCTACCGCTCTGCTTCATGGTCTTCCTCCCAGCTACCGTACCTTCAAGGACAAGTATGACTGGATTCGCTCGACCAAACCCGACGACCCTCCAGATCTGGACTACCTTTACGAACGCCTACATGTTGAAGAAGCTCAACAACTTCGATTGAAGGAGGAGAGGAGGGCCCGCGATAGGGCCAAGAAGGACACGACCATCAACGCGGGCAACAGAGGCTACAGTGGCCGATCTAAGCTAAGCCGCGAGGATAAAAGCCACTTAAGATGCACCTATTCCGACTGCGGTAGAACCGGCCATACCGAGGGAACCTGCTGGGTCAAGAGCCCTGAAAAAATCCCACGATCTCTCAAAGACAGATTACCCGTCCACATCGATAACAAGCACATGAACGAGAAAGCCGGCATGGCCGGTATCGTTGAAACGGATCTTGTTCCCGACAGAGATGTCTCTATCCGTGCTGATTCCCTAGGTACGGCTCCCTTCTCCATACCTCACGCAAACTCAGCTGACTCTTCGTCACAGAAGCGTAGCGCTGTGTTGTGCAACGAATTGCGAGAATTGGGGGAGCTAGTACTAGGGGGTCAGGAATCAGGAAATTGAGTTTCTCTAAGCGGGTTTTGGGAGCATTCTTGACAGGCACCTTCTGTACCACAGATACATGGCTAGCTGATACTGGAGCAAATATGCACATCGTCAATGACATCAAGTGGTTCAAGGATAATACTTTCCGTTTGTTCAATTCAAATATCAGCACCGCAGATGGATCTACTACCCTTGAAATAAAGGGAGGAGGAGTCGTTCAGCTCATTCTTAAGAGCCCTGATGGATTCCCGGTTAACGTGTCGCTATCAGAGGTTGCCTACGCTCCTCAAGGAAAATGCAATCTGTTCTCATGTGGCTTGTTTGCTCAAAAGGCAAGGATAACTGGTGTCTACAATGACCATTACATGACATGGATCAATGATCATGGACACACTATCGGACATGCCATCTTTGAGAAGGGGCTATATCAACTCGATGCTACGAGACTCTCCAAGGGACATGATCCAATGAATGTCGTTGCAGCCACGGTTGACTTCGATGACCCTGTTTGGAAATGGCATCGGAGACTGGGACATCTTGGATTCCAAAACATGTTGAACTTGTTGGATTCTTCCACTGGAATGGAGATTACTGCAAAACAGATCAAAGCGAAGCATAAAGCCGTTTGCCCTATATGTGCGACTACACGGGCCCTAGTGAAGATTCCCCGTGACCCCGCTAAACGTCATGCCCAAACACCAGGATGGCTCCTGTACAACCGCTCCCGGCCCAAATGCTTTCAACCATCCGGAATGCTTGCGGAGTAGTTCGGCTCCTGCGGCATTGTTTGCCACCATAACCACGTCTCCTGAGGGCAGTTTCCTAGCTGCGACGAAACTAGCGCTCCCCGTTAGGGCCATGGAGTTCTTCTGTCGGGCAATTATGGCTCTCTGTCTTTCCACACGTTCAACCAATTCCTTCGGTGAAAGCCCATGGATCTGTTCGCGATTGGGTCCCACCTTGACTATCACTTCTCGGTCCTCACGTAGCTCGACTTCAGGTACCCCTGGAGATGACGTGCCGTTACTGCGGGTGTTCGGTGCCGCAGCCTTAGCCAGCCGCGCTGCCAGTATCTAGCTCGGAAATCGCGCCACGCTGCCGCGGAATCTGCCGCAGAGGAAGACAAGGTTGTCGATAAAGTGCCAGTTGTCTTTTCGATGGTGTCCATTCGCCGGTTCAGACGTTCGGTGTCGGCATTGATCTTGGTCAGTGCCTCGAGCACCTTGGTCATCCCCTGGCTATCGCCCCGTTGGGCGTTGAGCGCGTACTGGCGAACAGCACGGATATATCCAGTGACATATCGGTCCTCTGTGCCATTGTTCTCGATGTAATTAAGCACCCAGCGAGCCCCATCTGCGATGTCTTCCATGGATCGGAGTGGGTCACGGGGTGCCATGGGTTTTGGTGTTCCTCTCCTTTCAGGGGGTAAAATCTGTGCATTCGCACCAGTCGCAACAACCACGGCCATCTCACCTATGTGATAGGTATTAAACGGTAGCGCTTGGAGTTACGACTACGATGAACTAATTCCCGAGGTCACAGGGCCTCTGGTTCGCGAGATATCTCAAGAAAACGTTTTTGCCAAGAAAGAGTTGTTTTTTATTCATGCTTAATATCCAATTTCTCGCCTTTCATCATGGAAAAGCGTGCATACTACAATGTGACTATTTTTCCGTGTCCTCAAGTCTGTGTACTTGGTTACCGATCATCGAATTAATCATGGAGGAAGTCTGGCAGATGCAAGACAAGGTTAGCTCATACTTTGCAAACTGGGTGAATATTGTGATGCTCCACTAACCAGATATTCTTTTTCACTCTCACCTGTCTTGGTGTAAAGGTGTCTCGAGCTTGCTTGGGAATACCGTGGAAGGGTTTCTACTGAACAATGGAGACAGCTGGCAGGAGGAGCAAAGGATGCAAAAGTGGCAGTGGTTGAACGGAGGACTGTAATTTGACCAGGAATGTGAAAAATATGGGAAGGCAGCAACGGAAGACTGCTTATCGAGCCTTGGAACAGTTATGTCAGAGATCATGAGAGCTTTCAGACATAATTTGAGGTGAAACCTCAAGTATCTCCCCCGAATGTTAGTACGGTGGAAGCACTTCAACGGGGTTTCACTTGCCTGCACACCCTCTGGCGAGCTCTTGATGGGAAAATATCGACACAAATAGAATTTGACTGCCAACACTTTTTTTAAGCGTCCAGAGTGAAGCTGGCATTAACACAAACCATTTCCAAGGTAAGCCATACTCTACCTGCGTACACTACGGCAACCATCCAGAAACTTATAATTTCAAAAATTGTAACCTCCTTGCATAATACACGTCCACTATCGCTCGATTTTCACTAACTACTTCTAAACAATCTACCAGCAAGCACAGTTCTAAGGCTAGTCGGAAATTCATGTCGTTCATTCTACAATTAACAATACTACCCCATCAAGCTTGTCACATCGTTCATTGGTTTCCCATCTGCACGCCGTTCTGCGCGATGTTCAAGAATTTTCTCCCACAATTCTACGGAACATGTCTCCATTTCAAAGCTTATCCCAATATTCATGGTTCATGAATAGATGCATGTCCCTCATCCACTTGAACAAAAAATTGGCTTGATGCTGCAGGGGGCTACGCCAATATCATTGCAAGAAATTTGGATACTGTAATCGGACAGCCTGCAAAACTGATCAAATTCTATATACAGCATGCTTGATCTTCGTTCTGATTCATGTGTTCATATATATTATCTTCATGTGCTCCTCGGGGTGAGGCAGAGGCTTGGTGTGGCAAACGCAACAGAAAGGCACTGGGGTCGGAGAATCTATCATGAGCCTAGGACAGCCTATTTGAAAGCTCAAGGAGATACAAACTCGGAGATAGAGGAAAAGACCACAAAAGCTTCACTGAGCCTATTGCCTCCCTCTCCCCCAGAATAAACCCATGCGCCCCCACGGGCCCCGTGAGCCCCCCCCGTTGGAGTCGCCCTTCCTCAATTGCTTCTTAATCGATACGATATATGAAAGACAGAATCTAGGGATTAAATAATCTAGAAACAATATGGCAAATAAGTGCATCAGATTTCAGTCCGCTGCGCAACGACGGTGTAGAGCGTTCTACTAAGGGCCAGGCTGGGGAATTGAAAACAGACTGGAAGTCTTTCTATTCTTGAGGGCTAGTGAATAAGCCAATCTTAGTTTTCACACACGTTTACTATTCACTGGCTCGAGAATACATTTTACCGATAACATTCATGAATCGTACAATCCGACTTTTCCCGCCACGCGGCCCATTTCTGCCATCGTCGGAGGGTGGGAGGTTCGGGTTCTTTCATGGACATTCCAGTTTTTTTTCCGTATTGGATGTTCTGCACGTGGCCAGTAGTGGGAAAACGATAGCCTATTCTAAAATCAGTATCACGTCTTGTTTGAATTCTCTTTACTGACTCGTCCAGATTTCGATCTCATTCATAGCATGAGCATAGCACCCATAAACATTAGCACTTCTTTCTTTGGTCACCTCAAAACTCGAGTCACTTCTCACTTGTCGGCGAAATGCCTTGACATCCATTGCCGCTTGAGAAAGAATGTATTTCCGGTATTGCAGATCCTGAGGTGAGGTGAGCCAATAACGTGACTTCATAAAGGCTTGATCGATACGAAACGCCTCTCGAAGCTTCCGAAAGAATGACCATGATTCTCTCATCTCCCAGAATCGTTCAGCACTCCGCCAATCTGTATTCTTTTTTAGATTCAGTGAGCCCTTTTCATCCAATAGACGTCCTGTACCGTGCGTTGTGTAGTGTGGGGGTTCTTCGGAACACCTCTGATAGAGCGTAGTACATGCTGTCATCGTGGAATATTGCCGCGCGACGTAAAAGGACCAACCAGTAGAATTATATGATCCACAAGTCTGAATTCAGCTTCTTTATGAATACCTATCTTTAGTAGTAGTAGTAGTACACACACACACACACACAATTCATTAACGCCCGGCGGCTAAGCCGAAAGGGCAACTTAAACTGATCTATCAAAACAGGTCCTAGTATACATATGCCGTATCTCCTTCGAGCCCATACATGGATCCTTGCCGTATATGTCTTCACAGCGGTCAGTATCATAGAAAATAGCTAGAGTGGTATCGTTATTTGGCATATGTAGTAGATCAGGTCGAATTTGATAGATCTTCTGCTTTAGTAAGGTCCAAAGGTTCTCAATTGGATTAAGATCTGGCGAACAAGGCGGCCAAATCATTATCTCACGGCCTAGTTGCTCCACAAATTCGCGTACGATCTGTGCAGTGTGTGTTGGAGCATTATCTTGTTGAAAATCGAAGATGGGTCGATAAGCAAGGTTGGTAGAATTCGTTGATATAAATCAAGAATCACGAAGCGATTTACGCCTTGATTAGGTGAATCTGCGTGTCCATAGAGATCTACTAAGCCACTTCGACGAAGAGCCCCGGAAAATGCAGCCCAGAACATCTGTTTAACTTGGAATCCGCGATGTGGTATTAGTTGAACTTCGCCTTGGACTGCTTGGTCGGATGGGCGAATGAAGCTATACGCTGGCCGAAGCCCGATGCCTCGTTCAACTGTACACTCGTCAGACCAGAATACGCGGTCAAAATCATCTTTAGTATAGTGTCGATACCGTAAAGCCCAAGAAAGTCGTGCAGCAGCATGCTCGGGTTTTAGATATAGGCGTTTCATCACTCGTCATTTCCGGAGACCCTCGATAGAGAGTAAACGCGCTATCGAATCTTTCTTGCACTTATGATTCACTTCAGAGAGTAAATCATTGTACGAAATTCGAGGATCTTCGTGGATCTTTTGGAGGACCTTTTGACGGTCATCATCGGTTAAGATCTTTAGGCGCCCGGATCGCTTTAGTGACTGTTCCTTATCGCGAATTCGCAATTTAAGGCAGGTGTATTTGATAGTCGATAGTGGTATATTAGGGTATTTCTTATGAATTTGACTATAAGACCACTTTGCCACTTCTTTTAATGTGACGATTTGGGTGCGAAGATTCACATCTAATTCGCAATTTCTGCGTCTTGGCTGTGCGCTAGTAGGAGATGTAGGTAGCTTAGGGGCAGTAGGAACTGGCCCTCTAGGCCTTGGAGGGCTAGGCAAAGGTAAAACTGCCCTTGTGCGAGGCATAGTATGGTTGATATTCAATGTATTATATGCAACGCGATACGCGGTCGCATTTTGGAGGGTAGGTAGGCTATATTAGGTAGGCGGTGTTCTCAGCGGTCAGGGGGGGTGGTCGGAGACTTTTGCGGTGCCACTGTAGGTCCAGCGTGATTTCTCACATCGGCTGGTAACTGGACTGAGCTTCCAATACCACGGCAGAATTGTGCGGTCACCTTTTTGGATCGCACAGAGCGGATCATCAGATTCTGGGCAGGAATTGATCTGAAACTGCGTCGCGGTGCTTCAACCGCCTGCCGCACCACATTTGGAGCGACTGCAATCCTGGAGCACCCAAAATTTCACTTGTCAAATTTAGCTCAACATTCAAAAGACCACGATTTTTTTATCAGAAAAAGCGTGGCCCTCTGCGTGTTCAAAAATGGAAAACTCCTTTTGGCACATGTATACCATCTTAAATTCTTTAAATGCCCTTTGAGAGCGCTCATTCCCTATACGTGCCTCCAGGTGCACTCATTTGCAGCGCCCTAAAGGAGCAAGACGACCAATAGCAATGGCTGTTTTAAGTTCTAGTCGGTCTACTACTTTGGCAAGGAGAAAGTCGATGCGCCAGAAACGATGCCGCCGCAAGCATAGCTTGATGAAAAAGGCATGTGAATACAGCAAAATGTGCGACGCGGATGTATGCCTGGGCATTCGCATCCGGGAGACTGGCCAGATACATATTTTGTCCGCGGACACTTCGGGGTTTTGGGCTTTCCTTGCTTCACAGTTGGTACGTTGCAAAGTTGGTTTTAATGCGAAGAACAGAATCTGATTTTCCAGGGACATCCTGGTCGTGTTTGACCTCTTCGATCTCGGCCTTAGTGGATTCGATGAGTGCTGTTTGGTTGTGGATGATCAACTTCAGACTGTCGATGAGTTTCCACACTTCCCTAGTAGTGATCCGGCCTGTGCTCTCTGATGGTGTGAAGGCATCTCCGCTCCGCGTTCTTTTGCACGATTCAGGGTATGGCTCGCTCGGAGCCCGAGGCTGGAAGTCTTCGACTGAAAAACTGAGGTTGCTTTCCTGGGTGTTTGTGGGAGGGGGTTCGGGCCCTCCCGCGGGTGGGTCCGCCATCGGTCCGGGGTTAGCTCCCGTTCGGCGCACAACCACAGCAGTTTTATATGGAGATAATATCAACCACCACGTCCTCGCAGTGATTCCTCAGTCTCGATCGACGCGGCTCCCCTGCAGTACAGTCAGTAGTCGTGTATTTCGGTACAGTACGTCTCGAAACCGTTGTACCCTCCACCACTCTTCGAGAGATTCTCTAGACCCACCGCCAAGGCTTCACTGGTCTATTTCGGGAGTTTTCCGAAGTACCGCTGTCGATTAGACGTGTATTGCTTCTTACATAGATTACATGTGAATTATAAGCATGTATTCCCTTGTAAATTCAATACGTCCGCTATCTGCGTACCCCTCCTCTAAAATAGCCTTCCGCGGGAGACGCATATTAACAATCAATCACAAGTGGTCGAACCAAAGATAGGTCTAAACCTAGCTGCTTCCAAGCATGAGCTTATCTATAACATGATCCACAATAGGGAACTATCTGTATCGGAGATGGCAGAGGCTGCTAGCTGCAACAAGAGTACTATCCGAAGAATCTATTGTAATATACGGATGTTCAGCAGCGTCAAAGCACCGCCTAATAAAGGCGGACGACCGCGTAGCATCACTCTAGTCATGCTTGAGGCGTTGTGCGAGCACCTACTCGAAAAACCCTCCTTGTACCTCAACGAGATGGTGGTTTTCTGTGGGACGAATTCGCTCTTCTCGCGACGAAATCGAGCATCAGTCGTGCCCTTAGGTGCGAGGGCTGGTCAAAAAAGACTGCCCACGTCAAGGCCCGAGAGCGCAACCTAGAGCTCCGTCACGAATACTTTCACTATATCTCGGACTTCTAGTCTTATCACCTTGTCTATGTGCATAAGTCTAGATACGATAAAAGGATAGGCTTTAGGCGAACTGGTTGGTCCCCACTAGGTACAGCGCCAGTTCAAGTGTCCAAATTCCATCGTGATCAGCGATACGAGATACTACCCGCCTATGCTCAAGATGGTATTGTTCTATCTCGAGTATTCTAGGGCTCAACCGATGCCTCCGTCTTTAAGGTTTTTATTGAGCAGCTTCTGCAGCTGTGGGAAGTGGCCAGAGCCGAAGTCTGTGTTAGTCATAGAACAATGCATTATTTCATCACTCAGACCGAATAGAACAGATGTGCTCAGAAGCCGGGGTAAAGTTGGTGTACTTGCCTCCATATTCACTAGACTTGAATCCTATTAAGGAGTTCTTTGCTGAGTTGAAAGCCTTCATTCGACGAAACTGGCAGTCCTACGAAGGCAATCCTAAGCAAACGTTTAATACCTTTCTCGAATAGTGTGTTGATGTCGTCGGTGCGAGGGGGAAAAGCGCAGAGGGCCATTTCCGGCACACCGGCGTGACTATAGAGGAGATATAGCATAGCTACAGCAGGATTCGAGATCAATTTCACCGGTTGACTCAGAACGGGTTTTCCTGTGGAGTAGGCCTCTGCATGGTGCGGTCTTGGTCCTCAGGTCGAGGACCGCGGACCGGACCGCACGGTCTTGCGGTCTCAAATTTGGAGGTTAAGACCGCACCATAGTGAACCGCGGTCGCTTGCGGTCTTCACCACGGTGAACCGCAATTGCATAATTCTGCCAAGACCTTCCCTTTTCGGCTGCATAAATTGATGATTCATCCCTTTTAATTACTGTTATTAAACACTGTTTTCGTCCCTACTTCAACATTTGCGGTATTTCAGTATTAATTACTATGAAAATAGATGAAATATACTCGTATGTAGAATATTTACTATTTAAGATGTTTAGCCCTGCTAACACAAGTATATTCTTTTGTTCTAATAAGGAGGTCTAATAGTATTTATTGTCGGCTAGGTGTATAAGGTAAGAAACATATATGTCGATGTTAGTACCTCATCCTATCTTCACCCGAGATTTCTTCACTAGATATAAACAACCCTTTGTATGTAGCTAAAATAGGTATTAAGAGTATCATTAGAGAGCTTAGATACTGTAGTTAACTGTTTATCTCGAAAATCCACATTCTGCTACTAATATATCCTAATAATCTGTACAGGAAATTGGTTTTCTCGTATATAGAGGGTGGACTTAGGAAAGAAAAGGCAGAATATAGTGATATATGGGCCTTCTAGGGGTCCTTTTCGGTCCTGTGCGGTCCTCTTTGTGGTCTACTGCGGTCCTATGCGGTCTTCTGCGGTCTTTGCGGCCCTAATCCTATCGGACCGCAGTAGAGTGGGGCCTACGGCCTAATCACGATTAGAATTGAATTGATCTATCTAAATTATGCTTCTCGCTCTCTCCTAGAGAAAATCGTCTATTCATACTCAGCTAAAAATATTTTAGAAGGTATCTCCTCTACCCCTACCCCGTATCCTATCCTATACTCATTTCGTCAAAATGTTCCAGAGTCAGGCCTCCTCTCAGTTCTCCGAGCACTATCCCTCATCGGCTCTTGAGGATAATCCGCAAGACACCCTCTCCTTCTTCACATCTAATAGGCTATTCAATGTCGACGGACACGAAACGCCAATTTCCACTCCTGACGTGAGCCTACTCCGACCGGTGATTCCTCCTGCTTTCCCAGAAACACTCGAACGCGTTAGTCCTCCTAAAAGGAAGGACTATATCCTCTGGACTGAAATGGCGAATGAGGATTTTATCGTCTAGTGGTTGAAGACAGAGTATAGAAGTAAGATGAAACGGAATATCTTCGAGGGTAAACGCAATACAGAATATTAGGACCACTTCTACCAGGTCGCTGCTATCCAGGATGGGTCCCCTAAGGTAATATACAAGCATTACGACCGTATCCTTGCCCATCCTGCCGATAAACGCCGGGGAACATCTACCATGAATAGGCATTGTTCGCAAATAGGTGCCTGTCGGAGAAGACCGACTCAGTCGCAAGATATCAGAAAGGCTATCAAGAACGGGGTATAGATCAGTCTACCTTTTATCTAAATATTACTAATCTTATAAACTCTTCCTTCTAGGCACATCTGGCATCTCGTAAAGCATCGTTTACGCCGCAAGCTTAGATAGAAAGGTTAATTACCTTCATTGCTGCCTCGCGGCTGCCCTTCCAGCTCATTGAGCATCCTGAATTTCGCGCCCTTCTTGAGATGGTCCGGCTTGCTCCTTGCTTCCCCGAAATCCCTACTGCAACTACAGTCCGCCGTCATCTTCAAGAAATCGTGGAAGAACGCCAATACACTCTTCTGCAGAAGCTCCCTGATGGTGCTAGGCTCTCTATTGCATTAGATTGCTGGACCTCACCCTTTCGCCAAGCTTTTATAGCAATAACGGGCTATTTCATTGACCAAGAGTGGAACTACCGTGAGCTCTTACTTGGCTTTAAACCTCTATATGGCTCGCATACAGGTGCCTATCTAAGCACTGTTCTGCTTGACCTTCTAGAGAAGCACCGGATTACTAAGAGGGTGTTGACTATTACCACTGACAACGCATCTAATAACGGTACATTGCTAGGTAGCCTTCAGGAGGCTATCGACTCCCTAGAGCTACCTCGTAGTATACCGGTTATTCGTATACCATATATTGCGCATGTTATACAGCTCAGTTTGAAGGAGCTTCTTAGTCAGATGGACGCGAACCCGCCAAACGAGAGGGAAGAGATCGAATGGACCGAGAGAGGGCATATAGCTCGGCAAGAGAATAGAACGATCGTGGATACTCTGAATAAGGTCTGGATCTACCTAATCTCCCACTCTTATCTCTCTTTCTTCACTAACTTGTACTATCTTCTAGGTTCGGAAGGTAGCAGTCTATATTAACAAAAGTCCTCAGCGCCGCGAGAGCTTCATAAGGCTTCAGACAAAAGAGCCAAAGCTTATGCCTATACAAGATATTAAGACACGGTGGAATTCAACGTTCCTTATGCTTCGGCGTGCTAAGCGGTTACAGTCTGCCTTTGATGATTTCTGTGTCCAGTTCAACCTCGCTGATATAAGGATAGACGGAGATGAATAGCGACAGGTTGACTATCTTCTGTCAATCACCTATCCCTTCTTCAAATTCACCTCGTCTCTTTCAGCAACTACAGATATAACTATTCACAACGTCTTTGGTATCTATAACGCCCTGTTCACACACATTGATAAGGCGAAAGCGCAGCTCGCGCGGAAGAAGGTTGGTTAGAAGAGGGTGATGAAGTCCGCGCTTGACCGTGCGCGAGATAAGCTTACCGAGTATTATAGGAAGACTGATGATATCCCTGGTGATCTCTACACAATTGCGACCATCCTAGGGCCACGGAACAAGCTAGAGTTCTTTACAACATTAGAATGGGAACCTCACTGGGGGCCACGCTATAAGAAGTCGCTAGAGGCTTATATTCAGCCTTACCGGCAGCGCTACGAAGAGGCACAGTCTACATCAACTCTCCAGCCTATTAGTCAAGACGTCTCTGATATTGATATCCTTCTAAGATCTACTATATCTCTTCAGTCAAAAGCGACGGCTCCAGATGAGCTTACACGGTATCTTGGAAGTAGTAAGTTAATCCCTTCTTATATACTCCTTCTCTTATACTAACCTCACTAGGTACTGTTGAAGCAACGCCTCTCGTTTTCTAGAAAGAACACCAAAATAAATATCCTATTCTGGCAAGCCTTGCCCGAGACGTCCTCACAACACCCGCTAGTGGTTCTGGCGTTGAGCGGTTATTTAACTCTGCCCGTGATATCTATCATTATCGTCGGGGCTCATTAAAACCGCAGACAATTAAGGAATTGATGCTATTTATGTGTACAACAAAGTTCGACGTGGAGTCAGAGCAGCTTGCCCTGATTGATAAGTATCTTTCTACACAAGAGAAGCAAGCAAAGAAAGAGCAGAAGGATGCCCAGAAGAAAGAGGAAGAATTTAATCCAATCAGTGATGATAAAGAGGACCTATCTACTTCTGAAGCTTCTGCCGAAACTATCCAACGTCTTAGTGCGCGAGCGCGTGGAAATAGAAGGGCTACATCAGATCAGCTAATTGAACTCGAGGATAATAATGAGGTCCCCCTGCCTGATAATAGCCACTTGGAAGAAGAGAGGACTACTCAGAGGCGTTCCTCTAGGCGTGTTCCAAAGCGCTTGAGACAGGATGAGGATTTTGTATATCTTTAATAGAAACAAGAATCAAATCAGCCATTTCTGAAGGAATCAGTCAATCCTCGCTTTTTCGGCAGAGATTTATAGGAGCTAAACAAAGAATTAGTCTTTCCTCCTACCTTAGAATTGTAAAAGATCAAGTATGAGTTGAAAGCAAAATACTCAAAAATACCGGCGGCTTCTACATAAATTATGCATGCCACGGGGGTTTAGAATTTTTGCTTGTTTACAGGACCGCAGGACCGTACCAAACCGCAGTGGTGCGGTCCTTAAAAATATAGGACCGCCCAGCGGTCTCAAGGTCTAGGACCAAAGACCGCGCGGTGCGGGTCTGGTGCGGTCTTGGTTGCGGTCTTTTCGGTCCTGTGCAGAGGCCTACTGTGGAGTAATTAGAAAATCGTGATATATTTAGATAAAGAATAAAGACTCTCTCAAGTGTATTGTCCCTAGTATATAGTATACACTCGTTTCTTACGAGCATATGCTATCTGTCTGTCGGAAATTCCTGACCAGAAATATGCTCAACACCTACCACCAGAGTCTTCTAGCCAGAATCATACCGACAAGCTCTTTCGCGCGCCCTATATAAAATCCGTTATGAGCAGAAAATTATTTTATAAATTTACACCACTACGCTAGGTCCGCTGTGAAGGGAAGAGAGTATATTCAAGTATTTTGCTCATCTACTATGTACCAATATCCAACATCGCTATTTCCCACTCCAGTAAAGTTTGAGAACTGGATATGGTATGGTAATGATTGGGCCCAGGTATTTGCTTCTGCTTAGCCAGGCAATCTCGTAGTAACTCGAGGGCTTAGGTATTATAGCCTGAAGATTTCCAGGTAGTAGCGAGATTGGCCATACTCATCAGCGTAGACGGATAGTCCACGCCGAGCTTCGTCTTGCGAGTCTCTATGACCTACACCTCGAGCTGTTCTGCCTCCTCCCATCGGCCTTGGTTCCAATACGTCGATGCCAGGTTGGCCATACTCGTCAGCGTGTCGGGATGGTCCACGCCGAGCTTCATCTTTTGATTAGACTAAAAGAAAGGAAAACAAAAGAGGGTAAATTGGGGCAGGTTGAGCTGTCCCCTGGCGGTGTAGCCGGGTAATCAGGTGACTTGACTGGTGTTCTCATAATACCCGCAAATACTAGCGAAATACATACAAAAGGCGGGAAGGATTTTAACCTGTCAAGAATGTGGAATCTCTTTCATTACACTGACTCGGGATTGGTTAAATCCTCCCCGCCTTTTGTATGTATTTCGCTAGTATTTGCGGGTATTACGAGAACACCGGTCAAGTCACCGGATTACCCGGCTACACCGCCAGGGGACAGCTCAACCTGCCCCAATTTACCCTCTTTTGTTTTCCTTTCTTTTAGTCTAATCAATCAATCTTTTCTTTGATTCCGTTGGCTGCTTCCTGCCCTAGCGCATACAATCTCAGACAGTATTTCATAGCTTTGACAGGTAATCTGATTTCGAATATTGCTGTAACTAGTCTGTTACTTTTAGCCCGCATGGGGCACCCGGTTTGATCAGTGGCGGCCTCGAGGTGATGAGAGAGCGTGGCTCCCATTGTTAGAGGGCTACACCGCTCTATCCGCAACGGTCCCGAATAGAAGCAATCATATTCCCTAGCTTTAGCTCGAAAGTTAGCCCAGAGAAAATCAAGCCACTTACGTCAACGATCGGCGTGTTCCGTGACTACAATGACACACCACTTCACACTATCGTTGGGATGCGCATGTACTCACACCCGGCCACCTTCTACGTGGAGATGCATCCTGGATCCTTTATAGTCCCTCCCATGTCCAGAACGAAGGTGTTCTCGCCTAATCCTTTCATAGGGACGCCGGAGCGCTGATGCCGTCGCATCTTTTGGATGATGTGATGCATCGGAGATCAGTTGACAATACGAACCACAAAGCTATCATCAACTATGTCGTCGCCGGGATATGCATGTTTCTAGTGAATATATGCGTGGTCCTGCGGTTTTTTGCTAGGCTATATGTCTGGAAATCCATTGGCTGGGAAGAATGTGAGTAGTGCCATTTTAGTTCGAAGATAACTGACAGTTGGATATGGTTACTGATACTTTTATAAGATCTATGCATTATTTCATGGGTACGGCTCGTTTATACATCACAAAACGTATTCGGAAGGTATTAATATATGTGAAGTTTTGCGTCATCAGTTATAGTATTGCGCTTATACTATGTGCGTATGCGATAATCCTACTACTCCGAAAGCTCAATCCTAACAGGCTTGTTATATGTATAGATATTTGTAACGGAGGAGGCAAACACACCTGGGACATCGATGCTAGCCGTATATCGTTTCTCGAACATGTTGGTGTCAATCTTCTGTTTCTACGATTTGAGTGCCATCCACAATAACATATTTTCCGCTTAGGACCTATACGTCGGCAGCATCCTCTACGTTCTCGCTCAACTCTCCGTCAAGATCCTTTTACTTAGTATCATGATCGGAATCTTTGGTCGGGCGTACTCGAAGGTTACGCTTTTTATGAGGATGTTTACGGCATTTTTGGCTGTCTATTACGTTGCAATATTGTTCGTCCGGATTTTCGTTTGTATACCTCCATCGGCTACGTGGAAGGGTGGTGGAAGATGTTTAGACTTCTTTCCGGCATTAGCGGTTGACTTTCATGTTAGCCTGATCACTGATGGCATCATCTTATCTCTGGCAATCTTCCTGGCTGCGACTCTCCAGCTGCCGTTTAAAACAAGGATTAGGGTCGCGGCCCTACTTGGAGCTGGGGGTCTAACTATACCATTGAATATTTACCGCTTGTACAAACTCTGGATAGTTGGGAGGAACAACCCAGATTGGTCATACTATGTTGCTGATTGGGAATATCTCCAGTATTTGATGCCTATCCTCTGACAAACTTGGTTTCGATCTTCCTAATGAAATACATAGAGAGACTGAGATTTCTATCGGGCTTATATGTGCATGTCTTCCTGCTATAAGTGGCCTGATCATTTATAATCTTCCTCGACGTTCTTCCACCTGTGATATGCTGCACGCCCAGATACCAAACAGAGGAGCAGCTGAAAGGACAAGCTCATCTATTTGTATGACAACGGACGAAGCAACGAGTACTAACCAGGACTATTGAGTAGAGTGGTCTATTGCATAACGTAACGCAATCGATCCTGCTAGCCCGCGATTGCGTTACGTTGTGAGCAGCGACAGCTCCAAGAGTCAAACGAGTGGCTGATATGCGAGCGCGATCTCCTCCTGCAGCGCTGCAACGAACAGGCGCAGGTGTTGCGGGACTGTAGACGAGCGGTTCATGCCCTTTATGCCGATGCCGTCACAGTCTTACAAGCGAGTGAACGACGGGCCTACCGGATCGATAGGCCGTGATGAAGATTCGGGGTGGTATAAGGTGCAGTGGGGAGGGACATCTGGAGTGATCCCACTGGTCCCTCGTGTTCTCCGACTGGCGAACTTTCAATGTCAAGTTCAACATTCATGGTCGCTGAGGCGTCCATAAGACTGACGGTGAAGTTTCGTTGACCCTGGTAGCGAAGTACCAGCGCTTCAAGTCTGTTTAGTAGATCTCTGTCACTACTTTCTTGAAAATTAAAATAACGGTTTTGTGGGCTTTTCTCTCTGCCAAGTTGCGAAGAATTATTTAAGTCTGCCTGGCCTCCGGCATTTCATTTAGCTTCCAGCTATCCTTGCATTGCCAGATCAAACACAACGGCTACGCCGGCAAAAAATCGAAGCAGATGGATAGATCTGTTCAAAATGGTTCGTACCACTCACTCGACGTTACGTCCAGTCTGGGCTCACGACAGTGTAGATAAAGATTTCGATCTTGACCTTCACGCAATCTGGCGAGAGTCTTCTGGTATACCTACGCCGCCCCCCTGTCTTGCCGCCTATCACGATGATCTTGGGCCAGATTTTCAGGATATAGCTGAGTCTGCGGAATATGATCCTCAGGAGCCCTCCTTGGTCGAATGCTTCTTCCACCCTTACTATGAGAGCCAGTCGGGCTTCAAGTGGAGACGGGTCCCCCCCTCTGTCCGTCTCTACTCGGACTGAGGACTTTTTCCTTTACATGTCAGCGTTCTTTCTTCAAAGAGGAGGTTTACTGGGTGGAGTTCCGACTTGCACGGCTTGATCAGTTAACCGGCGAGACGATAAGGGAGTATCTGTTTTTCCTGCCCCGGGTTGAAACGGTCATGGGAAATCTATGCCGAGTGCATGGACAGATACTGGACATCATCTCCCGACCACCTGCGGTTGGAGCGATGGCCGCTAGCTTCCGATTGTCTTTGTGGCAGCGCACGGAACCTCTACTGTATTCGGGTCACTCGGCACTCTCCCCGCTAGCTACTCTGTCCACCACCCATATTAGCCTTCCAATATACTGGCGTATTCGTTGTTGTTTGTCGCCTTATCAATCATCACGTAGCATGTACTCTACACGTGTTGGGAAAGGTAGCCTCCCGCAAATTTCCAGGTTTTATTTCCGTAATTTCACCTTAGCTCGAAGCTCCAACGTACTGATTATGGGTACAAGCATGCCAACATGCCCAGTCCACAATATCGAAGAACTTGAAGAGGGGTTAAGCTGTGCGCTGACAACTTGAGGTTGAGACCCCGCGCAGAGTTTATTGGTTTGGGTAATTACTGATGAGTGGGTTCAAACCTTTCGTGGTTCCAAGCCCTGCGCAGTTGAAAACCCTCAGCCACCCACAGGTTTCCTCTCAGTAGCTCTAAGGGTCTATGTGGCGAATATTTGTAAAACTGAAACTTAACCGACTTCACAACCTTGGTTACCACGCGTTATTAACCTCTTACCCGGCGGCAACAAAATCACCCCCATCGACATTAATAACATTGGCTTCGCTCAGTGAGACGCAAACAGTATAGAATCCTAACACCGGCATCTTCCTTCATGCCTACTTCTCATAGCGTTAATAATTAAACACGCTATTCTCAAAGCCTCCCCAAAAGCAGTCTTTTAGGGGAATGCTACTTCAGCTTTTGCCATGTCTTCAAGGGGCGCTGAAGGCATCCACAATCATTTATGGCTCCATAGCTCTTGTGCTTCTTCTATGCCTTGTCTTGACTGTTGTCTTTCAGACTGGAAATATTTGTACAACGCGAAGGGCTCTCAGACAGCTGCAAAGGCACGGCTTATCCACCAGCAACATGGCAGACCAGTATGATTCCAAGTTCGACGCACCCGAAGGCACCACAATCGACGGACCAATACGTATCAAGGCGATATATATATATCCGGTCAAGTCATGCGGGCCTATTGAGTTGAATAGAGCCTTGCTCACCAAGCCTGGTTTTATGTATGATCGATGTTTCGCGTTTGCAACGGAAAACGTGAAAGGAGACACCGCATCAGAGTGGCGATTTATCAGCCAGCGCACCAAGCCATACATGTCCCAGATAAAGACGGAATTATGGCTTCCCCACAAGGACAGCAATCCGCGTGATCCGCTAGTTGAGGCAGGTGGATGTGTGGTAATGACCTTCCGAGACCTGGATAGTCCTAGCTGGATCAATCGGCTGGAGACATTTCTTCATAAGCGGGATCTCTCCATGACACCACAGTTCTCTGTCATTGCGCCTCTTCAGCCAACTCCTACCCAGATAGGCCAATTTCACGTACGGTTGAAAAACTTTGGCATCCATCACCGTGTTGCAAAGGGCCTCGATATGGCAAATATTCCCTCTGTTGCGGCATCGTTGCCTAAGTTGAAAAATGTTCTGAAAATCCCGGAACGTCAATGCCTTACGCTCTTGAAGTGTACGCCAGATACACTTCACCGCACGGATAGGAACCTCGCGCCACTTGAAAATATTGGTACCCCGGCTGTGCACGGCTATACAGATCAGCAACCCCTCAACATTAACAGCTTGTCTACTGTACACGCTGTATCAGTGCTCCTTCCCATCGAGAATCAACCCCTCAATGCACTTCGCTACCGTGCAAATATATGGATCACAGGCACTCCTGCATACGAGGAAGAGACTTGGAAACGCTACTGCATCTTATCAAAGAGTGAAAATTGGGAGCCGCGAGCCACGGTCGTGCCGAAATTGTCTGTTGTTTGCCGCACATCTCGATGTATCGTACCTAACGTCAACCTAGAAACGGGGATGCCCGAAACAGATATCCCGCCTCCATGGAAGAAAAGAGGTAAACCACAACCAAGCACGACGTTAGTGAAGCACCGTACAGTTGAAAATGGCAACAAAATGGCGCTTGGCTACATAGGCATGCATTGCGTGCCGGAGGATCTGGACTTGAAGGAGGCCGAGATACAGAAAGCAGGATTATACATTGCAGTCAGTGACGAGATTGAGGTTCTCGAACGAGGGGTGCATCTTTATGGGTCGACTGGTAGTGACTACTAGAATCAGTTGTGCTGGTAAAAGATGGGTTGCTTTGCTTGGATCCCCCTGACATTACTTGGACCCCCACCCCTTCTTACAAATTTGTACTAGCGTAGAATATAGTGTACTTTGACAGCCAAAATGTGTGCAAAATATACCGCTAGGCCAAAAGGTGCCAAAGGTTTAACGGTAATTTTTCATGGTTTTTACATACTTTTTCTTTGTACCCTCCATTCGTCTCAGGTTGTCATGTAATATATAGAATTCCCCCTCACGCAATTGCCCTCCTACATTTGACCATCAAAAACACCCTGGAATCTATTGATTTACCACGATGTCTCAGCCCGATTACCAATCCGTGGATGCATTTCTCAATGCCCAGCTGGAATACACTCAAGTCCTATCACTCCTTTCCCCACCGAGAAAGATCCTGAAAGATGATTTTCTTGGAATGGAAGGTGGAGGGGCACAGCTGTAATGGAAGCTGTGAAATCAAGTCAATTAATTGAGTGGAAAGCTCTGTGTGTGAGGAGAAGACCAAATCGCTAATTAGTTAACGTATTCGTTAAGCGAGTGGGTCATGCAAGCGAGTGAATCACCCCAAAACACCATATAGTAAATGCGATATTTTATAAGTCGACATCTCAGCAACCATTCTGTTTGTCTGTTTCCACTTTGTACTCTAGCTTCTCTCCTCTGTTCTATTTTTCTTCTTTCTCTTCCTTTCCAGCTTCAATATCTTCGTTTAATGACACTCGACCATAGAGATTCGGTCTCTGATAATCGGGACGGTTCCAGATAATAGTATTCTGCAACAACAAGGCTTTGGATGAGTTACGCGCTGGCGGCAGTTGCTTGAAGATTCGTGGTGCAGCTGTGGAAGAAAAGGCAAATGTCCTTGTCAGATAGTGTGTTGATTATTTGTCCACTCATTTCAGTGTCGGCTTCTCAGCCGACAATATATACACAAACCGCTTTTATATCCCCGTATATATGCTCAATGCCAAAATTAGTAACCAAGTTCTAAATCGCCAACTATTAAACTGATGCCTTAGTAGGCTTATTATCCACCGGCACCGGCACCGGCGCAGGCGCAGGTTTCGCCGGGGCGGAAGGCGCAATCCAGAAAACAGGGTATCGACGGTGCAAGTTGTTGATGAGCAAGGCACACACCAAAAGCAACATCGACGAAAGCAAGATCACTGGTAAAAAGTACCAAGACAGTTGATAGATCGCTTCGTCAGTGGCCGGAAGTAGAGCTGTTGCTCCGGCAGGGGGTGCGTGGTGCCGGTTAGTTGCATGACGACGATAGCAAGGGCAGTCGAAAGGGAGGCGGCTAGCCAGCGCAGTGACTCGAAGCGCTGAGCATCAGGCATGAGGCTGAACAGTTTGATGACGCAGATACCGATCAGAGCGCTGAAGAAGTGACCAAAGACTAGGGCGCGCGGCTGCGCCAGGGGCACCTCGATGGCACCAAAGACTAGGACTGCTGATGCGCCCTATTTGGGTAATGATCATGTTAGCTGACACCGGTGCGGAGCCCTGGGGGAGATGGGTCTAGCTCACGTAGGATGCGACGATCCCTGGCACATGGCGCCCTTTGAAATAGTCTGAGTAGTTGAAGATGCCCTGCACGACGGACAGACCGCAGAACGCGGCTAGGAAGGACCACCCAGCCACAATGTACTTGTTTAATAGCGCTGGGGTCTCTGGGCGATAGCCCAGCCAGTGGCTCATCCATGGGGGAAGGCGGGCGAGCCGGGAAGGCGGCATGGTACAAAGCCGAACAAGGGTCGTATTATGTATTGTTTTTTTTCGAGGGCAAACCGTGCATATTTAAGGGTTCGGCGGCCGCCGTGAGAGGACCGACCCACTGAGAAAAATTGATGGCGTGCGGAGAAAATTTAGTCAATGGCTTAAAGTAGCCGCCGCGGCCCACCCAATCGAAAAACCCGTCGATAATGCAACCGAGATAATTCAACCACCCACCATGGTACAGTGGATTTCGAAAACAGTTTACCTCCAAGAGACAGACGTTTTCTTTCCCAGCGCCCCACTCACATTACGCTAAGCTAATCTTGGCTAGATCAAGCCCCTTCCGTGTGGTATAGTGCGAGAAATGGCCGATCCACTAAGGCGGTCTCGTACGGGAATTACGGTAACTAACTCGTCCTGGCTAAATCAAACGATATTGATTTCTGCAGAGAACATCACTAGATTTGTTCACCGTTTGATGTTGAATTTGTGCGAGGCTGTTCGAAGAGAGTGCTATACAACGTGGAGTCAGCCCTAGGATCTCTGCAACTTGAAAAAACAGGCAGCTTCACAACTGTAGCTGTCACCAATGACAACCCCCCAACAACTAAAATAGAGAAACTGGATGTAATGTCATTGTATAGGAAATTAATCGAGGAAGAAATCTATGGCGGAAATAACAGCTTAATTTTAGATTGAGAGTTGACGCAGAAATAGGACTTGATTAGAAATAGGACGTTGGTGATCATAGGGAACCACTTCAAGTGGAAGATTGAATTGAAGTACCTTCAGCCCTTGAAATGGGTCAAGCTCATTTGTAAAAAGCGTCCCGGCGTCACTGTCATTCCAGCGATCTCATTCCAGCATATTGCAACAAGCTCCTGGGCAACGATCCTACCCAAACAACATGCAAGTATATTTATTACTCTCTCCCTCCTGTTTCAAAATAGCCCTTTTTGTTTTGATTCAAGCTTATCCGATTCTCCTTATTCCCATAAAAGAGAATTCTCCGAAGTCAACATGATATCCCCGAATTTCAAAAGCCTGACTGTCTTGAGTAGCCTCTTGCTCATCGCTCAATATCGCGAGCACCAACCAGTCGCCATTGCGGGCACAGGTCCACACTCTTGGTGGTCTAGGGGATCTAGTTAAACTTAGTGCTGTACTACTACCGCTCCCACTCCCTGCGCCAGCGTACTACAACTATTACAACTGAAGGGCCAACAACTGGTTCTACCACTGAGCCAGCTACCTCCTGCAGAACAGACAGTTATCGGAACGACGACACCACCTGTAACCTGCAGATGAGTTTTACCCAATCAGAAACATCTTCGGTAATGGTCATGCTGTTTCGGCCCTCAATCTCACGATTCAAAGGAACTCCCGAGAACAATAACCCAGGAGTTCTGTACCCTATCGATTGTCGGAGTAATGGAGGTTAAGGGTGGAGCAACTTTTCTGCCAGTCAAAACCCTCCTATTCCCATTTCCACAGTAGTAAAACCCCTAATAATTAGTAAATTACCTGCCGTCCTAAATAATATTTACCATCCTATGGCCAGCAAAGCCTTTAAATCAGCCTAATTCTCGCGTGTTGTTTCACGTAGTGGTAGGTGTTGTGAGAGTCGGGATATTAATCAAGTTTATTGTCCATACCGAGCCCTAAAGCTATGATAGACCACATGCCACGACAGAGGCATCTAGTCGGCCTTAGCCTGCCTTTTACTCTCTGTCTCCTATTAGTTCCTGGGCGACAGCCCCGTATTGACATTCTGATCCTTTTCCTCACCCTAAACCGCCTATCTGCGCAGGGCATTGTGCAAGAGTTCTAACTCCTCTTAAAATATGAAGCTAAGCCCATTCCGGCAGAAGTCTAATAAACTCTAAAGTATCAAGATTTTAATTTAGGGACAGTAATCCCTCGCTTTAACGAACTAAATTTGGAGGAGCCTAACATTCGTTAATTCGAGGTATTCGTTAATGGTGTATAGTAGTGAAAATATATATTTTTTACTACCTAAACCAGCTCCGTATATCGCTCTGGTGCCGAGAATGTCATGACCTCCTCTGTCAAATATTTCCTCTCAAGCCGGTTAAGGACCTGTATAGCTTCAATATCTCCAGATTCCGACTGCTCTTCGCGCAATCTAGCTGTCCGAATTGCCCCTAAGGCCTGGGATACTGTGACCTGTGGTAGAGCTTTACCCTGGCCCTCATCGTCATCCTGATCTTCCTCTTCAATGCTAGCCGGTCCCTGAATCTGGGAGAGAACTAGGTCATCAACAGTACTAGAATCGTCCTGTACTATCTCCCCATCAGGATTTAGAAAATCCTCGATATTCATAGCATCATGAATAAGAGATCGATCCCGTAGTTGTTGAATACCCTCGATGATATCATTCGTAGGTAGCGATTGATCCTCGAAATCCCTAGATCCCATTGATAATGCTTTAGAGAAGCAGTTGGCGATTGTCTTCTCTGATATATCGAAATTCCATGCTCGTATAGTCCAACGAATAGCATAAATGAGATTGATCGTTGATAGTGCATCTCTTGCAGCGTTATATTCAGCCAGCATATAGCGTACCCAGTCCCTCCGCCAGTAGGTCTTCCACGTCCTAATTATTCCCTGGTCAAGTGGCTGGTATCTGCTTGTAGAATTTGGTGGGAGCCAGATAACAAAGGTATTTTGGAGGGGGCACCCTGATTCTTGGATAGTCGAGATAGCAGCTTCATGAGCGGAGAAGTTGTCCATTAATAGAGCCACTTTTCGTCTGCGAAGGGCCATTTGGACATCAAACCAGCGTAGCCATTCTTCCATTATCAAGGCACTCATCCAAGCCTTCTTATTGGCTCGCCAGAATACCCCAAGGTTCTGGATCCGGATACCAGATCGACGGAAGACATGAGGATTCTGCGCTGTACCAATTATCCAGGGTGGTAATTTGACTGATCCATCCATATTCGTACAAAAGTGGATCGAAATTCTTTGCTTCTGCTTCTTCCGACCTGGGATATTCGTAGTAGTAAGACTCCGGTCTGGTACTAGTTTCCAGAAAAGACCAGTCTCATCACAGTTGAAGATATCACTTGGGTCAAATTGGGCAAGGACTTGGCGGATACGGTCCATCTCAATAGCACCATCGTGTGCACTAGCTGCCTCTCCAAATTTAACGCGTGAATGAATGCCCCGGCGTTGTTGGAATTTGAAGAGCCAGCCATTAGAAAATTTTGGCCTCTCGATCCCTCTATACACGTCCAGTTTCCCCCAAAGAAATTCTGCTTTTTGGCGAATAGTCTCCCCTGAGATAGTAATCTCATGCTCTGCCCATGCGAAGAGAGCCTCTTCGAGCTCCGGCCAACGTTCTTTGTAGTTGTGCTTGCGATGTAAGCGGCGGGTATTTAGGTCGTCTAGGTAGTCGTATTTCTTTGAGAGAATTTCAGAGACGGAGGGAGGGGAGATTCTCTGCTTGTAAATGTCGTCGAACCACTGCATGATATCGAGATTGCTAAGCTGTGGGTGCTGCTTTTTGTGTGCGCGGAGAGCTCGCTTTTGCTCGAGGGTAATCGTCAACCGACGTGGGGCTAGGCTAGGCGGGATTGCTTTAGGCCCCATTTTTTAGGCTCCGTGGAACCTCTGAATAGCGAATTTGGTGGGAGGAGTAGAGAGAAATGCTAACGAATTCCTAGAATTGAGGGAATTCGTTGTATGTAAGGGAAAATAATTTTGGAAATTAAGGGGCTTCGTTAAAGCGCGGGAATTCATTAATCCGGGGTTCGTTAAAGTGAAGAATTACTGTATATTTGTCACATATCTCTCAACCCTAGAACTCTAATTAGTAAAAGTAGGTGTTTCCCATACACCAAATAATCAATCGGAAGAATGGAACTTAATTGAGCTTAAGTTACGGGGGTGGGGCTGAATGAAACCTTCCGACAACAAGATTTCAATTAGGTTATACTAGAAGCTGAAGATTCGTTCTGTGGAGACGCAAATTTATTCGATTGTTCGAGATGACACTTATATTTGTCACATGCACAGTCAACGCCACATCTCTCAACCCTAGAACTCTAATTCGTAAAAGTAGGTGTTTCCCATATGCCAAATAATCAATCGGAAGAGTGGAGCTTAAGTTACGGGGGTGGGGCTGAATGAAACCTTCTGACAACAAGATTTCAATTAGGTTATACTAGAAGCTGAAGATTCGTTCTGTGGAGACGCAAATTTATTCGATTGTTCGAGATGACACTTATATTTGTCACATGCACAGTCAACGCCACATCTCTCAACCCTAGAACTCTAATTCGTAAAAGTAGGTGTTTCCCATATGCCAAATAATCAATCGGAAGAGTGGAGCTTAAGTTACGGGGGTGGGGCTGAATGAAACCTTCCGACAACAAGATTTCAATTAGGTTATACTAGAAGTTGAAGATTCGTTCTGTGGAGACACAAATTTATTCGATTGTTCGATGACACTTACAGTATATTTGTCACATGCACAGTCAACGCCACATCTCTCAACCCTTATTATTAATCAAGTTTATTGTCCATACCGAGCCCTAAAGCTATGATAGACCACATGCCACGACAGAGGCATCTAGTCGGCCTTAGCCTGCCTTTTACTCTCTGTCTCCTATTAGTTCCTGGGCGACAGCCCCGTATTGACATTCTGATCCTTTTCCTCACCCTAAACCGCCTATCTGCGCAGGGCATTGTGCAAGAGTTCTAACTCCTCTTCAAATATGAAGCTAAGCCCATTCCGGCAGAAGTCTAATAAACTCTAAAGTATCAAGATTTTGAATTTAGGTTCACGTAGTCGCGTGACGCTAGTCAGCGTCTCCACATAACCTTGAAACCGAGCCGCCACACCAATCGTGCCTCCCCATAGCTATACCGCATGGATCAGTCTGGATTGAAAGCCAGAGTAATTGTATGTTGATAATTCACACGACCCTGGAACTGTTCTGCTGGTCATAAGTTTAAAGTGGTTTCGTGAAACGAGGAAATGGTACTCTGGGGGAAACATCTGTTTCTGTGGGGGAAAGCCTTGATTATAAAGTGTGCGCTGTTTTCCCCTCGCATCTTCGAGAGAAATTGTTTTCTTCCCTTAAAGACTTCAAGCACATTCATTGTTCTTTAAAGAATCGTCATCTGCGCAGAGAACTTAGACTTTCAAAGTCTCAACAAGAAGTCCTGAAACCATGGGTGAGAACCAATGTCCAGTTCTTTCTCGCATCATACCAGGCAGCAACCTCGACTGGTGGCCCAACCGGTTGAAACTGAACCTCATTCGCCAGCACACGGTTGCATCGAATCCGCTAGACAAAGACTTCGATTATGCGGCGGCTTTCAAGAGTCTAGACTACTATGGATTGAAGAAAGACCTGCTTGAATTGACAACCACCTCGCAGGAATGGTGGCCAGCAGACTTCGGGAGCTATTGCGGGTTATTCGTCCGTATGGCCTGGCACAGTACTGGCACTTACCGTGTCCATGACGGTCGCGGTGGTGGTGGACAGGCTCAACAACGGTTTCCACCTATTAATAGCTGGCCAGACAACGTGCTTCTTGACAAGGCACGTCGCCTGTTGTGGCCAATCAAGCAGAAATACGGCAACAAGATTTCCTGGGCGGATTTGATCATTCTTGCCGGCAACGTGGGCCTCGAATCTATGGGCTTTAAGACCTTCGGCTTCGCTGGAGGCCGCGAGGACGTCTGGGAACCCGACGAGTCAGTGTACTGGGGTAGCGAGAAGACATGGATGGGCAACGAGTTTCGTTATGCAACCGGCTCGAACGCTGCCGGGGAGGCAAACAAAGACATCCGTTCGCGTGAGCTAGAAACGTCGCTAGCAGCCTCCCATATGGGTTTGATATACGTGAACCCTGAGGGCCCTGACGGCTGCCCTGATCCCATTGCGGCGGCCCGTGATACCCGCATCACCTTTGAACGTATGGGAATGGATGATGAGGAAACAGTGGCGCTAATAGCCGGTGGTCATACTCCTGGCAAGACGCACGGCGCCGCGCCTGGCACTCATCTCGGCCCTGAACCAGAAGGTGCCGAACTTGAGGAGCAGGGTTTGGGCTGGAAGAGCAACTTCGGTTCTGGAAATGGTCCTAACACTATTGGCAGTGGTCTAGAAGTTATCTGGACGAAAACCCCAACTAAGTGGAATTACGGCTTTCTCAAGTACCTTTTTGCCTATGAGTGGGAAGTCGTTAAGAGCCCTGGTGGCGCATGGCAATGGGTGGCGAAGGATGCACCAGATATCATTCCAGATGCCTTCGACCCGGCCAAGAAGCACCCACCTAGGATGTTGACGACTGATATTATGTTGAAGTTTGATCCAGTCTATGAGAAAATCTCGCGTCGCTTCTTGGAAAATCCAGATACTTTTAATGATGTCTTTCGCCGTGCCTGGTTCAAATTGACGCACCGCGACATGGGCCCAGCCTCCCGCTATCTCGGGCCGGAAGCGCCATCTGAAGTGATGCTCTGGCAGGATCCCATCCCTCCAGTTAACCACGTGTTGATCGACAACATCGACATCGCTGCGCTCAAAGAGGCTATTCTAGCAACGGAGGTGGACCAGTGCAAATTCATTTCGACCGCCTGGGCTGCAGCATCTACCTTCCGTGGGGGTGACAAGCGTGGCGGTGCCAATGGTGGGCGCATCCGCCTTGTTCCACAGCGCCACTGGGAAGCAAACAACCCAGTCCGGCTGGATGAGGTGCTTTCCGCACTAGAGGGTGTCCAGAGCCGTTTCCACGATTCCCAGGAGGGTGGGAAGAAGGTGTCTTTGGCTGACCTAATTGTACTAGCTGGTTGCACTGCTGTCGAGAAAGCTGCCAAAGATGCTGGTCATGCGATCATTGTTCCCTTCAAGCCTGGCCGTATGGATGCCTCGCAGGAACAAACTGACGTAGAATCAGTCGGTCATCTAGAACCGCTGGTGGATGGTTTCCGCAACTACGGCCGATCGATCTTGCATATGCGCAGCGAACACGCCCTCGTTGACAAGGCGCAGCTACTCACACTGTCCGCTCCTGAAATGACGGTGCTTGTGGGTGGTCTGCGGGCCCTGAATGCCAACTACAATGGATCTGCTCATGGTGTTCTTACTCACCGCCCGGGCCAGCTGACGAACGACTTTTTCGTGAATCTGCTAGACATCAACACAGTGTGGCGGTCAATTGACGGCTCTGACAAGGAATTCTTCCAGGGCACGGACCGTAAGACTGGTGTGAAGAAATGGACTGCAACCCGTGTTGACCTGGTGTTTGGCTCGAATTCTGAACTGCGTGCCATCGCCGAGGTGTACGGTAGTACAGATGGCAAGCAGAAGCTTGCGAAAGATTTTGTGGCGGCCTGGGACAAGGTGATGAACCTCGACCGCTTTGATTTGAGATGAAATTGGTAAAGCAATCTTGTACATGAACAGTCCTGCTCTGTTTTCTGCTGTCTGCTGCTGTATTTATCACTATTTTTGTTGTAATTCAGAGGACGGTTAATTGCTGTTATTTCAGAGGGAATAATTGAGGCTATATATACAACGAGAAGATCAAGTTGATTTTCAATCAACTTGGTTGCTCGTATAGACACCTCGGGAATTATTTCCGATGGTGTGGCTTTGTTCCTGATCTGCACCAGCCTGCTGCCTTATATCACAACAAGTTGACGCGTGCAAAAAAACACCACCATGAGGTTCGGGGGCCTCCATGGTGGTTTTTAGGGGCCAGGAGGCCTCTAGCAGTCGATTGACGCGTGGAAAAGACGTGTTTTCCGTGAGTGCTGATTTTTAGAGGCTTGTGAAGCGGGATCGTTTTATTCCCCTAACGTACTTGTTAGAGAGACACGTTGTTCTGCTGCATGTGCCTTCCTAGAGTCGACTATAGCTGTTCTTAATATCGATCGTTCATCTCAAAGATGCTATTCACCTCTGTATACATGAGACCCTCACAAGATCTGAGAAAGCTCCTCGGGCCACACTTCTATAGATCAATCCCAGAATTACTCCACTCGATCCATAGAGGCCGAAGGTTGACTCTAGGAACCAGGCCAAGGATTTCAGGAGCATGTCAGCGCCCAGGGCCAGCTCATGTGTTCCCAGGTCCGATGGGGTCGTCATTAGGAATACGAACTTATGCACCCAGCGATGTTTACTCGGACTGCAGTCCGGCGGTGCTCTTGACGATCACTGTCCAAATGTGATGCTCCATCGTCGCAGAAAAGACGATCTCCAACATCGGATTACTTCGGAAGATTTGGTGCGATTACTCAAAGCACAATTGGACGAGAACATCGACCGATGCACACCCCTTGGAGGTTGCGGGGCGTATGGTGCGCCATTCAAACTCACATGTGTCACATATGGCTACACTGTTGTCGGGAAAGGAACCACATCGGGGCTGTGGGAAGAAGTCTCCCGCGAAGCGGAGGTATACCGAATTCTGCAGAAGGCGCAAGGGTCTGCTGTGCCTGTTTTCTTGGGTATGATCGACTTGGCGAAAATTTATTTCCTACACGGGGCTGGAGAGATTCGCCATATGCTCGTGATGGCCTGGGGGGGGGAGAAAGTACGACATCGATGGAGCTGACGCCCAAGCTTTTG